ACTGTATAAACTCCTCATCTCACTCAGACTGAGATCAGAAACAGAACAGAATGATCAGACATGAACTCTCATCACCGTCACACCATCAACTCAGAGCTCCTTCTTTAAACACTCTCTAACTTTAATTCAACTCTATTAACACTGTATAAACTCCTCATCTCACTCAGACTGAGATCAGAAACAGAACAGAATGATCAGACATGAACTCTCATCACTGTCACACCATCAACTCAGAGCTCCTTCTTTAAATAACACTATTAACTAACTTTAATTGAACTCTATTAACACTGTATAACAGGGGTGCTTAACCCATGGAGATCTACCACCCTGTAGAGTTTAGCTCCAGCCCTAATCTAATGACCCTAGGTTATAATACTCCTTTCATGTGCCCTGGGCTGCCATTTTGTATATGTTCCATCTTGTGTTGCATTGTGTGCAGGTATATGACTGACCACACAGAGGCGCCTGCCCATATAAAAGAGGTCACCAAGCCACCACTGGGAGATGGTCGGGGCTCTTTCCCCTCTGATATAACCTGGAAGTACATCTGTCCAGACAAACCCCACCTCTTCACTCCAGTCTGCTTCGTTTCACCTCTATTGTTAAAATTGTGACAGCTTGATTATACTTTTTTGAGCCTGGGGAATCTAAGGGACAAGTGACATTTTGTTTTAGTTACCTTTCTCCTGTTTTAACCTCTTCAACTCCTTGAGGCCACCGGTGGTTCCAAAACGCACTTCGTCATATTCTTCATAACGTTCATATTTCATAAGCTACATTCAAAAGGTGGGTGTCATATGACGCTGTAACTGTCTTCTTTCCAGTCAAATAGATGGGTGATGTAATTTTAAACCCTTATAATAAAAGAAGCTGAACTCACAATTTTTTGTGTACTTAAAAGATGACCAATTTTTCCACAAATCTGGGCTATAAACTATAAACAGATGGCGTCTCTTCAGTGATCTGCTCTGTACAAATTATTTTTATAAAATAATACCAATAGCATCTAAGATTTTTGGCTTTCAGCAGTGAATTCTAAGCATATAGCAATATGTGTTATCATAAAACACATGTTCTGTTGATTTAAGGGGAACTTTTACAATACATAAATAAATAAATAAATAAATAAATAAAATAAAAATGTTCATTTATTTCATGCAGTTACTAAATAATTTGCTTTACAATTTGTTCATGTAAATTCAGATGGAGAAAAAAACCAAAATAAACCTGGAGAATAAGAGGTTAATGTAGGGGGTTAGGGTACCCATATGTAATTTTGTATTTGGCTTCTTTTAATTTTAGGATAGTTAGTTTTTAGTAATCATTAGTAGTTTTGTTTGTTATTTTGGCAAACGCTCGTCTTTGAAGCCATCTGCCCTATTTGGTTTAGCCATGTTGCAAACTTTCAAGAAAGTCGAAACAAACCTGCAGTTTTTTGGTTTCAGTGGTGCCTGGTTTTTGATCTGGCAGCACGTCTGGGGTGAGAGCCTACTCTCATTTTCTTTTCCAGCCCCATCTGCAGCACCTTCTGTCTGTTTACCATCTAATATTACCATCATGTTTGTTCTTTGATGAGATAAGGGTAAATCTGAATTTCATCAGTCGCTGCCTGAACATGTCTTGTAGATATGGCCAAGTGCTAAAACAAACACTTAAGCCACATTATTCAATGTGCATTTACATTATTTATTCAGCAAATGCAGGGCTGCTGGAACCACCAGGGCAAACAGGCATTTGACCCACCACTTTTGATAAACTGCACAGAGCACTGACCTATAGATACAAACAGACTGATAGTCAAACTCAGCAGCAGAACCAGCCAATGCAGAATGTATTTTTGGCACCAGCAACCTAAATAGTTAAATTCAAACTAGTAAACCAATTTTAATAAAGCAGATATCAAGTAAGGTTTGATATTATTGCTTTGACTGTAATCGACTGTAAGTGTTGAGATGATAGCTCTTGCATACCTGCAACATTTCTGACCAATAAATGACCACCTGGATGTGTAGTTTCATTCATTTTAATCGTTGCAGTGTAAAATCAACTGAATTAAAAATAGGGGTGGGAATCTCTAGGTGTCTCATGATTCAATTACGATTCAGAGGCTGCGATGCAATTATCAAACGATTATTGATGCATCTTGATTCATCTTTTTTTTTCTATACAGGATTTCTTTTTCCTCGGTACTTGGTACTTTTAAAGAAAATTATTTGTAATGATCCTTAATGAATATACTTCCAATATCTTTAATTAATAAAACAAATGGAAGTGATGTGGTCAGGAAACTGGAAGGCTCTCATTCACTACTCCTGTTTGGAGCACATGAGATGCTGCTGCCACTCATCTGTGATAAAATGCAGTTACAGTGACATAAGATACAGTGGTAATGGATGTCCACGCATCACATGTTCAGTTTTGGTGTTGTTGTGGTGGGGGGGTGGTGCTGTGTCAGTTAAATATCTTCGAGACGAGACGCTGTATCTTGGCGTGCAAAATAGTCCGAAAGCCCTGGTGACGTCACTTACTTGATGGTCATCTGGTTGGCAGCAAGTACAACCGGTAGGAAAACGGGTGGAAACATAATATGGTTTCTCATGTTTGCCGTTTCCAAAATATTTTAGTGTAGTGTGACACAACTTCATATAGTGTGGCTCTTATCCAGGTCCCTTTTCCCCTGGCGTGCAGACTGCAGCTCACATAGCAATGCAGAGAGTCTCACCTAGCTAGTAGCTACGAAAAGGCAAAGAGAGAGATTTAAGATGAACATTTTGAGACAAATGGACTTATGCATTTATAAGTGGCGCAGTTGGTTTCCTGGTACGTTAAATCTGCAACGAGAGACTGTCAAACACTAAAAAGTGGCGAAAGTTGCTTCTTTTTCAAATTTTCCCGTTCCACCTTAAATGGTGCCGCATTTACATTCTGGCGCCTCAGTCAGAGTTTAAGGTGGAATGGAAAAATTTGAAAAAGAAGCTGGCAAATGAGAAGCGACTTCAGCCTCGTAAAAAGTCGAACGTTGAGAGACGTTTCACAAGAAACTGTTCTACTTTTGCTGAAAATGTTCCTGCTGGAGATGCGAGAAAAGCAGCTATAACCGAGCTAAAACTTAAAGCAGAGCAAAGAGGATCTGCATATATTTATATTTTCAGCCTATACTTGGACATTAACACATACTGAGACACATTTACAGCCAAGATGGTGAAACGTTTTTATTAGCTAACCTCTAACCTTACAGTCCATCAGGTAGCAAGACAGAGACCCCCAGAAAAACTCTGCTTAGGGCCTCCAAAAGACTGGAGTCAGAGCTGCTTTGGTCTTTTTTTTTTTGTGAAAAAAAAATTCAAAATTGAAAAATTGCTAGACAGATAATGTTGTGGCTACTTTAGAGACTTTTCCTCATCTCTGCTCTCTCTTCTTGTCTTTTATGCCACCTGCGCAGAATTGTAGGGTTGATAATTGGGCTGCCGTCCATTGTAGGTCAATTAAATCATAGTTTGATTCATTCTCTTAAGTGTGTGCTATTTTTCAAAAGTCAACAGTATGAGCTCCGACTGCCAGTGTATCCCATTCTACTACAGGCCTATCTTCCATTATTACACCCACATACACCACATTTCATTTTCACTGTACTGGACCATAATTAAGATTTAACTCCAACAGTTAACACAACTTCATCATTCACTGATTCACTCATCTGAGCGTTGCTTCATCAGTTTATGTCTCCAGATAATGATTCGCAAGTTGAGGGTGGAAGTCAATGTGACGCAGTACAGTTGGCCACCAGCAGGTGGCAGTATGTGTGCATTGTTTGAAAATCATCAAATACCCAAAAGGGAGAAGGCATTAATGAACTGTTGTTCACTGTTTTCAGATCGGAGCTCATGACGCTTGGCTCTGTGGCCTGAATTAGCTGATATATGTTTTACTCTGTCTGTGTTAGATAACATCAGATTAATGAAGCACTGCCCGCTGCCTGTGTTCTGACATCTGACCAAAGATTAACGCTGCATGTACTGTGACTGTTGGCCACTTTGTGCCTGTGTTACTAAACTGTGCAGGTTTAAATGTCCAAGCAGTGTTGTAGGCTAGTTCTGTGTTTCTGATGAAACCTGTGTGAAATAAATCAACATATATTCTCTTTTAAAAGAGGAAATGTAAAATTATCTCACTAATCTCTCCTCCATCAGCACTGAAAAGCCCAGGCCCAAATGGGTTACTTGTGGCCCTGTAGTACACAGTTGTACATGCACGTGAAAATTGCGAGGCTTTAGTGTCCCATTTCTCATTTTGGCTTTCAAAGAGGTGATCAATAGCGCCATTTATGCCTCTATAGAAAACCACCTTAAAGAATAAATAACATATACACTCATAGTTTAAACATGTAGGCATATAATTAAAGTGAATTGTATGATAACAACTATAATTTGAACGTAATAGTACAATGAGGGTTTGGCCTATTTGTTTTTAATCCATTCATGGTGGAGGAGTACATGCAGGGCTCAAAATAGTCCCCCCAAAAAACTTATTTAGTTTATTTAGATTTCAGATTTATCGCTATTTTCCATCATCAACATTCATATAAACTCAGGAGACTCGTGTAGGTTCACTGGTGGTTCTGGACAGTGAATAAAATGTCTATATTTGTGTTGTAGTCATGGCGACCCCTGGTTCCTATCACCACCACTGTAAAGACATCTGAACCATTTCACACCAAACCTCTCTGAATCACTCTGTTTACACCTCACACACTGAATTATGCAGAAATTTCGAAATATTGATGGAATTGCCCTTTAATGATGGAGCTCTGAAAATGTTTCCCCTGGGAGAAATGATTAGGATGTAATGTATAAACGTAGTATGACATTTTTGTGACATGTGGAGTATAAAATAAGCCAATATCGCCTCAGAGACAAAAAAGGCTTTATTTATTTTTTCTTCTCTCCGGCTTTTGTGAACGACGTCACCGTTTAAGCAACGGAAGTGACGCAACCTCGATTGTTTAGGAAGTGGAACGGCGTCAGATTCAAACGGAGACCGAGCTGCAGGTTAACGTTCATCATTTTACTGATTATCTGCTGGTTTACGGTGCATTCAGAGGGCTAACCCGGCCTTTAATACCTGCCTGTGTGCTTTGGCCCATTCTGTGCAGAAACACTGATGTTAGCCTGCTGTCTGTGAGCGCGGTGTCGGCGGCTGTGTCGGTGTTCGGTTCAGTTCCATAGCAACGCGCTGAGTTTCTCTCGGTGGAGCCGAGGCTCTGTTTACACACTGAGACTGATTCAGTACAGAAAGACATCACACTGCGCTCCGCCGGCTCTACTCTGCTGATCTTCAGCTCATTTAGCTCATTTAGCTCAAGTTAGTTTATTGATTACATTGTCAGAACAGTCACAGACAGTACAGAATGATAATCAATATAGATTCGTCTTTATTATTGTGGTATATTTGAACGATGGAGCTGTAGGAGGGCTGTTACCCTCGCACGTTAGATTTCGCAGGTTTTAACTCGCTGTTTTACACTTGTTTAGCCAAAGATAGATGTTTTATGAGGGATTGCGAAGTGCTTTCTCAGTGCTGCTATAAGGCTTCCTAACAAAATCCCCCTAAACCCATATTTTAAAGGCTTCATGTCTTGCATTTCTCTTCTATTTTAATTTTCTCATGTGGTCCATATATGACATTTGTGTTGTTGCATGTAGTGTAAACAGTCATAATCCATTTTCACGACCATTTTCAAACCGCTTAAACAGGCTGTTTTTGTTATTGTGCCTTTAAGACTCATAGTGATCTAAATGACTGATTGGCTGCCCTGTATTGTGCCTCATAACCTAAGTATGATCCGGTGGGCTCAAACTGCTGTAGGCCTAATAGGCAGAAATATGTGCACCATATGTTCTTTGTGACATCATATAAACAGTGAATTCAACATGGGCTGTGTTCGCAGTTTAGTTTCCATGTTTGGACTGTGTGGACTGAGGGGTTGTGCAGTTTGCCGTGGCCCACCCCCACCAGGAATCAGTCATTAACTGCTATGATGTTCCCTGTGTTTCAGATGAACAGATCATTTACATCACACTGACGCCATGTCCACCAGACCGGCAGCTGCTCGGGAAGATGACCATGTCCGTGACCGGACAAAGCACCGGAAGAGCAGACAGTCCAAAACAGTTCTGCGGGCATCTCATCCTCAACCTGCTAACCAGTCCATTCAGAGTTCACTGGAGGAAATCAGCCGGTCAGTATAAAATGCATGTTGTTTACGTTATGTTGTACTGTGTCAGTGATCGGGAGGACTTGGGTTTAAGTCTGATTTCTGTTCATGTGATAAAATACGAAGTGGTGTGCACACTGTAGTGTTTGCTGTCTGTGTGTTTGCATTAGCCTTATGTTACTCTCTAACCCCTGTCCTTCTGCAGGCTGAGAGAGGTGACTGGTCACCTATGCAGAGAGGGGAGCAGCAGTGAGAGAGAGGAGGAGCTGAGATGGAAGATTAACCAGCTGGAGAAAGACAAGCTCGAACTCACCTCAAAGTACAACCAGGAGGTGCTCTGCCTTTTAACTGTCCTTTACAGTTCTGTCCAGTCTGACCTGATTTAAAGGACCCATATCATGGAGAACCACGCTTTACACACTTTTTAAATAAAGGAGCTTGATGAAATATGTAAACATAGTTAAAGTTTCACTTCTCAGCCCACGTACTGTTTTAGGCACTTACTAAACTGCAAAAACAGCTCATTTTATATCAGTCAAACCTAATTCCAGTGGATAAAGCGAATTTGGAGAAATGAATTATGACAGTCATCATAAGTGGACATCAGGATAAAAAAAAATAAAAAAAAAAAAACCGGGACAAAATGAAAGATAGGCGGTAGGCCTGACATGTGTCAGCCATGATGTACTGCCCACATACAGTACAGTTTCACTGTAGAATTTTTTTGTATATACACGCCAGACAGATGGCACATATATCCTCTCTCACAGCATCTGTGCGCTTGTGTGATGCACCTGCTTCTCCTAATCTCTTCCTGTTTCATCTGTAGCCGTTGTTCACTCACCACAGACGATAATCAACATGGATCCAGAAAACACACTTGTAATGTAGATGTTAGTAGATGTCAATGTGCAGAGTCTTCAGCAAGTGCACGTTATGTTCTGTTGTAAGTGTACATTAATTGGGTTTATTGTAAATCATATTTCAGTAAGTAAAGAGAGAGATTAGGTTGAGAAATTGGGGAAAAAATACATTTCAACTGTTCATCTATTCAGTTGATTTAAAACTGTATCTGTTCAGTACACTGAACTGTTGGCTCTTCTGTGCAGTTACTCTGCCTAGAGTTACTCTAGTAATGTTGTGGTTCACCTGGATGGTCGTACAGGTGTCGGGGTATGAGGCTCAGCTAGCTCGACTCCGCGCCCTGCTGGAGAGAGGAGAGGCCAACAGACAGACGCTGGAGTACGAGGTAGCCGTGGTGAGGAGAGATGCTGCTGTGCAGAAAAGCTCCTCTGAGGACAGAATTGCTGACCTACATAAACACAACCAGCAGCTGAAGAGTGAGTATATATAAATGAGTGTAAAAGAACTCTTTGATTAGCTGTGATTTTGCTTGTATTTCATATTTAAACAGTAGAATGCAGGAGGGACGGTGCTGTAATCTATGTGCAGTAGATTATTATAGCTGTGATTTTCTTGTCCAGCTTAAGAAAAAAAAAAAAAGGAAGCAGATATTGTAAATATTTAAAATGTATGTTTTTAATGTTGACTAGTTCTTCCTCCGAAAAAGTAGTTCTGGTAGAGTAAAGCATCCATTGATGTTATTTAGAAAATGGTGCTCAGTAAAATGATACAGATAAATGTAAAAATAAGGATATAATCCATTTTTTTTACACTTCAACGTTGGCTGTCATGACTTTGTTATGATAGATTGTGTCAAGTAATTTAATAGCTTTCTTAACATTACAGGCAATTATCATGACAGATGCTGTAATGTGTGATGTCATGATAGCTACCTAGAGTACACAGCAAAAATTAGGACGTGATGCAAGCTGTCGTGTCAGTTTCTGGTAATAATGAAATGACACTTGTCTGTCACAACAAGGCATAACAGCGTATGTTGAAGTAAAGTGTTACTGAAAAGTGTTCCAGCCCTACAGTAAGAAATACTTGTGTCATTCTTTAATGTTTCTTCTGTGTAGCTCTCAGTGCAGAGCTGAGCCAGAGGGTTTCAGATTTGGAGAGGGCTCTGGAAATCACAAGACAGGCGCGAGAAGAAGACCAGCAGGGCCTTCAGGCGGAGCTGCACGAGAGGGACCGCCTGCTTCTTAGCAGCAATGCTGAAAATGACCTGCTGCAGGCAGAGAAGAGGCGACTGGAGGCACTGCTGCAGGTACTGTCTGTGTGTGTCCTGACCTGGTCTTTGGCTGCATCCACATTACGTGACTGAATAGCATTCACATTACGTGAGGTTGAATCAGAATTAAAAAATCTGAATTAGTAATGGCTTAAAGTAGCCTTTAATTGAATGTGATTTCATTATAATCTATTTGCTCTCTCTCTCTCTCTCTCTCTCTCTCTCTCTCTCTCTCTCTCTCTCTCTCGCGTGCTCTCTCTCGCTCTCTCTCTCAGGAGCAGAATGACACTCTGAAGGAGCTCAAGGACAAGATGGACAGAGTGCAGAAAGGAAGAGAGAGGGATGCAGAGGAGCTGAGAGTGAAGACATCAGAACTGAAGCTCAGTGCAGACAGAGAGGAGAGGATGCGGACGGAGGTGGAGGTGAGGGGAGGGGAGGATTGATAGAAAGAAGATGAGGGAAGAAAATTAAGTTTGTTAGCAATAAATCTCAGTAATAAACTACACCACAGTGTTCTTGTAGCCCATGAATTATGTTTTTGTTCCTTATTAATGATTTATTATATTCATTCATTTTAATTAATTAATTAGTTATATCTTATTCTGATGTGTATGTGTGTTTTGTTTGTGTGCAGTCTGCCATGCAGAGAATGAAGGCTCTGGAGGAGAATGTGGAGTCAGAGAGAGCTGCTCACCTGGAGTCCAAGTTCAACTCTGAGATCATCCAGGTACTGTTCGGTCTCAGCTGTTACAGGGCTCTGACACACCGAGCTGAGAAGTTATGTGCTGTATGTCCCACAAACTGCTGGGCTCATCATCAGCTCATCATAGGCAGTCGGCCGTCATATAGAGCTGAGAATCAGCGCATGTGGAGAGAAAGTGAGGCAGACTTGCATTTTTCAGCACCAGTGCAAATAACAAATCACTACCATATGAACTATTTTTCCTAAATCAGTGTGTCCAAATTTTTAAATGATGTATTTCCACAAAGAAATATGTAACATTATACTAAATAATTGAAGACACACAAAAGCTCTTAAGCCGCTCTTAATAAAAAACATTCTTACAGTGGATTCACATGTCTGCATTGGAAAAAATGTTCCGTGCCTCATGGCAGTACTCGACCAGTGGCAGCATGGTGCCAAGCAAACGTTGACGTTGGTGATGGTGGATGATTATCAGAGGAGAGGTTTATTAGAGGTTGTGTTGTATAATACTGGATTGATCTGGGATTCAGCAGTGAGTCATTTTGTATCCACAGCTCTCAAAAAAATCAGCATCCGGTTTATTTCACTGCTGCGGTTGATGGCAGAAGTTTAAAAAATTGAACTCTGACTCTGATTGAGTTCTGACTGTTGCAGCTCGATTGAAAACAATGGAATATCTGGTTTGCTATCATCTAATGACAAAATGTGAACTCGCCACCACTCATTTTATTGACTTATTCACGGCCCCATAGGCAGCTTGTGTATCTGGAGACACAGTTCCATATCATGTCTGTATGTTGTCTGTATTTTTTAAATTATTAATATTTTATGGTAATGTTGTTAAAATTTAAAAATGAAAACTAAGCTGTAAGACCAGTCTGCTTTGAATTAATTGTTTTTGTAAAATTTCACATTTAGGAAACGTGCAGGCTATGGGTCTTTTAACATATGTTCCACTGCGATAATGGACTTAGATTGCATAGGATCTGATATAATAACTATAAATCTCCCTTGCGTGTGTGCGTGTGCGTGTGCGTGTGCGTGTGCGCGTGCGCGTGTGCGTGTGTGTGTGTGTGTGTGTGTGTAGCTGCGGCTCAGGGATCTGGAAGCTGCTCTGTGTGTGGAGAAGAACAGTCAGGCTGAAGCTGTGTCGAACCTGGAGCTGCTCAGACAGCAGTTTGGAGAGGTGGAGAAAGCGTACACGCGAGAGAGAGACAGAGCCAAGGACACACACCACAAACTCCAGCAGTAAGACTGACCACACACACACGCCACAAGGTCTGCAGCAGGTCTGGTGAACTGCTGTGAACACTGATCCAAGAGCTGTCGCATCTGAAGTCTAAGAAGTCCTCTGTGAAATGCACTGTAGGTTGTTTTATGATTTCATAATGATATAAAGACATGAACACTCAAAGAACACCGAAAAGGGTTCTTATATTGTTACAAGCTTGACATTGTAACAGAAGATGAGAAGCGTCAGTGAGGTAATGGAAGGCGAATGTCAGTCGGGCGTAGCTGCCACTAGTTCTTGAATGTCAGCTAGGTGTGTCCAGCTCTTCTCTTCAGATAAATCTGCTTTAACTGTGGATGAGTATTTCTGAACTAAGGCTTGTTTCATCATTTCATTTACCCTTTTTTAATGGTCTTTCTGATGAACAGTGTGGCGTTCACTTTTGTCTTTTGCATTTACAGATTGATTTTTGTGACACTGATTTATTAAAATTATTTTTTCTGTAGGCTGGAGAAGGAATACCTGAGCACTAAGACTGAGCTGATTGGTCAGCTGGATAAAGAGAAGGCTGCTGCAGCTGAGCTGATTGGTCAGTTGGAGCAGGAAAGGGCGGAGTCAGTTAAGCTGTCCCTCAGACTGCAGGAGGAGGAGAGAGTGCAGACGGAGAACCAACACACACTCAGCCTGGTACACACACCCCTGTGTTCTTTCACTCTCTCGTTTACTCAGTCTTTTCGTGTGATGTCACTTTCACTTCACTGTCAGTGTGATCTAGTTTTATATACCGTGTTTTATATCCATGAATCCATAAATCCATGTCCCGTTTACTGTTTTGTGATGCAGCTTCAAAAGAAGCTTGTGTGGGTGGAGGAGGCACATGAGGGTCTTCTGAAAGAAATGGAGCAGTTGTTACAGCATTATCACCACTTGGGGGCTCCACAGATCAACAACACAGGTGTGTTTGCACGTTTGGTATTTAACTGCACATGTCTTATTACTAGTGAAAATTCCAGTCTTGATTGAAGTCTGCAGAGATTTCATTACTTCTTGTGTGTGTGTGTGTCTGTGTGTGTGTGTGTGTGTGTGTTAGGGGAGGGAGATAAACACAGTTCCTCTGCTATGATGGACATCCTGAGGAGAACACTACAACACTATCATACAGAGGTACCATTACATACACACTGCAGCCACATTACAAAGTCTCTCAATGGCTAACATAAGCAGTTAAAACACAGTCATAGACTAAAACAAACTGCAGAGGTGGTCACAAGTCTCGAGTCTCTGGGCTTTGAGGCTGAGTCGAGTCTCTGGGGTTTGAGTCCAGTCTCGAGTCTCTGGGGTTTGAATCCAGTCTTGAGTCTCTTATCACTTGAATAAGATAGTTCTTCAAGGGTTCTTCAGTAAAGAAAATGGTTCTAAATGGAACCGTGAATACTTAAAGAATCTTTTGCATGATTAAATGGTTCTTCAGATTGATAGAGAAAGTGATCTATATAGAACCTTTTTGAAAAGGGTTCTATATAGCTCCAAAACAGGTTGACATCATAACAATAGAAGAACCCTTTTAGATGCTATTTAGAACCCTTTTCAAAAAGGTTCTATCCAGAACCATCTATAGCACATTCTCCATCAATCTGCAGAACCAGGCAAAGCACCCTTTAATCATGCAAAGGGTATTTTGAGTGTTCTTGGTTCCATTTAGCACAATTTTCTTTACTAAAGAACCATTGGAGAGCCATCTTTTGTAAGAGTGCAGTCATGTTATTAACTGCAGGCGTTGCACTGTGTAAAACAAACCTATTGAAACCTGTCAGGTTCAACACGGCGTCAAATAAGGAGCCTTTTATTAGAGAAAAACCATCGATCTGAAGGAGAGAACTGAAGTGTTACGACCAGTAACTGTGGTGTTAAACCCCTTAATTTTCACTCCTAATTTAATCTGCTACCTTTGTGTTTTTTTCACAGTTTTTTTTTATTTCACAGGTATTCAGTCTGTAGTCAGAGTACCAAATCTTTTAACGTTGAAGTTGCTGACTCAAACCTCCATCTCTGCACACTCATGTCCAGCTGTTGTTTCCAGTTGGTCTGCTTAGCTCTTGCCTCTCCGTGTGTGTGTGTGTGTGTGTGTGTGTGTGTGTGTGTGTGTGTGTGTGTGTGTGTGTGTGTTTGTGTAGCTGAAGGACTTGTTGAAAGTGGTGGATACGCTGAAAAAAGAGAGCAAAGAGAAAGAGGAGATCATCACTGAACAGAGGAGACACATCCAGGTGAGTAAGTGTGTGAGGATCAGAGTCTTACTGCATTTATGTACGATCACCTTAAAAACTCATAATTTATGACTTTGCCTCTAAAAACAGAAAACAGAAAAGATGTCCATGACATTTAAAAACACACTGTAATTTATTTTACTTGTATTTACTTGGTTTTATTTATATTTTATTTATTTCGACAATTGGATGATTCAGTTTTGCCTTATATTTAAATCATTATTGTTTTATTGCTTTGACTTTTCATTTGTCACACTTTTTTCCTGATCATATTGGAAGTTCTGAGGCTTTTTCATCCTGAATACAAAATAATGTGATTATGGTGGAGAGGTTCCACTAGTATGATGTTGCTTAGGGCCCCTAGATGTTCAGAAACAGTCCGGAATATTTATTTAAAAAATGTAAAGGTGTTATGTAGTGACCCTTACATGCTGCAGGGACCCTAGTGTGATGTATGAAATGAGGTTAACTGTGTGTGTCTGTGTGTGTCTGTGTGTGTGTGTGTTGCTCTGCAGGAGTGTGAGGGGCAGTGTGTGTGTTTGGGCGAGGAGGTGAAGCGTCTGCGTGTGAGTGTTACAGAAGCTGCAGCCGCTGCAGATCGAGCGCAGACGGAGCTCCGCAACGTCACACAGCGCTGGGAGGAGGAGAGAGAGCGACACACACACACCCGAGCACAGATACACACTCTCACTCAGGAGCACGAGAGAGACCAGCAGGTTTGATTCACACACACAAATATGTAAAATATGAAAAAGATGATTAAAGGGTTTTATGTTTTCCTGATTCCACTTTATCGGTAATTCTTGTTTGCTCTTTGTCCGTTTATAAAATAGAACAAGTTGGTTTTGCCACTGTGCCATTACTAGTAAAATATGTAAATGATCTTTGTTCTGATTGGCTCGTTCAAAAAGCAGTTTGGTGTGAAGTGTATAGAAGGAACTGTTAAATTCACATAGCCAAATAAACTTAAGCTGCTCCTCTTGGATAAATGGGTCCTTCGGAAGGCTGCGGTGATCCGTTTGCTTGCTGACAGTCAGGAACAGCAACATATTTTCATATATTTTCCATTCCAGTGACTGCTATAACAGGAACCACCCTCGCACTGGTCGAATGGGTGCGGCTAAACTACTGTAGGCTGAATGGGCAAGGTTGTACTACTAAAGGCTAAAGGGGAGGGGCTATGATGCTTTAGGTTGAATCGACAGCTGTACGTAAATGCCTTCATAGTTGTGACAAGACCACAATTAAAAAATCTAAACATTTAATTTGTGTTTGCATGTCTCTGTGTGTGTGTGTGTGTGATTGTGTTTACAGGAGAAGCTGGCGTTCTTGCACTCTCTGTATCAGCAGCTTGTTGCTGGCTGTGTGCTGGTGGCCCCACCTCAGAGCATGCTGGGAAGTTTTTCATGGGTGGAGCTTAGCACTGTGCTGCAGGAGCATGTGGATGCGCTGGCCTCTGACCTTAGCTCAGCCAATCAGAAGGTACGACTGGGGAGTGTGTGAGTTTCTCCTGAGTAACGATCTTTATGCCAGGAGTGTCCAGTCTTATCCTGTGTGGCTGCAGCTTTTCAGTCCAAACAAGCAGAAGCACCTGATTCCACTCATTAAATCAGATGGTCTCAGTCTTCAGACAGCGGGTCAGGTGAGCTCCTGCTTTGCTAGAATGAAAACCTGCAGTCACACCGGCCCTTAAAGGATAAGACTGGACACCACTGCTTTAGCCCTTTTACACTCAAATCCCAGGTTGTTATCAGGATACTTTTCCCGCAAAGTCCAGTCTTGGAGCTTTCATCACTGAATCATATGCAAAAATACAGCCCCAAGACCTTCTCCTCTCACAGAAACTGAACATTTGACCATAAAAACAAAGGTGTCACAGAATCTTTTGGCATTGCTGGCCACACCCCGACTAAAGGGGTCACAGAAACTCCACTTCATTGGCTGAAATCTGGATGTTACTGTATTTCCTGGTAGCTTATAGGCTTTGGTTCATGCATGAGCCCTGCTGGTCATGTTCTGGTTATTGTACTGGACTCATGCAGGAAAACTGCCACATCAGCTTTACCAAGATTTTGAATCCAGCTTGTGTTCACACATAACCTCTTCCTGTTAAATTACCAGGTAAAGCTGCATGTATGAAAGGCGCTGTTGACACACTTTAATAACTGAGTACACTTTAATAACTCTCCATTTTGTTTGTGTGTGTGTGTGTGTTTGTGTGTTAGATCTCAGGTCTGGAGAGTGTGTGTGAGGGGAAGGCGGCAGCGCTGGCGAGTGTGTGTGAGCAGCTGAAGCAGAGGGAGGAGAGCTGGATCAGACAGAGAGAAGAGCTGGACACACACCACACTCAGCTAACCAACGAGTTACAGACTAGAGTTCAGGTAACCAAACACTCTTCTGTTTTAAATCACTTATAGTTTTTGTTATTTTATTCACGGATCATTTTACTGTGTAGATTTATATTCACATCACAGAAGAGACTTTTTATAGATTTGATTTATTTTCTTAAGTTCAATTATTTATTTTCTCCCACCCCTAATTCTTCAGTGATATGAGGCTGAAGTCAGATATTCGCCAGCTTCTTGTTCTAATTTTCCGGTTGCACCTTAAATGGAGCAGCAGTTACATTCAAAGCTGCTGGACCGAGTCAAAGCTGCTGGACCGAGACAATAGCATAGTACTAGCAATTTTTTTATGCCTGTTATGAAGAAAACGACCATAATACACTGAAACAACATTAAACTAAGATATCAGTGATCAGTGTTTTTTAAAGGAGAGAATTATCAGATTTGTGGGTTTCTTTGGTTGCTGTGCAGCCATCTTGCTGTTTTCTTCTCCTCATAACACTCTGGAGTGTGCCTCTGAAAAACACTTCCCCCTACCCCTCCACCTCAACAAGAATCGGGACACTCTACCCTTAGACATGAACACGCAAAATGGGACACAAAGGGCTAAGTCGTAAGGTCCAGGGGTGAAATGGGATTGGGCCCTAATCTTTCTTTATTCTTTTACAGCTTCATACTAATCATTAAAACGTTAAAAATTAATATAATTATATACATGAATCTGAAACTACAATGGTAGTGAAGATACAGCACTAATCTTTCTCTCTCTCTCTCTCTCTCTCTCACTCTCTCTCTCTCTCTCTCTCTCTCTCTTTAGAATTTGAGGAGGACGCTGGATCAGGCTGAGGAGAGCATCCGTGTTTTGGAGCGCGGTCGTTCTGACCTCGAACAGGAACTGACCCGCCTGCAGGACCTCCTGAGTGTGTGTCGCCGTGACGATGCGTCCCTGCTGGCGGCCTGTGCGCTGCTGGCCGGTTGTGTGTGTGAGCTGTACGGGCGCGTGGGTGTGCTGGCGCGTCAGAAGACGCTGCTGTGGGGCCGAGTTTGTGACGGAGCGGCTCTGGAGCGTGAGGTGGGCTCTCTTCTGCATGCGCTCAGTGAGCCTGAGGTCAAAGGTCAGGCGGAGGTGAGAGGAGGTGTGTGGGCGTTCCGGCGGTGTGTGATCGCCGTGCTGGCCGCTCTTCGTCTCCAGGCGCTCCAGCGGAACTCACGCAGGCTCTTCAGGGTCAGCAGCAGGTCAGGGGAGTCTCCCGGGGTTTGTGTGAGGGAGGTTCGTCTGAGAGAGGGATCACCAAGGACAGAGAGAGAGGAAGAGGAGGAGGAGAGGAGTGTCCGAGTGATGAAGATGCTGAGATCCTCTGAGCTCGCTGTGCTCATACACAGCTGCATGCAGGGAGTGCAGCAGGAGCTGGACAAAACGGGTGAGCGAACACATTCACACCCCAAAACACAGCTGGAGTAGGCGCACTTCATACATTGCAATAACACAGTGCTTAAATACCAGCTATAGGGGCTCTCAAGTGGTGCAACTGTCTAAGCGTTGACCCCGTCATCAGGAGATTGCGAGTTCGATCTCTGGTGATGCTACAGGCGTCCGTGGCCGGGAGTCCAAGAGAGCACAGTTCGCCTCGCTCTCTGGGTGGGTAGGATGGCCCCCTGTCTCCCTAATCATTCAGCGCAATGCTGAATGATGGGGATGCAGGCATACAGAGTGGGGGTGCAGGCATCTGTTAGCTGACGTAACAGATCTGGCAGTTAGCGTTCTCCTCCGAGCGTGTTCAGCCACCCAGTGATGTTGCGTGAGCGGCAGTTTGAAAAGATGCGGTGGAGCTTCACAGGTCTCGGCAGAAGCCTGTGCTAACCTTCGCCCTCCTAGCGCTGGTAGTATCATGTGATTAGGTCCTAACTATAGGGTGGAATTGGACACAACTAAATTGGGGAGAAAATTGGGGGAAAAAACAAAAAATAAAAAAATAATAAATACAAATTATTATCGGGGACTTTTTGCCATTTATCTCATGAAAAAAAAATTAATCATCCCAAAAATGTCTTTGGATTTGGAGGTAAGACATTACCCCTGCTGCGCTTGCTGCCTTTGCTTTGCTTGGTGCCTTTTTTTTGCGTTGTGTTATAGCGTCCCCTTGTGGGGAATCTGAAATATTCTGGAGAGAATAAAATCTTGTTACCATTATGTTGCCCCTTTTTCTTACATTTAAAATGACACTAATTGGGATTAATACTTTAGGAGAGTCATGTAGTTTGTATTTTTGTGCTACAGTATTTTATTTACATTCTCTAAAAGATTACATACAGTGCTGTTTAGTGATGCTATAACAAACTAATCCTGCCCTAAAAAATCCGCTATGAGTACCTGCTTCGGGCTACATGATATACATAAAATCTAATATTCATACTGTTTTGCTGCATATTGTAATTGGTGATCAAAATAAAAAAAACAGTTGTTGAATGGCATGATTCCTTAAAACACCCACAGAAGCTTAACTAGATCGCTAGGGATGGTCAGGATACTCACAGTACACAGTATAAAAAAACCTTATAGAAATTAAAGTATGAGTTCTTTTACATGAGGTCCCCACAAGTCTGGTAACAGATCCTGTTTGCATGTGTGGTTTGTGTGTGATTGTTTGTTAGAGCTCAGCTCTGCTGTGCTGAATGCAGCTCAGAACAGCTTCAGTAAACTGCTGGAGAGACTGCTTTCAGAAACGGACCCTGGCTGTTGGGGGCGCTGGGGAAATGTAGGGATGTTGGCCCGGCAACTTGGTCATGGTCTGCAGAGGCTTCGCACAGCTCACCACATTCCGGCAAGACGTTACACCAGCAAGGTAACATGGTTGCGTAGGTAACAAGGTAGCACAGTTTTAGTGTTTAGAATCTTGTTCAGATGCACTGTTTGTGTGTATTTTAGGCGAGTCACAATGCGCATGTTAATATTTTGTGTTTTTAGTATGTCGGGGATGCGTCAGTATAGAATTTCTGTGCTGGTACAATAACCCACAGCAGTTACTGCTACCGATATCAATAACCAATCACGTGGATCTGTATTTGTATCATTGTGTGTGTGTGTGTGTGTGTGTGTGCAGTGCATGGTATCTTCCTTGCAGCAGCACTTCCTGGTGTTCACCCAGCGGCTGCACTCCGCAGAGGTGGAGCGGAGAGAACTGAGACTCGAGCTGTCCCGCCTTAAACGCAGCACAGCACACTCCCGCAACAAACCCAAAGACAACACACACACTGTGAGTGCCCGTCACACACCCTGCCCTGCTCTGTGTCGCTTTAGCAGAGTGTACAGTGCAAAGCATGTGTGTGAAAAATTCATTTAATATGAATAAAGTGAAGAAGCTCATGTTTTTTTTGTCTTTTTAATATAGTTTGAATATTTGTGACTGTGTGTTTCAGACGTGCGTTCCTGTGAATCAGTTCCAGAGTGTGTGTGCGGAGCTGAGCTCTGCTCTGCAGAGGGAACAGGAGGTTCAGGCTCTCCTGCACCAGCAGGCCACACAGCTGCAGGAACTGGGCCTCACCATGGAGCTGCACACTGGGGACCAGCTGGAGAAAGACCGCACACTGGCTCAGGCTGTGCAGGTATGCAAACAGACACACACTGACTACTGCTGCATACACACGTTTTGAACGCATATGCACACACACACACACACACACACACACACACACACACACACACACACACACACACACACACACACACACTTCTATCAGTGACCTGTACTGATGTCTGTCTCTCAGAGCCTGTCAGAAGCAAAGGCGGAGCTTAAGAGAAAGGAACAGTCCCTGCGTCTGTTGGGGAAGCGACTGAGCCAATCACAGCAGGAGAAGCAGCAGCTACAGCAGAGCATCAGCAGTGCAGAGAATGCGCTACGCATGGCAGCAAAGTAACACACACACAAGCCCATATATACATACACACATATACATATATATATGTATATGTATATATGTAATGTGTGTGTGTGTGTGTGTGTGTGTAATTTTTTTAGTTAATTAGATTTCAGGTGTATATGAGTGCATTGAAAAACTGAAAATCTTTTTTGGTGTTTATTTAAAACAGGAATAAAGACTCGTTAGCCAGCTATGTGAAATCTGTGGAGAGCAGTCTGAAAGAGGTGAGGACACCTGTAAATGATATCTTAGTGCATTCTCTCCTATTTCATATCATTTTTAAAAATAGTACATACATATTTTGTTTTTAGCTGAAAGATCGCATCATTCTCTCTCGCTCCTCGACGTCCCGAGAGGACTTCACCTTGCACTTACCCAAAACACTTTTGGACGTGGCAGAACCGAAGTGGAACACGGGAGGGCCAGAGATAGCTGCCTGTCAGGTGGGCTAAATTCGGGATTCATTTCTTTCGCCATTTATTATGATGAGTGTTAACACAGAGATTGAGATCAGCAGTTTTATACGGATGGACAGGGATGTCGGTTCGTGCTGATGAGTCTGTAATATCTGTGTTTGTGTGTGTGTTTGTGTGTGTGTGTGTGTGTGTGTGTGTGTGTGTAGACTCTGGTAAGGAGTTTTCTGGAAGTGTATCAGTTGGCGTGCTCCAAGATGGCGTCTCTGGAGAGAGAGATTTCCTCTTATCAGAGCCACATCACGGCGCTGAAGGCGGAGCTACAGGACGCCTGCCTCAGAGAGAGCCAGATCTATGTGCCTGTGAGTTCACTCACTCAGTCTACTCTTTACTGATCACATCATCTCACTGGAAGATAATAATACTCATATTTTCACACAGCAGACACATAGAGGCCAAATCTCAAGGTTCAGGAACTGAAACCTGATTGGCTGAGCCACAAATACTCAATATCATTGCTGAAGGATCTGTGCTTGAAAACTGCTTTTTTGGAGAAATGAGGTTTTGTTCCAAAAGCAATGATATGTACCTGTACTTGCAAGTTATTGTACTGGTACTAAGCAACTTTACAAAACACTATTTAGTTAATAATTTAATATTTATAATAAATGCAATCATTTATTGAACACTGGCATATTTTCTCATATTGTATAGACGCTTGATGCAGTTACAGTTTTTATATGCACTTTATTATGGTAAAATCCTTGTAATGCCTGGTCTACAGTGGCTAATTTCTTTATTCTTTAAAGACGCTCTTTATTCTGATAATTAAAAGAATAAAATTTCTTTATTCTGATGAACTAGTAAGTTCACCCATTGTGGAAGTGTGCATTATCTTAACAAATGATTAATTATTAAACTATGCATTAATATTAGTTGTAGCTGTGTTGGCAGGGCATTGATGTTTAAAGGGCCCATATTTTACATTTTTCTTTCATTACACAGAAAGCATTCAAAAACATTAGTTGTACATAAAAAAACAATTGCAGTTCATTTTTAAAGCACCATTTTTAAACCTCTGTTATACGTTAGAATTAAACAGGCTGCTGCTGTTACTGTGCCTTTAAGACTGATAGATGTAGGTGACGTCTGCTCTGGTTGGCTGTTGTGTATTGTGCTTCATTCAAGAAGCCCACTCTGATACGCTCTTTATAACTTCAGAAACTAGTACAGGTGAAAGAGGTAGATAGAAGTAAATGAGTGCTTTTACATGCATGTAATAATCTGATAATTGCTGAAAATCAGATTTTGTCAGTAATCCGATTAGTAATTGGATTTCTGCTTTGCATCCGGCCAGTAAACTCAGAGAAGACATTACGGAAACATGTAAAACTCAGACTTCATGCAGTGGCTTTTTAAAGAAAAAAAAGCATTGCCCCACTTTACCCGAAAATATGAACATACATCATCTAGAAGATGAAGAATAAAAGTGTTTTGCTGCATCTTACGGGTGCTGAGTTAAACGCTGCTTGCTGTTTCTGGTACTGTGGTCTGAGAAATCCGAAAGAAATCAGAGTAAGAGTTTACATGCACTGAGAAATCGGACTACTGAGCTAAAATCCAGCCTCTTTATCTGATTTCTGCAGAAATCAGATTATGATCAGATTACTGGGGGCATGTATGTCATGACATCACAAAAACAACAAATTCAGAATAGGCTTTTTCGCAGCTTAATTCACAGATATGGACCGAGGACCGAGGAATGGACATTGTGTTTTAAAACTTCAGTAATGTTTGCAAACAACATTAAACTCTGACTTCAACAAAGTGAGAAAATGTGTTTTTTTGTGTGTGATATGGGCCTTTTAATCTGTATGTATGCACTGTAAACATTTTAAATATTTTTATATTTTAAATATATTATCAAGTATTTGTGTACTTAATCAATTTAATAAAAACAGTTACTTTAGCAATTAGATAATTATCATTTTACATGAGACAGTAATTATTTTTCTTTGTATTACTTGCTGCCTGGTGTTGGTCACTACCTTCCAGAGGTCAGTGTCCTTCATAACAACACACATTCCACCAAATGCTGACATTATAACCAGCACAGTCTTTACTTACGATATTTTGCGCTCATTCTGTGTGTTTGTTTTCAGGTGATGGGAGCTGATGAACCCGCACTTCCGCTTTTTGAAGTAGAAGTGGATTCTGGGACACCCCCACTCTCAGATGCTGGTGTCACACTCAAAGACATCCCTGGAAATTTGCGTCCTCTTCAGTCAGTTCCACTGAAGAAAAGCAAAGCTGTGAAAAAAGGCTCTAAAAACACTAAAACTCTCAAAGGTGCCTCAAAACCATAAACACAGAACTCTACATATCATTCAGAATATTTATAGTTTAGGATTACACAGTTTTTATTGTATTTTGTTTTCACATTGTTTTATACCCTCTTGTAAAGACTAACAACTGTTGTGAAAAGTCCTGTAAACAGTATTGGAAATAAACAGTACTGAACAGTGTGAACAGTAACATAATCTCTCATTGACTCTTGGTATGAAGTATTATTATTATTTCCCACATATGAAAACAGCCAGGACAAAAATATTCAGTGAGAAATTGAATCTTTTTTGTAACTTCGCACTGACAGCAGTACTTACAGCAGATAGTGGGGGTTTAACTTGTTCAGTGTCATGATTTTTTTCCTGATTGCGAAGATGAGTAAGTTTGAAACACACACTTTTCCCATTCCTTTAAACAAACTGCTGTATTGACAAGAAATATCAGTACAAACTCAGCATCAGCTGTTTCAGTGCAGTTCAGCTACTTTAAGTAACACTTTGCTCTCAGTTTGGTGGTTTCCAGCTAAAGATAGAAACCAGAGAAAGAATCTAGAGCTTCATTTATAAAGCATTCATACACACAGATCTTAAAATGATGTGAAAGCTGCACTGTTTGATTTGTTTGTGTCATTACTGAATGAGGAGAATAAAAACAGGCTAAAATATGGTGAGTGTGAGCTGCTGCGAGTCGCACAGTAAGGCCTGAAATCATAATCATTTAGAAGTCAGAGGTGTCGAGTTGGGAGTTTTTGCACCACGTCATACATCTTCACATATGAACATCACGCACACAGACTTAAAAAGAAGGTCTGTCTCAATGTTTAGGTCTCAAATGATCTCAGAATCAACATCATATTGATGATGATGTGATGACAATAGTAGATAATTCACTCACATCCTCAGAAGATGCTCCTTCACCAAGTTTAGACTGAGTTCTCTTTGAATTCTCCTTCAATCATCAGATTCGTCCACTCGGGAAGGGGTCTGAAACACAACCCGCACCAAAAAATTTTCCTCCACATGTTGCTTGTAATTACACATTTCCACCAGAGAGGTCTCCAAATCCCCACATCTTACGTAGTGCAGCTTTGTAGTGATTTGACATGGAAATGTACACAGACAGATATTAGCTTCCATATTGACATATAAACAGCAGTACTACAGGCTCCTTAAGAACAAATGTAAAATGAAATTCTGATGTTTTAGAAATGGGGCTGGGTAACAAATTTACATTCCATCTTAAACTGTCTTGCTCAATCATTTTTGCGCTACATTTTCTCAGATGATTAGCATCATCTCCAGCAATCTGTGCCCTCAGTCAGTCATCAGAACACTTTAAATGTCCTCTCATTTCCTTTAATGCATGCAGTATGTGTCTGTTTTTTGGGCTTTAAACTCTGACTGACTGACTCTGAGCGCTTTTATTCCCAGTCAGCATTTTCATTTGTGTAAGGGATGTAAAATTGCACATATAGATTAAGAAAAATGGTAAACTCTTAAAGTCCTTCTGAAAAGAGAGCCGCAGCTTCTAATCTGTAGCTTTAATGTGATTGGAGGGTAGCAGAAATATAATGAGTAAGTTGTATATCAAGACCCACAGAGGGACACACAACCCTCTGAACTCCAAAACAGGATTAAAATTAGTCCAGATTAAGCATCATTACATGCGAGTTAAGCGATGCTCCTGACGGACCTATTCAAAGCAGGCTGAGCTCGTAAGTGTATGTGAAAGGGACCTGTCCCAGAAAGGCCACAGATTACTGTTAATCCCAAAGCTTTGATTGTCACCCTGTTCCTCTATTCAGGGTGCACCTCAGTGAGAGGGTGGTTTGCATTTGGAGAGAAGCGCTAATGTGAAAATGAGTGATGTACCGATCCAGCTGGATCGGTATTACTGCTAATACTGACCCAATTAAAATATCAATATGGTATTCAGTACAGTGACTGTCTTAGGGGTGGGCAATGTAATGATAATAAAACATTGTTGTCACTATACTCTTTTCTGAGTAGATGATCTGTATGGACCTCTAAAACACTGAACAACTGCTTGGATTATAAAGAAGACCGATTAGAGAAAGACAGTAACTGTGTAAGAGTTTGATACACAGTGATAGTTATATGGCTTGTGTACACTTAAGGCACTAAACAGTCACTGGAGCAGTGCCCCTCTTGTCACTGGGGTGGGACCCTCAAGGGTACATCTCAGTACCTTTAGTCAGGGAACATAACTGAACCATAATCCACTGAAATGATATGTTCTAAGCTGTACTGACTCCACACACCCCGTCTCGTCTCCAGGCTTTTATTTTACTGTTCTGTTTAAAACATTCGGTTATGAAAAGGTACAAATACGAGCTTTTCACCTGGAAAAACTTATTTAAGGTGCACAATCAGACCTTAAACCACTGTTGGAGCTTTGTGGGAACATTTACATTGTTTTTACCTTGAAGAACAAAGAATGTACCTCAACAGAACCTTTATCTCTAACAGTGTAGCATGAAAATGCCTTCAAGTATTGTGATGTTATGTGTACCATATCACACACCCCCACTTGGTTTCTGTAAGACTGTGGTCTTCTAAACGTTGTAGACCAATATAATTAAGAAGGTTTATGGTCTGATGCCACAGGCCTGTATAGTGCAACAGTATTGCTCATATTTTTGATGAAATATATTCGGGTCCATGATAAATATTGATGATCACACCTGTGCAAACAGTGGGAGAAACAATGTCTTCATTAATCAATAAGATTTGATTCATTTATGATATGATTAGACATAATTTGATTTAATTAATGCCAGAACATTTAAACCCGGGGGGCAATCGTGGTCCCCAAATGACTGACATTTTGTTTGTATTTAAAGCAAATTGTGTTATTTTGCATGGGTTTTTGCTTTTCCATTGCAAATTCATTACTTATGTTTTCATTTGTCTGCCAGTATGATTGAACCAAATGTATAAAAACATACTGTATATAATGAAACTTCACTCTTATGAAAAAGAAGTGCTTTAACAGAGCACTGATATCAGAATAGTACTCGTTATCAATCCTGAGTTCAGATATCAGTATGAGAAGAAAGATTTGGATTCGTGCCCCTCTAGGGAAAACATTAGGGTGGGCTCATGTCAAATGGAACCGTTTATAAGTTAATATTGGACACATAAGGCCAAATACACTGACTGACAAAACTATTACTTCATTCTGTTCAATTAGCAACATTTCCTTGTTGCTTGTTTAGAAAACCTCAGTCAGAATCTGAATAAACGAGTTTCTCAGTGTCCTGATACCTCCGTCCACCCGCTGTGAAGGACTTGTGATGGTTAACCTTGCTGTTGAGAGGGTGAGCGATTAGCATGGCTAGCCTTGCTGCCGGTGTTGTCTGTGTGGCTGTTTCTGCTTCATTAGCTCGGTTGGCAGTAGTATAATGTTATTAGTGCGGTATTTGTGCTGCTGTCACTGCTGGCAGTAAGAGTATGTGTCTGTCCAGGCGTGTGTGTGGCGGCGAGTTGCCCCGTGGTGCAGTTAGCCCATTAGTGAGAGGCGCTGTAACGGCGGTAAGTGCCACCACGCGGGAGCTGGCACTCACTTCCTCTCTGTGGGTGGCATATGGAGAACACTGGCACCGCGCTGGCGCGTTTGAGCCGAGACTGGCACAGTTAAATCAAAAACAAACAGGCTGTGTGGGACACAGCAAAGAGTTTCGTAACGCACCCCGACCTCCGCTGAGCTCACTCTCAACTGGAAAGTGTGAATAAGGTGAGTAATTTCTGAACATCTTACAGCGGCATCCTAGTTGGGGTGCACAGACCTCCCCGGTCATACTATCATTCATTTTTTATCTTGAATAATGTTGATGGAGCGTATTACGATGGAAATGTGATATAAATTCCTGAAGTGAACTGCATTTTTGTCTTCATAGGTGAGCAAGCAGGTCAACATTCATAGAAGTAGTGTTGTGTTATTGTGTACATGCTGCTCATTGCTCACTAGCAGCTCAACACAGCGTCATTTCACACAGGGGGTTGCACAAACTAGTCAACTTGTCAACTCACTACTCGGCGAGGACCCTTTACGCTTGATGTCGACGAGTCACTGATCATGTGATTATGACACTAACAACATGGTTGCCTCAGAGAAGACAGCAGGTGAGGAGCCTGGAGATTTCAGTGTTCGTATCACAGGTTACCGACCTGTCAGCTTGTGAACTTCACTGCTTGGCGATGACGCTTTAAGCTTGATGTCGACTAGTCACTGAGGCTAGCAATGCGATCAAGGGCTTGTTGGAAAGTGCGCATCATGCTTCACTGAACTGTGGAGTTTGGCTTCATTCTTACTTTTCTCTGCCCAGCTACGGTGCTCCAAAGATCAGATATACTCCCTTTAATCATGTAAAGTTTGAAGCCAGGTACTCTTGTTTATGCTGACTTACAACACTCTAAATTTCTCAGGCTCTCCATACCTCCACCACAGACGAGCTTCTTGGCAGGGTAATCGAGGGGGCGACTAAGATACAAATTTGCGAGATTCCCGGGTCCGGACTCTTAAGGCTAGCTATGCGATCCAGAGCTCGTTGGAAAGGCATGTCACGTCATTGACTTGTGGAGTTTGGCCAGATCACAGATTTTTAAAGTCGCTTTTTGCAAAGCATTTTCTTCTCCTGTGGTTTCATTCACGACGCTGTTGTGTGATTCCTATTCACCCATTTGATTATATTTATTACAATATCCAAAAAATATATTTAAAAAATTAATAAATATATTTAATAAAAATATATTTAAAAAATAATAAATGTATATTTATTAAAATATCCAAAATCAATTCCCATTCCGCTGGTCGAATGGCCACTAGGGGGCGTTACTAAAAGAGGTTACGAATAACTAACTACAAACAAGTTTGACACTTGAATCTTTTAAATAACTTACCTGTGTTTATGAATACAATAAATATAATAAATCAACACAAATAAAAGAAATTAGAATGTGTGTTTTTTGCATGGTACATTCATAATTTTTGATTAATGCATAATTAATGCAAGCTTATTTAGGTGGTTTGGGCCTCTTCTGGCTCTCGTGGCCCAAAACAACTGCTTATACCACTTATAACAATAGTAATGAATAAACAGCTCAGACTTTTTCCTGTAAGAATTTGTGTTAAGGGTTTTTTGGTAGTATTATTTGTTGTATTTATGGTCTCTTTCTATTATAAAGTACAGTAGCCAAAGCAAAGGTGAAGTTACTAAGCATAACAGAAAGCTCACCAGCCTCCTAATGTTATTTATTTATTTGCTTTAGTGAAACTAGATAACTACTAGTATTACAGAGATGTTTGCAGTAGCTCAGTGCATATTTCTTCATGAGTATGTGGTGATTTCATTTATTTTACAGATTTATTTATTTATTTATTTTGAACTTTTTTAGTCTTTTAAATGCTGTTGAACGATCTTGCTTTTGCTTATGGTTGCGTAAAAGAGCTCCTCGGGCTCTTTGTCGTGTAAGACACAGTGTGAACGATACTTCACTGTGACTCTAAGTTTGGGTCACGACTCCCAGCTCAGCCTGCGCTTCCTAACTCTAAACCAAACCTGCTGAAACATCAGTTTAACTAGAAACTCCTCTGACTCACAGACACACACTGTTAACATATCAAACACCCACCTCACCGGGGACCACCAGGCAGAGGGGCATGACAAAAACACAAAGGGAGAATGTACTAACCCACGTGTATACTTCTGAGCAGCTTCTGCGCCGTCAGCAGAGGTAGCTCTCTGAGCGCTACTGCTCAGGGGAGATCATGTTCCCTCAGGGGAGGATGATGACGACGATGATGAGGAAGAAGCCAGAGGCTCAAATGTGAGCCCCCTGGGACCCGCATGCAGATTTTTTGTTTTTTGAATGAACCAGGCCCCGTTAGTGAGATGCTAACAAAACACTTTTCACTGGAACACTCAGGTTTTTAATGTGGTAATTATGAGAAGTCGATTAGTCCACTGCTTCTTTGAATAACTAGTCGTGTAACCCTTACTACTTAATACCCCTACATACTTGAGGATCAGGTATCGGGATCGGAAGGGATAAAGTGGTATCAGTGCATCCCTAGTAATGTGTCTCTCCACTCAGAAAGCTAAATGCACTGAATGCAGGGCCTGGATTACTGACCATGCCATTGGAGCTAATGCCCAGAAAGGGCTCAGATACATGGGGCAGTCCACTGCAGATACTCTATATAGACAAAAGTATTGGTACACCCCTCCTAATTATTCAGTTCAGGTGTTTCAGCTACACAGTGAAGTTTCTGTCCTGTTAGATCTGCCCCTGTCAACTGTAAATGCTATTACTGTGAAATGTGTAGACCACACAAACTCACAGAGGGGGGCTGCTGAGTGCTGAAGTGCACAGTGCCTCCTCTGTTGAGTCACTAACTAAAGAGCTCCAAACTGCCTCTAGAAGCAACATCAGCAAAAGCACTTTAGGAACTTCATGAAATGGGTTGCCATGGCTGAGCAGCTGCACACAAGCCCAAGATCAAAATGCACAATGCCAAGAGTCAGATGGACTCTGGAGCAGTGAAACGTATTCTGTGTAGTGATGAATCAGCTTCTCTATCTGTCAGTCTGATGGACGAGTCTGGGTTTGGCGAATGCCAGGAGAACCTTACCTGCCTGACTGCACTGTGCCAGCTGTAAAATTGGTGGAGGAGGGATGTTGCTATGGGGCTGTTTTTCAGGGGTTGGTCTAGAACCCTTAGTACCAGTGAAGGGAAATCTTAATGCTTCAGCACCAAGACATTTTGGAGAATTGTACACTTCCAACTTTGTGGGAACAGTTTGCGGAAGAACCAGCAGAACTGAGGCCACTGGATGCATTAGATGAACAAATAGCTATTGAATATGTACAGATGACTAAATAAATGAAATAAAACAAGAAATGTTATCTATTCTTAGGATACATGTTCTTAGCATATATGTTGATTTTGTTGCTGCCGTTCAAGTGGGATGTTTTACCCTTTTATGTGTGTTGAAATACTTCTGTTTCTGCATCACAGCTTTGATTGGCTTAAAGAAAAAAGAGAAGAAATCTTGATTCAAATTTGTCTTCAGCTACACAAAAGTGTTACAGTGTAGACAGAATAGAGTAACAGTACATGAATCATTAACTAAGGCTAATTTTGTTTATTCTGCAGACAAAAGGAAGGAAATTTGCATTGCTGATAGTTCACCTAAGTATGAATTTGAACTATTGTTTAATCTCACTTTTTAGGAGGTATTTAAGTATTTATTTGTATTCTATTACATTATGTTATTAAAGTTAGGGGAGCCTCTGAAGACCGTCCCTGACTGAATGGTCACCTCTGGCACTCTCAGTGTGTGTGTGGCTGCATGTCTCAATATTCCAGTCTGAGTTTAATCTGAGCCACTGTGAGACTTTAAAGAAAGAAATGCCTGAGCGTAGAAGGATCAGCTCTGCTTCTCCACCAAACATGCCTGTATCTCCCTGTCATAGCACATCAGAGAGAGACGCAGTGTCTTACGCTCTCAATGCTCAAAGTCATTATGTCCTCCACTCACATCCCCCTAAACACCCTACAGCACTTAAGCTTTCAGGGCCCCTCCGTGAAACACGACCGTCAACTCACACTGTATAATTGCAGCGTTTTCATATTTTCAGTGCTGGTCTGCTTAATGAAGCGCAGTTTCCTCCCACAGTGGCAGTGAGAGCAGACTGACCGGTGTGGCTAATTTATCAGTTGAAAACACATTTTGGACTTTAACTGATATTGGAAAAGGACTTTACTTTACTACTTTACTTTACTAAATCTTTTTGTTTTGAGTGATCCTAAACCTTAATTCTTTTTATTTTATCAAAATAAATGAATGGACATTTCGTTTTGTCCCTACCAAAACAATCTGTTTCGCTAGTGATGATTTTAGAACTCAAAAATACTAGTCAGTACACGACTCGCACGTGAACAGCTGTACACACAGAAAATCATCATATTTTTAATTGAAACACAAAAAAGTTACACAATTACAAAAAACTGTGTCTTGGTGGTTACAATTCTTAATGTTCCACACTGATTTTCAGATTTTGGGACATATTTACACAAAACAATGGGATCTAACTTCTCACCATGTGGCAATGAGGGACAGGGACGCAGCCTCACTTCCAGCTCTAAAATGCAGGTGGTGTAGCTAAAATAAGGCTCCTCCTACAGACTAAAACTTGGTAGTGACATGAAAACATAAGACAGCATTTTTTGAAGTTGTTTTTAATGTAATAACAAGTCAAAACCTTTCAACTTCACATTAAAGAGAAATGAAAAACATCTGTATAAAACAAAGATGAAAAACAAATATATAATTTTATAAGCATTATATTAACAAGTGTAAATTTAGGGGTTAGTGTTTGGGACAGACAGCTCCTAATAGAAAACGCCCCATAAATGAAGATTTTGTACATATTTAGCTTATTAATATCTCTATTAATGCCTTTGGTTTATATAGATTAGATCACAATCTTTGTAAATATCTGAGGTCTGAATACTTCATTGTTTTTTTCTGTGGGACTACGGCTTGAACTATTTCAGAAGGAAGGTCCATATACTTTTTATGAAAGTTATATACAGTACTCAGTCCTGTGTAATGCATCCTGCTACAGTCTGTCAGTAACACTATGCCTTCAGTGTGCTTTAATTCTAAGCACACAATTGAAAGTAAAAGTGTTTGTTCACGTTCTAATGTCTCAGATCTGGCAGGCCGACTCTGTAGATCTGCCCCTGATAAACTCTCTCTTTAACTTGCAGTAAAACAGTGTGCTGGCAGCCGTAGTTCCTCCGAAGTAGTGCAGTATGGTGCCGTATGGTGCTGGAGGACCGAGCTGGGCCGGGGCCAGAGGCGGCAGCACAATCCCAGAGACGAGAGCAGGTGCCTGGGCAGAGAGAGAGCAGCCTCGGCCTGAGCTCTGGAGCTCCAGGAACATACAGCAGTCCCAACAGCATATGCTACCACTCAGCTAATTAGAGTTATTGAAGAGGATGATACAGTTAGTTTGGAAAAGTCTGCGTTGCGTGAGTATATGTATGAGAGAGAGAGAGAGAGAGAGAGAGAGAGAGAGAGAGAGAAGGATTCCTGTGATAACAGAAGTGGAAGGACTGTAATTTGGTCACAGTAAATTGTCCAAGCCATGATGAAGTGTCATAACTCACCACCTTGAGTGTTCTATTGCTTTCATGCAACAGCTTTACATACAACATAAAAAAGTAATGAAGCCACAAACGTTGTTGGAAATCATTGTTTTCAATTTTTGTAATTTCTTCCACCAAAGAAAGTAGTTCCAGCAGGTTAAAGTAGAGCCTGTTGTGGGTGGAATGATAGCGATATAGGGAAAAGCATGTTGTTATATCAGATAAAATGCATTTCAACCAATCAGTGTGGCTGGAGCTAACTGTCATATACTAGTCTATACTGTAACACTGCTGTCGGAACAAAACCTCGTATCTCCAAAATAGTAACTTTACAGGAGAAGGAAAAAACCTACTGTTCTTTTAATGTAACTCAATGGAATCAGACTTTTTTACAAGTCATTTTGGGTCATTTCTTTTGGTCCATTTATCACAGAATTTACACACAATGTAAAGGAAAAAAGTCATCTTCAAATTATGTTAAAACTGAAAAACACACAAGGTTTTGTTCCGACAGCAGCGATATACTAGTATGTACTATATACTAGCAGTTAGAGACCCTTCATTTTGTTTAATTTGCACTCAAAACAGCCATTAAGGACAAGTTATTCGTTTTTCGGGAGATGTTTCTAATGAGATGAGATGTAAGATAATCCATTTGCATAATGAAGAAGAAATTTCCAAAACTGGAGTTCAAAAACTGATTAAAAGCTACAGAGTAAATGTGGCTCCTAACAACCACCTGAAAGACCTGGTAGACCCCAAAACTGCCCCCATCAGATAAACAGCACCTAAAGCTTTCATCTTTGAGAGAGAGGAGAAAATCAAGCTGCTTCAGATCTGAGAACATCCACAGGTGTTTCTGTCCATCCTTCCACTGTGAGAAGACGACTCAGCGCTGTGGGTCTGAAAGGATGTGTAGCTGATCAAGAAGAACCTCACTGAGAAAAGGAGACGGACACATCAAACAAAGAAGCTGAACGATGGACTGACCACCCCAGAGTCCAGACCTCAACACCACTGAATGTGTTTGATTACTTCAGAAAATGATCAACCAGCTTCTAAGACTGAACTTTGGAGGTGTGTCTGCAGATTCTTTGAGGAACTGAAAGTGAGTCTCCTGAAAAGAATGGAAGCTGGAATAAAGGGAAAGAGTGACTCACTGACTGAACACAGCTGAGATTGGAGTTGGTTGTTGTGGCAAATATGAATAATGAACAATTTGTACCATAAATTGGCTGAAAATTCTGACCTGTGACACAATATTGTAGAATGCTGTCATCATTAACACGAGATACTTTCTCTTTAAAGTACTTTTTACGTTCTCCCTTGTTCTCTCTGTCTTCTCTTGTTCTCTCTCACACATTTTCTCCCCCTTTAATCACACACACACTTATCAAACACACAGTGGGAAGTTTTTTCCCCTCTGAAATAGTTTCAAGTCTTAATTATGACAAAAAAGGACAAAGTCAGAAGTTCTGCAGTAAGTCTGTAACTCTTTCATGTGCGCGTCCCCTTTCACATCCGCCATGTGCCAAGTTGGATCCTCCACAAAGAGCCGCCATACCGGGCCTGATCACCACACGCGCTCTGTCAGATCCACAATGTGGGACAGAGGAAGGTGGCAACAAAGGGAAGGAGTGGAAAAAGAGGACAGAAGTAGGCTTTTCTCCTCCTCTCTCCCTCGCTCTCCCCGTCTCCTGGGCGGCTCTGTTTTTGGCTGGGTCACCTGAGTCCTCCTACTGGCCGCGGCTCACAGGTAGCTGTGCGTGCGAGCGCGTGAGACGGTGCGCTCTAACGAGGACACGCACCGGCTTTGATGCTGTCCCCAGTTACTTAAGGGTTCCCGTGAAGGCACAGCATCCTCCAAGACATCGCCTTCATCAATTAGTAACGACCGTCCCATCAGGTTTTAATTAACGGGGAAAAACACACACGTCTCGGTCATTAAGCATTAATTCTGCTGTTTCTGGGTGTCGGTTTCAGGCTCTTCCGTTGCCAAGGGCCTGATTTACATTTGTGTTTTTGTGCCCAGTACACACACACACACACACACACGTACACATACATGCGAACACATGCTCACACACACTGCAGTTATTCCAGCCTGTGTGTGTGTGTGTGTGTGTGTGTGTGTGTGAGCCACAGGCCAATCCTCAGTCATCCTTTGGGACAGTTTTCCCTGTTTCACGCTGAGAACCTTTGGGGTTCCTTTAAAGCATTTCTAAAGGAGATATGCGACAATATGCTGATCTGGGCACCGTTTATTTATTTATTTATTTATTTATTTATTTTTTATTTTTAAGATTCAGAGTGGATCGAGTAATATCAGCACTTACTGATTCCACTAATTGAATCTCAATATTTTACTATCACAGATATTTTATATAACCTTGCCTATATTATGTACAGTGTTTCAGTCCCATTCACTTACATTAAAGGAGAATTCCACCATTTATTTGAAAATATTCTACATAATTTAGTTGAATATAATTGAATCTTTTGTTCTATTCATCATGAAATTTTGACACAATTTAAAGGACAACAAGCACTTTCAAATTATGCCAAAAACTGAAAATAGAGATACAAGGTGTTGTTCTGACAGCACATGTAGTGTATGTTTTTGGTTCAGATTGCTTCATCCTAACAGGAGTTACAACAGAATATTTGGGGCCTCTTTCGAGTGAATCTCCCTGTATATACACACACATATGTATATATATATATATATATATATATATATATATATATATATATACATAGTGTACTGTTCCACATGCCACATTTTATGTTTCATTTTTTCTAGTGATTCAACACAGAAACAGTAAATGTGTATTAAAATGTGCAGAAATGAGTTCTATGTAGACAACATGCAATTTGCTCAAACTTTTGTATACAGTTGTACCTCTTCACTCTGAATATATTAAAGAAATAGATCTCCCTTTATGTGGATTGTTCACTATAGTTCCCTATAGATCATCTACAGATGTTCACATTGTTAACAAACTATCTGTTAAAACTCAGTTGATTCTAAACAGTGGTGGGGTTTGGGTTAGGGTTTGGACCAGGGTGAGGGTTGGGTTTAGGTTTTGGGCTGAGGTTAAGGTTAGGGCAAGGATTAAAGCAGGTTTAGAGTCAGTTTAGTAGATATTTAGTTGAAAGTAATTTGAAAGTAAATGAAGTATTTACAAGTGGACTATCCAAATGAGCAAAAAAAAACTATCATAAAACAGTGTCTCAGTCATCAGGCAGTGAATTCATAACCATTTCATGTAATAACTGTCTGTGAGGGAGCTTTTAGAGGTGGACGTCTGGTTCCTATCACCACCACTGTTTCTCTAGAACAGAGTGTTTCACACCAAACCACTCTGAACGACTGGCTTGTTAGCTATTAAAATCTGCAGAAATGTTGAAAAATTGGTGGAATTCTCTTTTAAGGGCTGTTGTTTTGGTCAATGAGTTAGAAAGTAGCCCAGCAAATGGAGAGGAAAAGTAAATGAAAGGAGTCTGAAGAAAGGAAGTCTCAGAGGGAGCACTTATAAAAGTGTGTCAAAGTGCTGTGAATAAAAAACAAAAAACACATAATGCTGTAATTAAGAGGAGCTGGGATTCCACTTCAGACGTCTCTGTGGATCCGCTCCTTTAATAATCCTCTTTATGGATCCGTTTGCCCACTTTATATCACTATTATTAACAGAGTGAGCCGTGTTTGTAGAGATAACAGCAAGAAAGTAAAAAGAAAAGAAGAACTAGGAGCACAAAGTCTGCTGTAAGCTGTAGTGTTATTTGTTTCATACCTTTCTTTATGTTTTTATTGTGCTTTCATTCCACATTATTTCCAGTTGCTTATTGCCCTTTTTTCAGTTTGATGATGTTTAAATTGAGCTGCAATGCCAGTAACCATCACGATAGCGTTATCCTAAAGAGCAGAAAACTGCTGACACCTTTCAGCTCCATTACTCTGACACTGACACACTGACAGGCTTCACAAACCAGGCAGAAGAAAAGAGTCTGACAGAGAAACGACTCTGAGGAGGAAATGATCACATTCACACATTCAGTACTGACTTACTGCCATACTTAACCCTCTGGGGTCCTGGGGGGGGGGGCATCTTCTTGATTTGTTCATATCTTCTTAAACTCTCCTTTAAAGTCTCTTCATAAAACATGACATATCAAACATATCAGTGGGCTCCGTTATCTTCATCACTACTTTACTAAACCGCTGCAGCAGCTTCAGCAGCTGTAAACTCTCTGCACGCCGTTTCACACATGTCTCTGACGTGGACTGAATGCTGGATTATCAAAAAAAAGAGAGAAACAGATGTAGAAACACTGAATTTGACATGCTTTCAAGTTTGTGGACTCCACAGGTTTAAAGGCGAGGCGAGGCAAATTTATCTATGTGGCACTCTTCATACACTGCGGTCAAAGTGCTCTACAAATGATGAAATGCAAATTAATTCAAAGTATAATTCAGAAAGTAAGAAAACGTAAAGCAGAATAGAAATTTAACACGATTCAAACAGTAGATGTTAAAAGAGAAGAATCATTAAAATAATAAAAAAAACCAAATTAAAAATCAAATTAAGAATTAAAGAATAATTAAGTGCTGTTAAAGGGAAAAGTCCGCTGATCCACCCTGGTTCCTATCACCAGCACTGTAAAGAAATCACCTTTTTCACCGGGTGATCCAAATGACGAGTAAAAGTGTAAAGAAGCGTATGTGTTTTGTTTCTATAAATAATGGATTTATTGCCTATTATTTATGTATTTATCGAATCATAAATGCAGCATTGATCCACCCGCTGTCCCAACCTGCTGCATCAGGCTGATAAATACTCCACAACACACTAGAACTGAACCTGGCCCAGTTAATAAAAAGCACCACACAGTTAATATCTTATAAATTAAGTTTTATTAATATACATTTTACTTTGGACATTGGCTCTTATATTACAGTTGCATAGTCAAATCTGATAAAAATACACATGACATCCCGTATAAATAAAAATAATGCATGACCACGCCTTATTAACACGTGGGAACGAGATCCTAATGAGTTGCCATGACTTAGTAAGGCGTGGGAATAAGATAATTAAGTCGTGACCATGACTTGGTAAGATGTGGGAAGGAGATCATGTCTACTAAGTCGCAGCTACGCATTATTTTTATTTATACAGAATGTCACGTATGGGGCTCCGTACATCTGGTGTTTGTAGGGCTTGTTTTATGTTTAAATCACTGAACTGATGATCATCAATAATATCAGTAATAACAAACAGCCAATCAATAATACTTTTCTGAATTCAGCTAAACTGAAGATCATGATTACAAGGGGCTTTTTGGAAACTGGTCCCATTTCAGTTCCATTGGGTTGTGGAGCTTTTACTGTTCTGGTGCAGTGGTTTGTGCAGTGAGGGGCCAGTCAAGCCTTAAAGGGCCCATATCATGGATAACTGAACTCACTGTTTTACATTAAAAGGTTGGATGTAAACAATAAAAAATCATACTGTGCCCTGTCCATTCCCATAGCCCATATATGGAAGCAAAGCTGCAAAAACAGCCTGTTTTGAATTCACTGTTCTGTGATGTCACAAAAACCAACACATTTACATAGAGCCAACTGTTCAGCCTACAGCAGCTTAGCCACGCCCATTTGCAATAAAGCTATAAGGACTGTTTCAGCCTGGACTGCTTTTTGTGTGAGACACTATACGGGGCAGCCAATCAGATCAGAGCTTATTTACATATATCGGTCTTAAAGGCACAGTAGCAGTAGGTGATTTTGCTACATAAAGCCACACAGTATAAGTGGACCTCAGTGGGGACATTTAAACACAGTGAAATCTAAGATATGGGCTCTTTAATTTACCTGATAACCTTTCAATTAAAAGACAGGAGTTTTAGAGCAGAGCACAGATTTAGAGCAGAGCGGGACGAGCGGCACTCCGCCAGCAGCACGTCTGCAATCATCTTCTCGCTGTGTGAATTATTAAAGCTGTATCTTTGTCATTGGGCTTTGACTGAGCAGCTAAATATTTGATCATCTTTTGTTAACACGTATTTCTGTCTTTCTCATTCTCTGCTTTTGTTTTAATCCAGAGTGGAATTAATCCTTTTGTTTTTGTTGTTTCCTTTGTGTAACTAAGTTCACAGGAGAAGTCCACCACTGTTTTTTTTGTTATTAAATCTTAATGAGTGAATTAATATTTTAACACCTTAACTTATAAGTAGAGTTACAGAATTAAAATGCTGTGTTGGATTTGAATCCACAAAATAAGTGTACGTTTCTGCTTTTGACACAAATCTGCTGGAAACTGAGACCTTTAATAAAAACTAAAAGAAGTAAAAAATAGAGGGAAAGAGAGGAAGAGAGGAGGGGTGAATGACCATAGGATGGACATGCTGGAGGGACTGGAGCCTAAGATTTGAACTGTACTTCAGCACTGTATCATCACAAAGAGAGAGAAACAGATACAGAAACATACAATTTGACGGGTGGGTGAGTTTGTGGACCCCAGAGGCTTAAAGACAAGGCGAGGCAAGTTTATCAATATGACACCTTTCATGCGCTGCAGTCATTCAAAGTGCTTTGCAAATGATGGAATACAAAGATAATTCAAATTATAATTCAGAAAGTAACAAAGTAAAGCAGAATAGAAATTAAACATGATTCAAACAGTAGATTTTAAAAGAGAATAATCATTAAAATAATAAAAATGAAATTAGAATAATAAAGTGCTGTTAAAGGGGAAAATCCACCATTTTTTCTGAATTTCTGCATAATTAAATGGTTAATATGTAAACAGTGTCATTCAGAGTGGTTTGGTGTGAAACGCTCTGTTCTAGAGAAACTTACAGAGTCAGAACTGTTCAGAGTGGTGGTGATAGGAACCAGACGTCCACCTCTAAATGAACAAACAGTGTCTCAATCATCAGGCAGTGAATTCATAACCATTTCATGTAATAACTTTCTGTGAGGGAGCTTTTAGAGGTGGACGTCTGGTTCCTATCACCACCACTGTGAACAATTTTGACTGTTTCTCTAGAACAGAGCGTTTCACACCAAACCACTCTGAATGACTCTGTTTACATCTCAACTATTTAATTATAAAGTTAAATCTTTAAGATGTTTTGTTTTGTGTCACTGTCACTGTCACACATTCAGTATGTTCAGTCAGTATAAGCTTTAAAATAGGTTTTTTTGGCCTTAATACACCTTTTTTTATTATATTACCTCCTACTCTCTCTCTCTCTCTCTCTCTCTCTCTCTCTCTCTCTTCATATGATAAAGTGCTGATATGAACAGATTTTAAAGTACGCTGGGGTGTTTTCCATCAGGTTGTCCTACAGGCAGAGCCCAAAGCTGTCTGTCTGTCCCTCCTGAGTGCTTTACTACTGGGACCCCTTCATCTCCTCGTAACAAAACCCTCAGGTAATCTCTCTCTTTTACTCCGATTCCCGTTTTCATCTTCTCTGCTTCTTCTCTCCTCACTTCCTCTCTGAAGCTTCTTTAGGATCTTCACAAGAGCTAAAATGATTTAAAGGGGAATTCCACTAATTTTGCAAAGTTTCTGAATAATTAAATGGTAAACATGTAAACAGAGTCGTTCAGAGTGGTTTGGTGTGAAACGCTCTGTTTTAGAGACACTTACAGAGTCAGAACTGTTCAGAGTGGTGGTGATAGGAACCAGACGTCCACCTCTAAAAGCTCCCTGACAGAAAGTTACTACATGAAATGGTTATGAATTCACTGCCTGATGACTGAGACACTGTTTATGATAGTTTTGAGATAATGCTTTGGCTTAAAATGTATTTTAATCCATTTCTTCTAATCCATTCATGGTGGAGGGATACATGCAGGGTGTTGTGAGGCAAAATATTCCCAAAGAAAACTTATTATTTCAGATTTTCCACTATTTTCCATCATCAACATTCATATAAACTCAGAAGACTCGTGTAGGTTCACTGGTGGTTCTGGATAGTAAATAAAATGTAGTCATGGCGACCCCTGGTTCCTATCACCACCACTGTAAAGAAATCTGAACCATTTCACACCAAACCACTCTGAATCACTCTGTTTACAGCTCCACAACTGAAGTAATCAGAAATTTTACAAAATTAGTGGAATTCCCCTGTAAATACACTCTGTATGTACAGGTGTGTTTTCCTATACTTGTGAGGACAAAATTCCTTTTTGTGGACTTTAGAAACTTTGCATGCATTTAGTTTAACAACACTTGGTGTGAGTCTGTGTTGGGGCAGCTTGAGTTTGGCCACGGTGTAAGTGTTTGGAGTGCTATAGGTCATTTGCTGTCACCGTACCCTCCCGGTGGACAGAGGCGTGGTTACGTGGTAATATTTTAAAATCTGATGACTGTGATGGTCGTGCCAGTGGTGTAATGACAAGACACGCTACACTACACACACACACACTCACTTGAGAGTCCCCGAGGGTCGCTGCACAGTGGCACAGGGTGACAGGTGTGTGGCCGGAGTGAAGGATGCCACACTATCCCCAAGGGATTCTGGGTAAAAATAACTGTACTGAGGTCCCAAATCCCCAAAACTAGCAACAACACAACTCCACCAATGAGGAAACCATTGAGCCCCCAAAACTAAGCACAGCCTTCACACTGGATCACTGAATAGACTCGATTATGTGGTTTCTGACACTGTATGACACTCTGTTATCTATAAACATGGACTAAAGTGCATTAGCACAGCTAAAACAGTGGTAGAAGCCATTTAAGTCTAAACTTTAGTCCATATTTATAGATAATAGTGTGTCAGAAACCACATAATCAAGTCTATTAGAGATTACTTGAAATGGTTTGAAGCTAGTGGGTGAGGATTTAGCCTTACAGTTAGCAAGATGCTAATTAGTGGGTTTCATTACTTGTTAGCTACATTAACCTCGTAGCTCCAGGGCCAAACCTAAAGAAGTAAACTTGTATTGGCTGATGAACTATATTTGGAGTAATGATATAATTGGATGATATGCAAATTGCTTTAAAAGAATGCAGCAAAAAATCACTGTTTTAAAAAGTTTTTCATTTTCAGTCACTGTAGTTGTTCAGCCAAGACATATTTAGTGTCCAAATGTTCTTTCTTTAGTTTAGACATGAGCACCTGTTAAATGCTGTAAATGTGATTATGTAAATATGGTTTAAAACTGAACTGTGAAGCTACACAGTGAGTTTTTGTCCATTTTTATAGCTCACTGTGAGTCATACTGTGCTCTAACCTACATCTACAAGTCTGCACCACCTTAATGAAGACCTGTAAACAGTTTGAGCGGGTCGAGAGAAGATTTGGCAGTTTACGGGATAATTTGGGTGACTGTTGACTTCTATAGTTTGTTAGCAATGTTAGTCTCGTTGCACCAGCTCTAAAATAGAGAGGAAAAACTTTTACACAAATCATGTCTGTGTCTTTACCTACATCTGGGGTAGGGGGGGGTAATTTTTGTGTAAATTAGATTTTTGGCCAAACTATCACTTTAGATTTCCCATATCTCAGTGACACTACTGAGGACCTATTTCTAAAATGTCGCCACAGTGAGGACTCAGGTCACCAAAGCTCAGATAAACATACTTTCACAACTAAACCCTGAATATTATTGAGATATTTTTAGGGTAATAAATATATTTCATGTCTAATACATTTTCCATCATCAGTTTGTATGATATTTTTGAGGCCTGTGACATTCTGTATCATCCCCCTATAGTTTTTCCTTCTCTTTTTCCTCTTGAGGTGTGCGATCTCTCTCTCCTTCTGTTCCTCGATGTCTCTCATCCCCACTTTCCTGCTTACTCAAACTCCACCTCCTATAAAGGGGGATCAAACCTTGCCCAATCACACCCTCCCTCACTGGCCCTATCGTTAAGTGGGCGGAGTGATTTGATTTAGAAGGAGAGCAGATAGTGAAGGTGGAAACTCATATCCACGCGGGGTCTTCCTGATCCGGACCCCCACACAGGCAGGATTGACTGTGGTGGAGAATCGGTGGGGCGTGAAGTTCAGTCTGAAGCCCAGGACAGAGCACTGTGAGCTGGACAGACAGGCAGCCGGATACTCATGTTGTTCAGCACCAGAGACCCAGACCCTGGACGGGACGTGGGCGCATGGACACACACCGCCCACACACTCAGTCAGGAGGTACTGCTTCACACACACACACACACACACACACACACACACACACACACATCCATCTAGTGAAACATAGACAATCTGTACTTTCTCGGTGTTTATAGTATCATTGAGTAATACTTTCAGATATAGTGAATATATGACTACAAATATATATTTTTTCATTAAATTAAAAGTTTTTTAAATAATTTATTTACCTATGTTGTTATCACATTCATTATATTCACTATAGAAGTCAGCTAATAATTGCTCATTTTCTGGTGTTTTTGTTCATTTTATTGTTTTGACATTTTGTTGTTCATAATTTTAGGCAGATTGCATATTTTGGTGAATTATTAGATTAGAATATTTTGGCAAATTTGCTAAAAAGTGGAATTACATTTAAGCTTCAGGCTTTGACTAAATGACGGAGTTTCATTTATGTGTTAATGAATAAAATTTACTCTTTATTCTATGAATTAAGATTTTTATTTTAAGGCTTTTTATTTACAAATATGAGTTGTTCAGTAACTACAATGAAACCAGTATCACTGTTATGACAAAACCTAGCTCAGAAAGGGCAACTTCATAGGAGAAGGCAAATGCTCTTAACTTTAATATAAGAGATTTTACTTCTGCTAATTTTGGATTGTTTCTGTTGGTTCACCTGTCATAAAATGTTCATAAAAATGTAGAGGTGGTGTTTACAAATGAAAAAAGTTACGAGGCTTTAACTTGAGTGAGAACATATCGTATCTCTAAAATGGTAACTTTACAGGAGAAGGAAAAAACCTACTTTACTTTTAATGTAAGTCAATGAAACCAGAATTTTTTCCAAGTCATTTTGGGCCGTTTCTTTTGCTCTATTCTTCATGAAATTTACACACAATGTAAAAGGCAACATGCATTTTCAAATTATGTCAAAAACTGACAAAAATGGAGATATGAGGTTTTCTTCAGACGGCGGTGATATATTGGTTATGTTATTTTAAGCATGAGGCCCTGGCAGATTAAAGGGTTTATTAAAAACTGCCCTATTTTTCCAATCATGCAGTAAGAAATCTGGGATTTTTACCATAATATTTAGTTTAACTGTTAGAACAGCAGAAACAATAATACAATTATATCCATCAATATCACTCAGTAATCCTGTCTTTATGTTATTCCACAGACTTTTTCCATCAAAAAAGGGTCTTTGATCAATATGAACACATATAAAATGGTTTCACTGGTGAATTGATTCATTCATTAAAGTAATTAAAGTATATTATTTATTTCATAATCATGTTTCCAATGTGTTTTGCATGTCCTGCTGTTTGTGCAGTCTGACCTGAAGCGCGAATCACAGAACGTGTCCAGAGAGAACGTGGACGAGGTACGGAGGACTTACCTTTACTTTCACTACTCACTTTCAGAGAGATACAGACGAGACTGAGCCTCACTCTCAGAAATGAAGGAGCTAAACTGTGGGGTGGAAACCTTGAGGGAACACCTTCAGTACCTTCAGTTAGAGAACATAGTTGTTCTGTATACTGTATACTGTATATTACAGTGAAGTTACATTAAGTTCTATTGACACCACACATGCAGGCTGCACTCCAGACCTATCTTAAAACTTCACGTTATTTAAGCTCACAATTAAACTTTAAGATCATTTTGTTGCACACTTAAAAAAAGATGGTTCTTCAAGGGTTCTTTAGTAAAGAAAATATAAATCATGAACACTCAACAAACCCTTTGGCTGAAGCGTTCTTTGCATGGTGAAATGGTTCTTCAGACAGATGGAGAATGTGCTGCAGATGGTTTTATACAGAACCAAGTTGAAAAGGGTTCTGTATAGCACCAAAAAGGACACTATAACAATAGCAGATCCCTTTTTGGTGCCATATAGAACCATTTTCAGAAAGGTTCATATAGAACCATATTCAGCACATTCTCCATCAGTCTGAAGAACACTTTCATCATGCAAAGGGTTTTAATCAGGCAAAGGGTTCTTTGAGTGTTCACGGTTCTATATAGAGCCATTTTCTTTACTAAAGAACCTTAAAGAACCATAATTTGTAAGAGTGTACCTTTGAGGGTACATTTAAGTTGTCTGTACCTGAATGATACAGTTTTTCTGTGTGCAGAATGAATGAATGAATGAATGAATGACTGAACCTGATTGGCTGAATGCTCTGCTTAAACGATTAGGTGATAAATATGGAAGTAAGAGGCTGCATATGTGTTCTTAATTAGAGCTCATTATCCATGTTATATCCCTCTATCACGCTGCAGTGACGAGGGGGCTCTGCAGCTGCTGCTGAGACCAGTTTTTTGTTTGTGTGTGTGTGTGTGTGTGTGAGTGAGTGAGTGTGTGTGTGTGTGTGCGTGTGTGTGTGTGTGTGTGTGTGCGTGTGTGTGTGCGCGTGTGTGTGTGTGTGTGCGTGTGTGTGTGTGTGTGTGTGTGTGGATGTGTGTGTGTGTGTGTGTGTGTGTGTGCGTGTGTGTGTGTGTGCGTGTGTGTGTGTGTATGTGTGTGTGTGCGTGTGTGTGTGTGTGGATGTGTGTGTGTGTGTGTGCGTGTGTGTGTGTGTGTGTGTGTGTGTGTGTGCGTGTGTGTGTGTGTGGATGTGTGTGTGTGTGTGTGCGTGTGTGTGTGTGTGTGCGTGTGTGTGTGTGTATATGTGTGTGTGCGTGTGTGTGTGTGTGGATGTGTGCGTGTGTGTGTGTGTGTGTGTGTGTGTGCGTGTGTGTGTGTGTGTGTGTGTGTGCGCGTGTGTGTGTGTGTGTGGATGTGTGTGTGTGTGTGTGCGTGTGTGTGTGTGTGTGCGTGTGTGTGTGTGTATATGTGTGTGTGCGTGTGTGTGTGTGTGGATGTGTGCGTGTGTGTGTGTGTGTGTGTGTGTGTGCGTGTGTGTGTGGTGTGTGTGTGTGTGCGCGTGTGTGTGTGTGTGTGGATGTGTGCGTGTGTGTGTGTGTGTGTGTGTGTGTGTGTGTGTGTGAGTGAGTGAGTGAGTGAGTGAGTGAGTGAGTGTGTGTGTGTGTGTGTGCGTGCGTGCGTGTGTGTGTGTGTGTGTGTGTGTGCGTGTGTGTGTGTGTGTGTGGATGTGTGTTCAGGGAAAGTGCTGATGATTAAAACACTCCTGAAAGTCATTCATTAAATCCTTCTTTCGAAAACATATTAAGCAGTTCTATGTGTGTTTGAGTGCCATATTAGTTCTTCATCCTCCTCCTCCTCTTCCTCTCTCAGGTGATCGGCTGTACGCAGTCTAAATGCACCTGTGAGTGCTTCCAGCCTGGCAGAGTCAACCTCAGGTCATGTGACCGCTGCAAGCACGGGTGGGTCGCCCACGGTGAGTCAGCCTGAAACAATCACTTATAAGTCGGAGGTGTCGGGTCAGGAGTTCCTCACACCACGTTTTTTGTTGTACAATAGTAGATAATTCACTCACATCCTCAGAAGACACGTCCTTCACCGAGTTTACACTGAGTTCTCTTTGAATTCTCTTTCAATCATCAGATTCACCCACTCGGGGAAGGGGTCCGAAGCACAACTCATGCAATTACATATTTCCACCAGAGATGTCTCCAAATCCCCAAAACTTACACCGTGCAGCTTTAAACAGCTTCTGACTTTGTGAAATGCTTTTAACAATCTGTCATTTTTTTAAACTAAAAGAGTAAAACTATTTCCTTTTCCTGAGATTAAAGGTGAGATCAGGTTTGGGGTTCGAAAATTATTACTACATATCACTACTTACGCTTATATAAAACATATCAGGTTTATTATTATTGCATACAGATATTTACATATACAGTCACATATGCAATAATTTGAATGTTTTGTTGAAGTGAAAATAGTTAACATATTGTCTACAGTAAACACACTTAACAATGGCATTTTCTGCTCATTTTAGTGCAGAAGTTCCATTTATTTATTTAACAAATTGCAATAAAAACTCAAAAATAAAATATGCTATAACTTTTTTCCCCAATATGTTAAGTTCAGGAAATAACAGTAATTGTGTATTAAAATGTATAGATGGTACATGTGTTCACTTATTTTTACTTAGAAAATCAACAAACATATGTATAATATATAATATAAACACAATATGTATATACATATTAGACCTGTTTTGAAAGGGGAGAGAGAGAGAGAGAGAGTACCATCTGGGGTCTGAGCTCACCGTTAGACACTCTGATGTTAGTTTGTCATCTAATGCTGGTATATCTGTCACTAACAGATGGGCTCCTGTGCTCTTCTTTCTGCGTGAATGTGTGTGTTGGGTGTGTGTATATGTGACTCTGTGGAGCTGTATTCACGGTTGTATGTGTGTATTTATGTATATGTGTGTGTGTGTGTGTGTGTGTGTGTGTGTGTGTGTGTGTGTGTGTGTATAGCGGTGAGTAAGCTTAGTGCGGGTGCGGTGCCGTGCTCAGGGCAGGTGGAGATAGTTCAGTGCTCGGTGGTGTTTGATATCAGCACTCTGCTGCTGTACGGCACTCAGGCCCTGCCCGTACGCATGAAGATCCTGCTGGACCGCCTCTTCAGCGTCCTCACGCACACACAGGTCATCACCATCCTGCACACGCTCGGCTGGACGCTGCGCGACTACATCCGAGGATACATACTGCAGGTATTTACATATACACATACGTTTGTAAGGATATGAGTTTAAACTACAGAGGTCGGTCAGTAACTCAGTAGTGATTCATTACTGAATCACTCTAAGCCAAAACCTACAAAGCTCCACACACGACTGCACATTACTATAACTTAAACCCATTAAAAGCCTGGCACATCACATTCTACTACATGGAAAACAATACAAACTAGCCAAGTTATAGCATTTTTATGCAGCCCTATATTTTTAATTGATATATTATTGAATTAACATGTTATCAGATGAACTAGGACTCTGTTGTCTCTCTGTGTGTGAAATGTTGTGAGAGATGTATTGGAGAAAGAATGGGAGATAAAATAGACAACTGCAGCTTTCTTCATATCAAACATTCCTGCACAACACACAGTATGTAAACACAATAACAACACTTTTAGAGATCTTGCTCACATCTATGAAGACAACAATCAGGTTTGTTTCTGGTTTGTAATCATGCACATTTCCGTCAAAGCATAGTCCATCGAGGTTCTGAGGGAAAAACGTGCAGCGTTCAACTGAGTAACATTCAGAACAGAGCAAAACTGTATTTTATGGCTGCTGTGCAAAAACTAGGATTGAGGAAAGAACTGCAGTTCTGGCCTAAATCAGAACCAGATATAAAAAACACAAACTTTTTGTTTTGTATTATTTTACTCCACTTGTAACCCTACTAAAATATGTTATATTTATATTTTCAACCCCAATGTTTATGTATCTGCATCTGCAGAAATGTTTGCTGGCTTTGGCCCACAATTTTCAGTCAAAACAACATCAGTGCATCATTAATTACTGTAAAATATCATGATATAGATTTTTGTCAACGCTGCCCAGCACTGTGTAACGTTAATGAAATCAGAACAGAGTTACTTTTATAATAATGCAAGAGGGCATTATGTGTGGAGGCCAGAAGGTGGCGTCTCTGCTTTTTGCGGATGATGTTGTCCTTTTGGCTCCGTCACATGGATGCCTCCAGCGCTCAGTGGAGCGGTTTGAAGCTGAGTGTAAAACAGCTGGTATGTGGATCAGCACCTCCAAGTCTGAGTCCATGGTCCTAGCCTGGAAAAAGCAGTAATGCAGTCCCTGTACTGGACAGTAGTCGTGAGGAGGCGGCTGAGCCATAAGGCAAAGCTCTCTGTTTACCAGTCGGACTACATCCCAACGGTCACCTGTGGTCAGGAGCTTTGGGTGATGACCGAAAGAATGAGATCACAGATACAAGCAGCAGAAAAGAGGTTTTCCTAGCTGGATGGGTGGGAGGGGACAGGTGAAAGAAAATTTTGGGGAAAAAGCTGTGATAGTATTTGCAAAATTCTATTCTTTTAGGCCAGCTGGTGCTTCAGAGGTTCACACACACACACACACACACACACACAGAGTCACTGATCTGCAGCTGCACAGTGCACATCTGCTTTTAAAAGTGTTTTAAGCTTTTTTTTAAGTTCTTGTGACACGAGTCACAGTGTATGACAGACAAGGCTGCTGCTGTGCCATAATGTCCATATGCTCATAGTGCTCATCATCAGCATGACAGGCCACACATACAGAGGGAGAGTCATCCTTATTCAAAGATTCAAAAGTTGCAGCATTTAAATTTGGGTGCAATTGATTTTTGGGTTCAATGGGTTCATTTTTTGTCGTAAAACGCCTGTTGTAAAAATGCTATATAAATAAGCCTTGACTTGATTTGACTTGATATATCTATATACATTTACATGTATTTATATATATATATGTATTCCACTCACAGTCCAATTTTCTGATTTGCCCTTTCTTCCTTTCTTTAGTTATACTTTGTAAATTAGTTTAGCAAATCATTTTAATCTGGCACAGTGATAGCTACAACATTTTAATTCATTAATCTTTTATATTAGGCCTAGCCATTATTTTTTTCTCTCAGTCGTTTGTAATATTTGTCCTAGTTTATTTTCTATAATAAAAGTCTCTGTGCATTTAAAATCTGTATGGGGAGATTAAAAACGTGTTTTGTTTCACAAAAGAGAGAAAATTCAGTTTTCCATGATGTGGGTGCTTTAAAGAAGAGGCACAGGAGCACTTCAGACTCGTTCATCCAACACATCAAAATAACTCAACATAGAAGAGCTCAAATATGAATTTTTGAATACAAGGAAGCTGATCTATACAGTAGCTTTGTGCTGTTTTCATAAAGGTTCAGCTTTGGTTTGAATATTTAATAGAATAATTAAACATAGAAGAGGAAGAACTACACAATGTTGAAACAGAAAACAAGAATGTGTGATAATGTATGATCAATAGGATGGGGGGGGGGTCTATATAGAACATTGGCTCTGTGATAAAACCCACCCTCTGAGCTTCCACTGATTTTTTAAAATTTCTTCATCGGTGTTTGAGCTGTGAGCAGAGTGACTCAGAGTGGTTTGGTGTGAAATGGTTCAGATGTCTTTACAGTGGTGGTGATAGGAACCAGGGGTCGCTGTGACTACAACACAAATATAGACATTTTATTTACTATCCAGAACCACCAGTGAACCTACACGAGTTTATATGGAATGTTGATGATGGAAAATAGTGAAATAATAAGTTGTCTTTGGGGACTATATTGCTTCATAACACCCTGCATGTATCCCTCCACCATGAATGGAGTTTAAGGCCAAAATCTTCACAAAACTATCCTAAAACAGTGTCTCAGTCATCAGGCAGTGTAATCTCAACCATTTCATGCAGTAACTTTCTGTGAGGGAGCTTTTAGAGGTGGACGTCTGGTTCCTATCACCACCACTGTGAACAATTCTGACTGTAAGTTTCTCTAGAACAGAACGTTTCACACCAAACCACTCTGAACAACTCTGCTTACATCTCAACCAGTTAAATATGCAGGAATTTTGAAAAATCAGTGTCCCCTTTTAAGTCCTAAATTACAAATTACCACAATTTCTTTCCTTTAGTTTTATGTTTATTTAAGTTTCATTATTAAAAGAAAAAAAACTGCAGTCTAGTGTTTTTAGTAGCCATATCTGGACCAAAGCCATATTTTAGTCAGAATCAGGTTTATCACTAAGCTCACCATCACACAGGATGGACTCGGATCACTCGTTTTTGGCTCTTGCACTGCGGCCTCCATGTCCCCACATTTCCTTCCAACCGCACCCGCTCCCCGGCAATCAAACGAGCCAGGTAGTGAGTTATGTGTAGGCTGTGAGCACAAACCTGTAGGACATGAGGCCCCAGAGAGTTTACTGAGCCAGTTCTCATTATACCATCCAATTCCCATTCAGACAAACCAGGAGCTGATCCAAACCCCAGGGGAGAGTATGGGTAGCAGAAACAAGGCAGAGAACGAGATCACCACAATTACATACATTCAGAGCAACAGAATAATACATAATAACATAAAACACACTTAGAATCAACATACCTACATGCCAATATATAAATGAATTAATACAAATAATAACATGAATATGATCGCTTATTGTTTCAGCTCCTTTAGCCTTGACGGTTTAGGTTATGATTGTTTAGTCCAGTTCATAGTGCTTTCTTTTTTAGTATGACACAGTTTCAGCAGCACTTATGACTTTAGTTTTTGTATTAAAATATTTATTTCATTCTGGAGTTTTTTCTATGAATTCTGCAATTCTATCATTGCTCAAATGATTAAATAGTTTTTAATTCTTTTTTATTGTCCTCTAAGATACTTAACAAATGATTATGTTCAAAAACATTTCAAGATACAAGTTGGTACCCATGTCCGGTGGCTCAGTCAAACTTTCTATGAGGTTGTCTGGCCTCTGTATTGAGTCGTGGTGTCGTAGATGTTTAAACAGTTTCAATGTCTGCTAAAATGTAATTCTCTGGGTTTTATATGGTGAACACTAACCTAAAGTACACATTGAGAGTGGCCAAAGTATAGTTCCCTGTGGAACACCACAAGAACGATCCTGCTTTTGTCCACTGCTGATCTTTTTCTCCACTGTTTTCCTGCTTGTGTGTATGTTTTTGTGCAGGACTCCATGGGGAAGGTTCTCGATCGCTGGGTGGTGATGACCCCTGAGGACGAGGTTGTGACCCTGCAGCAGTTCTTGAGATTTGGTGAGACTAAATCCATTGTAGAGCTCATGGCTGTCCAGCAACAGCAGGATCGCCTGGCAACAGTCTCCAGAACACCAAAGACTGACTCGGACATCCGGCTGTTCATCGAGAGCAGCAGCCACCATCGTGGCCTCCAGAGTGACAGAGCTAGAGGTGAAACACCACCCAGCCTGCACCACTTTGAAAACCTCCCGGGAGGTAACCTAGCTTTTCTTCTGCCTTTTCAGTACAGCAGTCAGTCTGCATCATCTCCGCTAATCCCTTCGTCCACACTTCTCCAGGAGGCCTCTGATGTAGCCTGTAGACTACAGCAGACCAAACAGAGCCATGGAACAGACAGCGAATCAGTGGCTCCTTTCAGAGGCAGTAAACTGCCCATTACAGGTGCTAGCACTACAGATGAGAAGATGCATCTTGAAAGTGAAACTGACCACAGTGTTTCAGGGCTAGCAAAGCCTTCAAATAAAGTGCAGCACATTAGTGATGTAGACCAACAGGCGGTGTTAGTGAAAGAAGATACTTCAGGCACCTGCTCTTCATCTTCCTCCACTTCCTCTGGCATGAGGGATCGTGGTCTTGGCATGACGATGCGTAAAGGCCGCGTGAGCTGCAGCGCATGTGGAAAAACCTTTTATGACAAGGGAACCCTGAAGATCCACTACAACGCCGTCCACCTGAAGATTAAACACCGCTGCACCATCGAGGGCTGCAACATGGTGTTCAGCTCGCTGCGCAGCCGTAACAGGCACAGCGCTAACCCCAACCCGCGGCTACACACTGCAGCACTGCGCAACACAAACTCCCCCCAGAACCAGCAGCATCCAGCCCAGCCCTGCGCCACAGTTCTGCCCAGCAGAGTCAAACCTCCTCTGGACGTGTCTCCTCTGGGTGTCCCTGCGCTGTCTTCATCCATCCTGGAGACCACACATGCTCCACTCACGTTCCCCTCCATAAAGGCAGTCCAACCAGTGCTACCATTCTACAGCACTGTGCTGTCGTCTAGGAGCTCCCCTGCATCAAGTAGTTCTGTTGTTGCCAAGACCAACAATGGCACATCAATGATCAATCAACCTCTAAAACAACATACATCCTTGTGTGATGCTAATAATACACCGAGACAGGAGGGTGGAGCTATGGTTCAGCTTACAGCCAATCAGAACAGGGTAAATAGCATGAATGACACAGTGCCCAAGAAGAAATCGCGCAAGTCCAGCATGCCGGTGAAGATCAAAAGGGAGATGTTGAATGATCAGGAACTCTATGAATACAAGGATGATGATGATAAGGATGATAATGATAATGACGAACAAGACACTGGTGAAGGGAGTGATATGAACATGTATCTCGTAAATGGCCTAATGACCAGTCAACAGTCCTCACGAATGCCAGTACAACCTCCCAATGGACTCAATGGTAACAAATGCCACACCTTCATTAGCCACAGTGGACACTGCAGTAGAAGGCCAAGCCATGAAGGAGATGACCATGAGATTTATTTTAGTAAGACATGCATAAATAAGATCCAACACATCAACCATGATGTTCTCAAAATGCCCAGAACCTCAATTAGCTGCTGCAACCTCAGCATGAAGGAGGGCTCGGAGAAGCATGAGGGAGTGATGAAGAAGTGGATGAAGAGAGAGGGATCGGAAGGGGAGGATAAGTGGAGAGAGAGAATACAAAGTGGAAGAGAAGAGCGTCTCTTAAAGGTTAAGGAGGAGGTGTATGACCCCAGCTATGACCTTCACTGCAGCAGACACTGTGACTTTAACATGTGGGCCAATAAAGGTGTTGTTGCCATGACATCAACAGAGACCTTTGGCCTACAAAAAGACTTTAACACGTATTCTGATCAAGAGGAGGAGGACGGTGAGCCAGATGAAGAGCAGGAAAGAGCAGCAAAGTGTTGAAGTGTGTTCAGCGCAGAGCTAAATAACAGTGACGTTTCTTTTCATGTCTGGTTTTGAGTTGCATTTTGGTTTAAATAAGCATTTATAATGCGATAATCATCTTGGAATTGTGTTGTAAAAGTTTGTGAACAAATGAAACACGCAGGTTTCTACTACAGCGAAGAACTTACATTCAGAAGACTCCTGATCAATCAGTCAGAGCTGATATGGTCGATGCTGAGCAGCTGTGGGTAATAAACGCCGTCCATGCTGATTTCCAATGTGTAGAAGTGGGTTCTCAATTCATTTTGTCCCAAATAAACACTGCTACAGCACCCTGAGTCTCGAATCTCCACTTCCTGCAGCCTCGAATAAGAAGAATTAGATTTAGATCAGAAAGTCTCCACCCTGAACTCGAGTTCCTGAAGTGTGGAGGACACTGCGAAGGGGACACACGGGAGGTAATGTATTCAACTTGGCTCAGAAGTGGGAATTACGCTATTTTCAGCGTCCGTGCGTTCAAACCTCAAAGTGGGAAAAAACATGGAAAAGTGAGTATTGTTAGTGACAAGCTAGCCAGCTAGCATTAGCGGTATGAGTCCTAACTTCAATATGCATGACACATTTACGTCCTCAAAACAGTGACCTTTACGCCCGAGACATACTTCACGTAAGGACGCGAACGCACACTTCGGGGTTTTGCACATGGTTGTATTCAAAATGTGTCACGATGCAGTTCATAATGCATCGCAAGTGCGAGCTGCATACGGAGCGTTACAGCAGGGGGCGCTATAACAAAAGCCAAGCCTGGCCAAGTGGTCTTGTTCCGACTGTGTTTTCTTAACTACCACAGCAGACAAGCAATTGAGCCTCATGCAAAGATGCCTAACATAACATTATTTCCATTCCAGCCAAGAGGTGAAGCAGCTCACTCTCCTCTACTGTCCACATTTAGCTGTTGAGGCTGTTGGAGTAGCAGTAGATCCTCTCTGATTTATCCTCTAGCGCCCCCTTCAGTGAGTGTTTTAATCACCACTGTGAGTTTGTACAGAAGGACAGAGCGTTTGCAGTGTGCTGGCTGTTGTTTGCGTTCATGTGAAGTAGGTTTCAGGCCTGATGGTCAGTGTTAGATTTACCCACGACTGCGTCTGTATATTGACTGATTCAAAGCAAACCTTGTTTAATGTAGAGAAGTGGTTCCTTATCACGCATCACTGTTGACGATGTGAGCAGCTGCGATGAGTCGATGTCATATCCTGAGCTCGGAGTAGAGAACACCATCCCAACTTTCCAAGAAGGAATTCCCAGTTAAGCTGCGTTTTCTTTGGTTTTCCTGGTCAGAAGTGAGATACTTCGGTCAAACGCAGCACAAGTGCTTCTGTTTCCGAGTGAAGTAACCAGCGTCCGAATTAATCAGGCCCACAGGTGAGCGATTTTACTTTAGGTCTTTGTGTTGAATTCTGTCTGAAATGATGCTCAGTAAAACAGACTAACACATCAGATTTAATGGTCTTGTTGTGTCTGTGAGTTTGTTCTAATTTGTTTTTAAGGATGTTGAATTTCATTAAGGCTCAATGAGCTGCTGACAGTTTTAAATATAGTGGATCCTGATAAACATTAACCCTCCAGCTGTGCTTTACATTCTGTGAGGTTTTAATTATGTTTGGACCGTAGTGGCCATTCTGTTGGTCCATTCATTGTGAAAAGGCAACGGACCCTTTCAACTGGGACAAAAATTACAGTTAAGAATGTTTTCAGATATGAGAGAAACAGCATGCGGTACAAGCTCATTTGGTTCAGAGCAGCACATCTGATACTACTGTGGCGGTTTATAAGCATCTATTAATGCAAATACAGTAAATAGCATTAAATTCAGTAAGATTTTACTGTTAATCAGATGGAGTAGCTGAACTGAACATTAATAGATGTTAATATTTCACTTTTAATGTCACCATAACATCAATGAAATGTTCTTTGTAAAGAAATAAAAAGTCTCTGTTTAAAATGTTTATTTCCAGAAGACAGAATGTATTTTTGTTCATGAATCTCTGTGTAATTTGTTTTTTGTGTTAAAATCAGTCTGTAAAAATGCGAAATATAAAAATCTGCTTTGTAATTTGTTTTCAATGCTCCTGTAATTCGCGCTCTGCAGCGACGAACAGCGCCGTCCGGTGGTCGAATCGTTGAACTGCAGCTCTTATTCTGCTGAGTTCTGACGCAGGACACAGCTGATATATCAGCGCTTTTACGTGTTATTTTTGTTAGAATAGTAAAGATTAAATGAAATTAAATGAAGCATTAATGTGTGTTTACCTCACCATGTTAAAAATAAACAGTATCACCATGGAGACGAAACGGTCTCATCACTGCGTGGTTGTGGAGCGTTTTAGTCCATCAGCGCCCTCTGCTGGAGAACTGCATGCAGCAGCAGCGGCGCTGCACGGAGTGAACGCGATAGACGGTCTCTAATTTGATACGATTTCGATTTTTACTGCAAGTTTAATGTTATCATTTTCGTCGACATGAGAAATAACATTTTATGAAGCCACAGATTTACTGCTTTTGCCAACACTGCAGCTTCTACAAGCACACAGAGGATTAATATCTGCTGTTCGGTCTTTTGGCCACAGGGCGGCGCTAATTCGACATTATGATTTATTCATCAAACAAAGTGTATTTTTAAAACACGGAAACGTATTTTGAGACTTGTATTTGATCGAATGTGCATCTCTGTGCCATTAAATGTGTCTGTTATTTGTCTCTGTGTGTTTTCACAGTATTTCTAAAAACACCGTGAAAACAGCGGCGCCGCGTAAACGGTCAGCATCTTCTGATGGAGAACAGAGCGGAGAGCATATCATTGTTGCCGCCTTGTGGTCAAAAGAACGAACTGCAGCCGTTAATCTCCTGTGTCTGCAGTAAGGTTTTAGGACGTTTTAATAAATCGGCGCGTTAAAAACCAAAGAAATCACAATATTTGGCAGATCTGCTAATTACTAATAAATTAAATAATTAATTATCACTAAAAAAATCTAGAAAACAACATTTAAAGACGAAACCGTCTTATCACGTGATTGCGTCGAGATTTAAACTCTTAGCGCCCTCTGCTGGAGAATAGGGTGCAGCAGCGGACCTACGGCGAGGAAACAGAGAGCGTTTAAAATTGGATTAAAACGTTTAAATATATATCCCTATATGCTAATTAAAAAACAAAGAGCATATTTTGTGTTATATATATTGTTTTTACAATAAATAACATAAATAACATGTTTTCAAACCAAGTATTTGGCTGTTAGGCTATTATTATTCTGCAAGTACATAGTAAATATAATAGCTGCTGTTCGTGCTTTTGGCCACCAGACGGCGCATTAGCGTATGTATCAAAATAAACAATTGTGTTTTGTAGGTATTGATTTTGTATTCTCTTGTGTTCCTCTACAACATTATTGGACATAAAAACAGCTTTAAATAGATAGATAGATAGATAGATAGATAGATAGATAGATAATGCTTCATATAAACATATTGTCTGTTCATTCGCTGATCTTCAAATAATAATCTCTTAAAACTCTCAGCCTCTGTGATTTGTAGATCGTAGGAATGACTCATGACTAAAGTGCAGATCTACAAATAATCCGAGCGCGCTAAAACACGGTGAATCTTTAAGGACAGAGCGCTGCCCCCCCTCTGTTTGGGGCTGTGTTGGTACAGTCCGCTCCGCTGAGCGGGAGAGCGGCTCTGCTGGTGCTGTTTGAGCGGAGCGGGGCTGCAGAGTGGGCTCCCTGACTGAGGGCTATCAGCTCGGTCTGTGGAGGATAGCGGCTCGATCACTCCTCTGTTTTTCACTCTTTTCAGTCCGTATGCAGTTTGTGTGGTGGTGAGTTGTTTGTCAGCTGATTAGACGGACGACAAATAGCTGCTGGGCTGAGCTGGCTCGCGCTTTGTTGTCGTTTCTCCTGCTGTTTTCTGCTAAGTGAGTTAGCCTGTTAGCCGCGGCAGAAGCGCCTGAGTTAACGCACATTCTGTTTTTGTTGGTGTATAAAAAGCGTTAAATCGCTTTGAGGAAATGCGAGCTGAGCTGTTTGTCCGGATAGCTCGGTTTCTCTGTGAATTACAGTCTAAATATGCCGCTTCTGCTCCTCCCGGCGTGGAGAAACGTTATGTGGCTAGCGGGCTAACTGTTTATCGCCAGCTTCGTACTCGAACTCTCTGGTCCACCTTAAATACCGCAGTTCCATTCCGGCGCCAGTAGCCGAACATAATGTAGCCGCTGCACATTTAAGGTGGAATGGAAAATTCGAAAAGTGAGCCTCGATTTTCAGAGGCAGTTTGGTTGTTTTTTGGCTCACCTGCCTTAGTTTCGCCGTAGTACTGACTGAAGAGTTTTATTTGAGAGGATAAATTAATCTAATATCAGTTTTGGCGAGGTTTAGCTGGCGGTGACCTCGCTGTGTGTCTGTTTAAAGGTCAGTCAGCGCGTCTCTCCGTCTCTCTCTCCCAGGTAAAGATGAAGACTGAAGCCTTCAAGCACGACTTCAACCCTGGAGACATCGTGTTCGCTAAGATGAAGGGTTACCCCTTCTGGCCCGCGCGGGTGAGGAAGTCCTAATATGTTAATAATATTAATTAATAGTGTTAATATAGAGCTACAGAGAGAAATAAAGACTGTAGTGAAGCAGAACCAAATCAGAGGGGAAAGTCCTGATGGAGGGGGGCTCAGGGGGGCGATATGACTCTGTTTATCAGTATTGTGATAAATCTGGTTATCAGTGTTTTTCTGAAAATCATCAGCTCTTAAAGAAAACCGAACATCTGCACACCTCCTTACAGAGCAGAGTCAGTGGTGGGAGGTTTTGACGCTGCAGGTGTGTTTAGTGTGTTAAAATGTTGTGAGACATGATTTTTGTAATCATGTCATATTTGTAATATGATGTTTTTTGCTGGTTGATCCACCCGAGATTTATTACAGGAGTCAAATCAGTCAGTAGATCCAGAAAAGTAAGGAGTGTCTTTACAGTATTTAAAGTTCTGCCTTCAGCGTAATTTGGCAAAAAAGAGGTTTACAGTTTCCGTTTTACCCCAGACGAGTCCGTCTGCCCAGATACGGTCAGATTCGCTTCTTCAGTTTAGGACTGGAGCCACGAGGCTAACGTTGCTAACAAACACTAGAACTCAGTAGTCACCCAGATAGCCTAAAGGTTTCTCTAAAGACACAACCTCTCCAGCCGACCTTCAGTGGAGCAGAGCCGCCTCGTTCCGGTTTAGATCTGGAGAAACTGTACATTATTTTTTTGCCTAACTTCCTTTATTAGATGGCAGATTTTTCCTGTATTACAGTCTTAAATAAAAAAGGGAGTCTTGTGTTTTTCATGCAACAAAGCGATGATGTTTTTCGTGGACTCTGCAGGTCGCTGAGGGAAAAGCTCCTAAAAACAAGATCCCCATCTTCTTCTATGGGACGCACCAGACGTGAGTAACACCGACACGCTTGACAGCACGTTACTGTCATTCATTACAGGAGATGAAGGAGAATTACGGTCTGATCTCGGAGAATTGCGGTCTGATCTCGTTACCACAGACCGTAATTTTCCTTAGAAACTCAGAAAACATATTAAAACCACGTTTCTAGCAGACGTCAGTGAGGAGGTGCTGAAGTGGCCGATACAGGTGACGCTGGAGAAACGCTGCAGCGTTCGTTAAATACTGAATAATTACAGTTAAATATTAATGCTGCAGCTTTTATAACACTGAGAGTCACAGACAGCAGCAGAACTGATTCAGTGTCTGTTTAACCTCAGAGACGTTCGCAGGTGGAGACGGTAGGTTTACATACGGCTTCGTGTTCTCAGACTTACAGAGACTCTGAGGTGAAGAGTTGTGAAGAGTTGTTTGTCTGTCTGTTTGTTACAGTACTACATGTTGTAAAGGCTTATCGCTGCAGTCAGAGCAGAACCTCGTATCTCCGTTTTTGTTGTTTTTCAGTTTTTGACATGTTTTGAAAATGCCTGTTTCCCTTTACATAGTGTGTAATTTTTATGATGAATGGACCAAAAGAAACGGCCCAAAATGACTTGGACAGATGTCTGGTTCCATTGACTTACATTGAAGGGAAAGTAGGTTTTTCTGTTCTCGTGTAAAAAAAGTTACCATTTTGGAGATGCAAGGTTTTGTTCCGACAGCAGTGATGTGTGTGTATAGTATTCATATCATCACTGACAAAATCTCGTGTCTCCAAAATAGAAACTGTACAGGAGATTGAAAAAACCTTCTTAACTTCAGGTGGAAATTAATGGAACCAGATGTTTCTTTGTGTAATTTTGGGTGGTCTCTGCTCATCCATTCATCACGAACCTTAAATACAGAGCTCAGGGCAGCTGATGTTTTCAAATTCAGTCTAAAACAGAGACTCAGGATTTGCCCTGACGGTGGCGCAGTGTGTGCAGTGTGTGCAGTGTGTGCAGTGTGTGCAGTGTGCGCAGTGTGCGCAGTGTGGAGTGTGTGGAGCTCACAGGCTCTCGTTTTCCTGTAGAACGACGTTGATCCCCAAAGACATCGCCCACTACTGGCCCAACAAGGACAAGTACGGCAAAGACATCAAGCGAGGGGGCTTCGATAAGGCCATGTGGGAGATCGAGAACGACCCTGGGGTCGGCCTCAAAGGTCAAAAGGTCAGTTCAGGACATGCACCTGTATTGGAGCGGAGCACCTTTTAGCACAAGAGATACGAGCATGGCGCAGACTGCAGAACGACGCGTCCTCAGTGGTCTGTAGCGCCCCCTTTAGCCTGGTAAATGTGAGTGTGTTACAGGCCAGAACCACGAGGCGCTTCACATCTACAAATGAACTGTTTTGATTAAAATAATGCAGGTTGTTTTTTAAACGTGTCACAGAGTTGATTCACCACTGAGTCATTTAAGTTAGGCTGTAATGTAATCATGGTGTGTAGTAATGTATCATATTAGCGTGTTTCTTTCTCTCTCTGATAGAAAGCAGCTCTGGTGAAGAAGGTACAGGAGAGCCGGCTGGCGCCGAAAAAACAAAAACCAACAGAAGAAACCAAAACACAGAAGAAGAGCGACGTGGCGTCTCCAAAGGCCTTCACAGCTCCATCTAAACCCCCCACACCGAGCAAGAAAGACACGCCGGGGAAAACGAGCACAACTCCAAAGAAAAAGGAGCCGTCTGACGCTCCGGCCAGGAAAAGACTGTCTGTGGGAGCCGCGGTCGAAGCTAAGAAGGCAGCCAAAACTGTTAAAACCTCCAGAAGGGCGAACGTTTCTACAGCTCGTTCATCCAAGAAGGTGAGCACTGCGAAAAAAATCATCCGGAACAAAAAAGTTATCCTGGCCAAGAAGGCCATCCTCACGAAGAAGGTCAGCGCAGCGAAGAAGGTCAGCGCGGCGAAGAAGAGCACTACCAAAAACAAAATCCTTTCAGATGCAAACAAAATGAAAGCTGGAAGAAGAAAGACTCTTGGAAATAAGCTGAAAGTGAAACTTCCACTTTTTACAGTGAAGAAGTCAGTAAAAGTAAGTGTTCAGCGTTTATCGTTCAGTGAAGATTTAATGATTTGAGTCTGTATTATGGCTCTAAAAGTGGCCGCGTGGAACAGCGTAGTTAAATGTAAAGCTGTGTGGCCGATGAGCCCCTCGCTCTGCTCTGAGGGTCTCTCATTCGCAGTCTTTTGAGCTCTGTCAGTGACCTGTTAGTGTCCATGACCAATACAGGCCTTCTGGATGCAGCCTGGAAAAGCGGGTCATAGAGGGATTATGCTATAGATACACTCATGTTTGATTTTTTTGGGGTATTTTTTAGAGGGTGGGCACAGAAGAATTTCTACTGGCACTTATCTCCGAAATGGTAACTTTACAGGAGAAGGAGAAAAACGACTTTACATTGTGTAAGTCAATGGAACCAGAATTTTTTCCAGGTCATTTTGGGCCATTTTTTGGTTAATTCGTTGTGAAATTTACACTCAGTGTAAAGAGCATCAGGCGTTTTCAGATTATGTCAAAAACGCAGAAAATGGAGGTGGTTTCGTTCTGACAGCAGTGATGTGTATCTTTACACCTCTGCTGCCTCTGTGGTGTTAAAAGATCACAAGAACACGTTGACGGAGCCACTAAAGTGACAAATTAGTCAAGTCAAGTCAGCTTTATTGTCAATACTACAATATGTACAGGACATACAGAGTATTGAGACTGTGTTACTCTCAGACCCCATGGTGTAGCAATAACATTAAATAGAAAGTAAACAGGAAAAGTGTGAATTTAAATACACTAAATAAACACTAAACACTAATCGTAAAAATAAGCACTAATTTAAAAAAAAAAAAAATTGAATAATAAATATATATGTGTATATATATAAATATATATCTTGAAAATTAACACGAAGTGACATGAGGCACAACAGATTAAGATCTGTGGGTATAAATAGTGCAAATATAAACAGTAGTGCTATTAGAATGAGCTTATGGAGCAGTTAAAGTGATGAGTGCGTAACAGTCCCTGAGAGTGCCCCAGAGTTCAGTACTGGGGGAGTGGGGATCAGGAACCCGTGTATGGGTCCAAAACTCTGTGTGCAGAAGGGGAGAGGGGGGGCAAAGTAGGGAGAGAGTTCAGCGTCCTGACAGCCTGGTGGATGAAGCTGTCCCCCAGTCTGCTGGTCCTGGCCCGGAGACTCCGCAGTCTCCTCCCTGATGGCAGCAGGCTGAAGAAGGTGTGTAGTGGGTGAGTGGGATCACCTGCCATGCTGAGGGATTTTCGGGTGAGACGTGAGCTGTATATCTCTTGGAGGGAGGGGAGGGAGGTGCCAACGATCTTCTCAGCTGCTCTCACGATGCGCTGGAGTGTCTTGCGACAGGACACGGTGCAGGCGCCATACCACAAGGTGATGCAGCTGGTCAGGATGCTCTCGATGGTACCTCTGTAGAAGGTGCACAAGATGGGGGCTGGGGCTCTGGCTCTTCTCAGTTTGCGGAGGAAGTAGAGTCACTGATGAGCCCTTCTGGCCAGTGATGCTGTGTTGTTGGCCCAGGAGAGGTCCTCTGTGATGTGCACACCCAAGAACTTGGTGCTGTTCACCCTCTCCACAGCAGCACCGTTGATTGTCAGAGGAGCATGCTGGGTGCACGTTCTCCTGAAGTCCACAACCATCTCCTTCGTCTTCTCAATGTTCAGATGGAGATTGTTGTGTCTACACCACAGGGCCAGGCGGCTCACCTCTCTCCTGTAGTTTGTCTCATCGTTGTTGCTGATGAGACCCACCACAGTCGCGTTGTCCGCGAACTTGATGAAGAGGTTGGAGCTGTGCGACGGTGTGCAGTCGTGGGACATCAGAGTGAATAGGAGGGGGCTCAGTACACATCCTTAGGGGGCCCCCGTGTTCAGTGTGATGGTGCGGGATGTGTTGTTGCCGGCCCGTACTGCCTGTGGTCTCCCAGTCAGGAAGTCTAACAGCCAGTTGCGCAGTCAAGTGTTCAGCCCCAGCCTGTCCAGTTTGAGAATGAGCTGCTGGGGGATGATGGTGTTAAAAGCGGAGCTGAGATCTATGAATAGCATTTTGACATGAGAGTCTTTTTTGTCCAAATGTGTGAGGGCTGAGTGGAGGGCAGTGGAGATGGCATCATCAACAGAACGATTAGGCCGATATGCAAACTGGAAGGGGTCCAGGGAGGGGGAAGGACAGACTTGATGTGTTGCATGACCAGCCGTTCGAAGCACTTCATGAGGATGGGAGTGAGTGCAACTGGACGGTAGTCATTGAAACAGGAGGGTGACGCTTTCTTCGGGACAGGGATGATGGTGGTGGCTTTCAGGCATGTCGGGACAACAGCCTGACTCAGCGAGATGTTAAAGATATCTGTAAAGACATCTGTGAGCTCCCCAGCACAACAAATTAAGCAATAATGTTGCACAATCTGCAAATTTGAAGCTAGAAAAAACTGTGAAGTTACTAAATTTCCTCTACCAGCTGTTCAGGTTTGGGTCGTCATCAACAGCTGGTAAATGTGTCCTGTAAGCTGAGTATATGTTGGTTTTGCACGTCCAGATGTGATCTTGTGATGATGTAACAAAAAACACACCTTCGAGCAGCTTTTGGTGCAGGAAATGCATTGCAAACAAGGACACGCCCCCCCAGCACAGCCCCGCCCACAAGCTCCACTAGTCTGTTTAGTCTGAATGCAGATCTGATGGTGTGTGTTTTCCCAAACACAGCAGCCGATTCTTCACATTCATTTCAGCGGCATCATCATAACTGTGAACCGAGGCCACATAGAGCCGCTGGAGACCTGGCGTTAATTTTATTACCGGTCTGGTGAATTTTTTATTTTATTTTTTTATTTTATTATTATCTGGTTTAACAGAGGTTTTCTCTCCTACACTCCTAAAAAAGAGGGTTCTTGAAGGGTTCTTTAGCAAAGAACTACGAACACTTTGCGTCATGAAATGGTTCAGGTTGATGGAGAATGTGCTGTAGATCGTTCTATATAGCACCCAAAAGGGTTCTTTTATTGTAACAAGCTTGACATTGTAACAGTAGAGGAGCCTGTTTCAAAAAGGTTCTATGTAGAACCATCTAGAGCACATTCTGAACTTTTTCATGATGCAGAGAATTCTTTATCATGCAGAGGGTGCTTTGAGTGTTCATGGTTCTTCTATAGAACCAACTTTCTTTACTAAAAACCCATCAAGAACCTATTTTTTAAGTCTGTAGGAGATGATGTTTGTTTATACTGTTTGCATTGTGTTCTGTGTTCACACGACTCACATCCACCTGCTTCACTTGGGTGTTTTGTGGAACTTTTCAGTCAAACTAACTTATATTACATAACTGGAGTTCCCAGACACATTCAGGCCAAAATATATCTGTTGTACTCGATGTTCTCTGTACGAGATCATGTCTGGCCCTGAGAGACCGTGTGTCGACGTTCATGTTGCTCTTTATTTCCATTTGAGCCCCTGTCCACTAAAATGCGAACGCCCCAATAGAACCTGCAGAGGTATCATTGATTAGCCTTGCAGCTGTACTGTGGCCAATCACTGAACATGAGCGTACAGCTCTTTAACCCTTTAGGTGTTAACATGAGTCTGTATTTGAGATTAATGAGGTGTTCTGTGTTGTATATTGACCTGTTGTTCATATATTGACCTGTGTAAGGCGTGCTGTGTGTTGTACTGTAGGTTCTGAAGCCCAGAGACTCTGCAGATCGACCGGTCGCTGAGGCTCCGACGAAAGCGGCCAGTCAGAAACGGAAGCTGGAAGAAGCTTCTGATCTGAAGGAAAACGTTCCAGCTCCCACGGTCGCTTCTTCGGACCCAGCAGGTACGCTATGGTGCAGGAAAGTGAGTGTCAGGCCCGAAACATGCTTCACTCAAGAAAGCGAACGCAGACGCTTCGAGCTGCGCATATGGGGTAACACGCTGGCTTTAATAACTTTAAAATGACGTCAGACTCAGGAAAACGTCCTTCACATGTCCTTATTAAAGAAGGCCGAGAGGAAGACGTCGTGTTCTGAGACACATAAGCTGGACGTCCGTCACACCGCCGTCTTTTAAAGGTCAGAGCATAAACTTCGTCTCTTCTGCAGACCAGTTTCTGCTCCGCCATGTTGAACGGTATAAACTTTCACTGTGACGTGACGAACATGATCAGAACGGACTTAAACTTTCCGATAGGGAATGTAATCAGATACAGGCGTTTACACGGATATTATTCTTCTATTTAACAGATTATTTACAGGATTACCCACCTCGATCAGTCGGATAGAAACTGTATTCCGAATGGCCTCAATCGGACTAGTCTATTCAGATTGAGGTGTTTACATGGACGTATTCTATTCCGAGTGAGCTATTAGTCGGATTATTAACGGATTATTAGGCTGCATGTAAACATGACTGTTGTGTCTTTGTGTTTTTAGCCTCGAAAAAAACCCAAGAAGAGAAGACTGAAGGAACGAGGAAGAGAAGAGGAGAAAAGACAGAGGCAGATGAAGGAGGACGGATGGAAGAGCTTGTGTCCAAGTCACAAGTGAAGGAAAAACCGACCTCTTCGCAAGTAGAAAAGAATGGGGGAAGAAAGAGGAGAAGAGAAGGGAGAGGAGAAGGAGGTGAGCGCAAGCGGCTGAGGAGCGATCCACAGAGAAGTGAGAGGGAGAAGAAAAAGAGGGAAGCAGACGAAAAGGAAAAAGATCGACGGAAGAAAGAGGAGGAGAAAAAGAGGGAAGCAGAAGAAAAGAAAGAGGTAGAGAAGAAGATGCTGGAGGAGGAGCGGAAAAGCAAAGCACGAAAAAAGAAAGAGGAAGAAGAGGAGAAAAAGAGGGAAGCGGAAGAGAAGGAAAAGAAGGAGATGGAGGAGAAGATGATGGAGGAGGAGGAGCAGAGGAAGAAAGAGCAACAGAAGAAAAAAGAGGAGGAGGAAAAGAGGCAAGCAGAAGAACAGGAAAAGATGCTGGAGGAGGAGAAGAAAAGGAAGGAGCAGCAGAAGAAAGAAGAGGAGAAAAAGAGGGATGCAGAAGAACAAGGAAAGAAAGCGGTGCAGAGAAAGAAGATACTGGAGGAGGAGGAGGAGGAGCAGAAAAAGAAAGAGCGACAGAAGAAAGAAGAGGTGCAGAAAACTAAGGAACAGGTGGATGAAGTGAAGGAGGCAGAGGGGCAGAGACAGAAGAGGAAAGCAGCGAAGGAGACGGAGAAAGAAGAGGAACAGAGGAAGAAGAAGAAGAAGAGAGAAGAAGAAACTGTGCAGAAAAAGAAGGAAGAGGCAGACAGACTGGAGGGAAAGGGACAGAAGAGGAAAGAACAGGTGAAAGAAGAGGTACAGAAAAAGAAAGAAAAGGTGGCTACACCTAAGGAGAAGGAGGAGAAGAGACCAGTGAGGAAAGGAGAGAAAGAAACTGAGAAAGAAGAGGAAACGATGAAGGAAAAAGAAAAGGGGGATGACATGAAGGAGACGGAGGAAAAGGGATGGAAGAGGAAAGGAGAGCAGGAGGAAGAGGAACAGAAGAAGAAGAAAAAGCAAGAGAAAGAGACGGTGCAGAAAAGGGCAGCAGAGAAAGAAGAGTCTGCAGGAGAGAAAGATTCAGAGGACCAGAAGAAAGAGCAGGTAGAGAGACGACTGCGCTGAGTATCAGAGTGTATTTGGGGCTTTTAGCTGGTTTAAATGTGGTGGTTTCAGTAAAATAAAGTCTGTTTGACACTTTTTAATCAAGGAAATTCAAAGTCCTGTTTTTGTAATAAGAGTTTTATAAACTGTAATTAACATTTTATTATATTATTTTAAATTCATGTCTGTGAAAACGTAAAACTCATTCAGCCTAAAGCAGTTTAGCTCCACCCCCTTTGCATACAGCAGTACGCAGCAAAGCCTGTGATTGGTTGGTAAAAAAGAGGCGGGCCATGAAACAAAGGTGGACGACTTTGAGGAGTTTGAGCACTTTGGCAGACGCCAGTGTCTCACTGTGAAACGCGACCTGAAAATTCACCGTCCTGAACCAAATCCCTACTGTATCTAACCAATCTTTTTATTTTAAGGTGTTATAAATAAGCACACAAACTAACGTACTTAGCTAAGATTAGTTATTCATAAAACATTTTAATAAAACTGCTCACATTTCTAGCGCTGAATTGTGTTTCTATTTTATTACAAATTCACATTAATGTAAAGTTAATGTTAGCATTTACACGCAAGTTAGCAAATATGACCTCACCTTCTGCAAGCCATGTCGGTACAAAACTGGCTACCCAGTTCCGGTCAGTTTTTATTGTGAAGGTCTATTTCTTGTGGTTAGTCTGTGAAGAGTCTCGCTCTTTAATCCTTGTTGTACACTGTTGTGACTAAATTGGTCAACCTGGAATGTGCTTCACCTTTCATCTGTCGTACACACACGTCGAGCGGCCCAGACGCGCTAGCAGCTTTTTTCACTACACTCGCAGTGTGACTGAGAGACACTCGAGCGACTGTTTTCTAAAACTTGTAGTTCAGCCAAAAAAAAGAACCACCTTTATCTGCCTTGTTAGGATTTTCCCTACAGACATCACAGAACATCTCTGGTACAGAGGGGTCAAAATCGACCCATGAGAACTGGGTCAAGTGATTTTGTGGTGCTGTCCCAACATCGTGTTTTACCTGCCCCGGGCAGTCGTTATTATTGAACCCTGATTTGTGAATTTAGGCTGTAATTTAGCTGCTGCAGAGATTAAGTGAAACTTTTATTCACTTACACTCTCTCTCTTTCTCTCTCTTTCTCTCTCTCTCTCTCTCTCTCTCTCTCTCTCTCTCTCTCTCAGAGGAGTAAGGTCTTGGCTGAGCGGAGGCTGAGTGTGCTGAAGTCTCTGCAGGGACTGGTCACCTCCACCAGAGGAAAGCGGGAGATGCAGAAAAACGACAAAGCTGCTGACAAAACAGCAGATAAAACCACAGCGAAGAGCAGGACGGTGAACGAGGAGTCCAAACCCGCCACTCCAAAGCGCCCTGAGAGGAACCGCTCGGCGAAGGACGACAGCAGAGCGACGGTTAAAGCAGGAGAGGAGGGGAGAGGAGAGACGAGCGAGAAGACGGCCGCAGAGCGGAGTGAAGAGACGCCACAGAGGGAGGAGAGCAGGACAGCAGAGTGAGTGAGCAGCTGCAGCTCAGCGGTGCTGCTGATTGTGAGATTTAAAGCGATAGTTTGACCAAACGTCAAACTTATAGAGTCTGACTGCATGTATAGTCGATCAGCCAAGACATGTTTGAGTTTTGCTTCTTTAGTTTTGTACCAGAGCTGTGAGGCTAAAGTTGCTATGAAGAAACAGAAGCTTGTACTCCTCCATTTAGCACAGTGCTAACAGCATGACTGACTCATCACTCACTCTCTGTCTCGAGTTGTTCAGTGATCTTAATAGACTTAATTCTGTGGTTTCTGACACTGTGAAACACTTCTGTCTATAAATGTGAACGAAAGTACAGACCAAATTCAGCTGCTGCTGTTTTTGGCTGGACAGTGTACTTTTCACCTTCTGTCCACTACGTTGTAAACTTCAAACATGTCTTTCTTGGTCTAATATATTTATGGTGAAGGGGAATAGTTGTGTACATTTTTGGCAGAACCCTCATTTTAACAGATCCATGTTATGGATCGCTGAACTTCCCTCACTCTTAAAATATTTGCAGTAGTTTGCTGTAAAATAAAAACACTGATAAATTCTAAAAAATACCATTTAATCTCTACACAGTCCATATGTAGAAACTAATCTGCATAAACAGTCTGTGTTGAATTGAATGTTTTTGTAATGTCACGCAAATCATGTCCTTTACATACATCCATCTGTTTAGCCTTTAGCAGATTTTGTGCTGCCCATTCACCCTGATTTTTGAACGCGACCAGTCAGAGCAGACCTCATTAGCACATTCCAGTCATAAAGGCACAGTAACAACAACCGCCTGTTGAATTATAGGTGATAAAAAGAGGTTGTTCAAATCAGTTGTGACTGTTTTCGCTGTGTAAAACCATACGAATGTTGCAAGTGGATGTCAGTGGTAAAATAAAGTACAAGAGTAATGTAAGATATGGGACCTTTAAGCTCTCTTTACCTTTTTTCTTAATAATTTTCTACTCCGCTGAGCTGATCTCGGACTGTTAAAGTGAATAAACAGTGATGACAGACAGACTCACACATGCACTGGACTGAAGGGTGATGACTGACTGAACTGTGTGTTGATTCTTTCTTTGCAGGCCGAGCAAGAAGAAGAGTGAGGAGGAGAGAGTGGACATTCGGAGAGGTAAAAGACAGAATTAGTCTCTCTCTCTTTATCACTGAAAAGGACACTCCAGCCAGAGTGGGAAAGCCCCCTTTTAATGATGCACCTTGAAGGTGGGAGGAATTGCTTTAAAGTGGATTTATGAAGGGTGGAGCTGTTTGAAATGGGTTTTCTTGCTTCCTAGCAGTAACGTTAGCTATGCAGCTTCCTTCTTCATTCGCCTGCGAAAAAGAACGACATATGAAGCATCCCACTTAGTTTTCTCTCACCTGCAAGGTACGTCATCAGAAGGGGGCTTTTGTGGTCTGGCTGGAGTGTCAGTTTGACTTCTTTAGCGTTTTTTCAGCCTAATTACTGCGGATGATAATTTACACTCGTTTCCCAGTTTAAAAAAGAAAAAAAAAGACCTGTTGACTCAAATCACACTTGTTATAGACGATAATGTGCGCTCACTGAAGCATTGCAAACACATGCACACACTGACTTGTTTAATAAGTGTTTTGAATCAGTAGACATTGTCTGTGGTAATTCTTTTGAGGCTGAGTTAAAGTGCTTTATCAAATGTTCTGCTAATTATGTCTTTTTCTCTCTCTTTTCCCAGATCCTGCTCTGTCAGTCACCGACTCTCTGCTTTACAGACTGCATGGTGATATTAGGATCTCCATGACCCTCGATAATCCTGTGAGCTCCTGTTAAATATTCTTTAATATTTAACATTCTGTTATAAAGCGACAATAAGAGTGGCTACGTAATGTAGTCAGTATAGATATGATTATAGTTGAAGCTGCACTGTGTAAGATTTGGGGATTTGGAGACCTCTCTGGTGGAAATGTGTAATTACACGCAACATGTGGAAGAACATTTTATGTGGGTTGTGTTTCGGACCCCTTCCCGAGCGCATGAACCTGATATGACCGCTTTGAGTGTTTAAAGAGATCTCGGTAGAAGCTTGGAGGGTACATAGCGCTGCTTTAATATTCACTGTAGACGTTCTTAAGTAATGTTGATCTGAATTGTTTTATATTATTTTGATTCTCTCTCTCTCTCTCTCTCTCTCTCTCTCTCTCTCTCTCTCTCTCTCTCTCTCTCTCTCCGTAGGATGTGAGTAAGTGTTTGCTGGCGCTGGATGAGTTGAGCACAGTGTCCGTCTCCTCTCGTCACATACAGAACCACAGTGAACTCATCGACACGCTCAGAAAGGTACACGCCCTGCCACGACTGTCATTATTGATCATATCAGTAATTGAGTAATCTACTGATTATTTTGAGTCGCCCTGTCTCAATAATAAGCCTACAATAATCATTTAAAAGCTAGAGGGGGGTCTTTTAGAGTTAGAAGGAGTTTTTCACACCATTAAGTATGCAGAGGCTCAAAAAAAAGGTTTGGCTCGATGTTTAGATCTCAAATGATTATAAAATCATTATACTGATGAAGTAACGCTGAGGCTGAAGCAGGTTGCGAATGCTAGAGGCTTTATTAGGGGGTTTTCCAATATTCAGACTCCATGTAAATGGCAGGGATCAAAAACAAGCAGGCAATAACAGAGGCTGATCAATGGCAAAGCGAGAGTCAAGAACAGGAAAACACGAAAGGAACAGGCTCAGAAACTCGGGTCAGCACAGAGATGTTGCAAACTCTAAACCCAAACTCTAAGACCCACAAAGGCTGAACCGAAATGAGACGGTTTGCTCTGTGGTGGATTTCCTGTTTGTGTCACAGCGCTGCTGTTCCCGCCCTCACCGCTGCATCACGAAACGCCGCTCCTGTCAAGTTCTTTTAAAGTTCTTTAAAGATAGAGCCACAAACTTTGATTTTATTTATTTTATTTATTAGAGCTGGAGATGCTTCTCTCTGTCGGCTCTTTGCTCCCTAAAACAAAACGATATGCTAGCGTACGTTCTGCTTCAGACCACATTTAATGGCTTTTTTTAACATCTGTATCGTTCGCTATTCAAATCAGTTTAAACCCAACACATTAATGTACAGTGTCTCCTCAGCCGCCGCTCGCTCCTCTGCTGACGCCGCCATGTTAATGAATCTTTGCCTGCACACAGTGAACCTCGGGATATGTCAGCTGGTTAAGGATTCGCCTGTTGGATCCTTTGTTGCCATGGAAAAGGACACATTTGTCGGCCGCATATGAAGGAGTCTTTGAAATGGGACAGCCTAGTCACGCCGTTGTGACGAGGTCGGCCTTTAAATGCAGCCCCTGAAATGGGACGCAGCCCCTGAAATGGGACGCAGCTCATGTGACTGATAAAGATATAAAGACAATAAGACAACAAATTCTCAGGAGACACGTTCCCACAATGCTAAATGTTCTTCCACTTGTTGGGTGAAATTACACGTGTATATGTATGTGTGTATATATATATATATATGTGTGTGTGTGTGTGTGTATATATATATATATATATATATATATATATATATATATATATATATATATATATATATATATATATATATATATTTTTATGTATTCGTATGTATGTGTGTATTATGTATGTATTCATATGCAAAAGTTGGACAGGCCTGGTCACAAAAAAAATGTGAACACATTCTCAACAGAAAATGCGCTTTTGCACATTTTAATGCATGAACTTTGTTCATTTGCTGAGTTTAATGTACTGGGGGGGGGGAAACACAACTTTGACACATTTTTAATCTTTGTGTCTGTTTGTGACTGATGTGTACGTCGTGTGTCCCCGTTGTGGGCAGATGCGCTGGTTCCGAGGCAGTGAAGCCATCATGTTTAAGGCCTCTATGCTGTATTACCGCTTCAAAAACATCTACCTCATCGGAGACTCTGACGAAACGCTCAGTCAGGAGTACATAAACACACTGCAGGAGGACAAGGAGAGGGAGGAGAGAGAGAGAACAGAGGAGGAAACCTCGTCACCTGCCTCTCAGCGTGCTGCAGGTAACACTGTCTAACGCCCCCCTTAACTGTGGGGAAATCACTAACACACTGCCTGCAGTGGACTCTTGGTTTATTCTAAAGTTTTGTCTGTCTCTGTGTGTCTGTAAAGGTTCTGCAGCTGAGGGGGCCGATGCAGAGACGCTGTCCACCCAAGTACAAAGCAGCAATCTGATACAGCACAGGTGTGTGTTTCTGTGAAAGGAGTGTGTATTAGGGATGTGCGTGCAGAGCATCTGTAAGGGGCAATTAGAGTGTAATTGGTTTGCCGCAGGGAAGGAAAAACAAGGGAAAGACAGTATTAACCCTCTGGGGTCCACGAACGTACATACGATGTTTGTATATCTGTGTCTGTATCTTTGTGATGATCCAGCACAGAAATCCAGTTCAACCATTCCCTGAATCTGTAGAGTCGCCCTTTCCATTCCATCTTATCATGAGATCATACGAGACTCACATCACTTCAGATACATCCTTTATGATGTGTCCTTAGCGACACACTCGCATTGAGCCACTGTTTTTTCATAGTAGTAAAGAGTTATATACCTACTTGAAAATATAAATGAACTCTCCACTTTTTACACTCCTGTTAAAACAAAATTAACCTTTGTCTGATTTGTTATCTTATTGTTTTCACTGTCTTTTCATAACCGAGTCCTTGAGCGCCTGTACACATCCCTAATGTGTTTGTAGCAGTGTTCTGCGCACGTTTCAGCTTTTTCCTTCTAGCTGTTACGATGTACATTTGTTTGCAAAAGTAAGCAAATGACACGTTGATTTATGTGAGAATAAGTGAACACATCCTCTATAGAGAACACACCTCTGCACACTTCAGTGCACAATAACCTTTTATTGGCTGAATTTAACATAAAAAGCAGAACGTGGTCTGTGTAAAAGTTATGGTACATTTTTTTTTTTCCACAATATGGATCAGCAAATAAAAAGAAACTGTGCCCCGAGTTCCTTGTAGGGGATGTGAACTTATTCTGGCTTAGAAAATCAGCAGAATGTCATTTAATCAGGTGTGTAACACTCTTTGCTGTGGTCTTGTGCTTTTGCCGTCTGGATCTCTCTGTTTATAGTGAATCTGTGTGTGTGTGTGTGTGTGTGTGTGTGTGTGTGTTCGCTTATTCATAGTGACGGTGCAGTGGAGAGGAGCTGACGAACACCACTGGAGTTTTAACGTTTCCTGGGTTTTTTTTTTCTTTTCTTTCTTTTCTTTTTTTTAAACATCTTTCCGGATGTGCTCAGTTAGACGGGCGCTGCAGGACTCTGGATGCATTCAGAAAACACTCATCACCCTCAGTGTCTGTCTCTCTCTCTCTCTCTCTCTCTCCTCTCTCTCTCTCTCTCTCTCTCTCTCTCTCTCTCTCTCTCTCTGTCTCTTTTTTTTTTCTTTGTCTCCCACTCATTCGCACAATCTGCCTTCACTTTTAACAGATCTGTGGCCTTTTATGGTGCCTGGCAGTAAAATATCTTGAGGTAAGAGCAGGAGACTCATCCTGGGTCAGCCTGACAGCATTAAAAGCATTAAAGGGGAATTCCACCAAATTTTCAAAATTACAGTATACTTTGCTCATTGAAGATTAACCAGTCATATGGAGTGGAAAAAAGATCCTGAAACTGCAGCCTTGATTTTATTACTATGTTAACAGTCAGAACTGTGATCAGAGGTCAGTGTGTGACACACAGACGTTTTTGTTTCTGATCTAGACAACCAGTGTCGCTATGCCTTACATACAGTTGTTGCATCACCAAAATTGTGTTAAACCTGCACCTAGATGATCATAGTTTATACAAAAAAAGGAAAAACTTAATAAATAAGGAGAATCTGAGGCATCAGGCACTGAATTCATGACGTTTCATGTAGTAACTTTCTGTGAGGGAGCTTTTAGAGGTGGACGTCTGGTTCCTATCACCACCACTGTGAACAGTTCTGACTGGGCAAGTTTCACAAACCACTCTGAATGACTCTGCTTGTTTCGCAACGAGCACAGTATGCTTAAAGTTTGAAAGTTTGGTGGAGACTTGTGTGCATCACTGCCACTGCGGCCACTTTGCGAAGCTAAAATCTGAAAAACTCTATAATCTGGATGGTTTAGAGGGAGAAGCTTGAAAGAGCTAAAAAGTCAAGCGTTTTTCTCTTGGAAGGTTTTCACACAACAGCTGTAGGTCTTTTTACATTTCATATGAAGCATTAAGGTGTTTGGTTCTAGGTAGAACGGGCTGTGCATTTCAGATGTATGTACTGTACAACATGAATATCAGACTTATTTATTTATTAAGGTTTTTTATACACTATAAAGTCAGCAGTGTTAAATTCACTACTCCGCTCTGGTTATTTTGCTGGGTATCTCCACGGACGGATCCCGGAACCTAGTACTTAGAACCTTCACAGGTTCTGTAATGGTACTGATGCAGTAGCAGGCTTCCAGCCCAAAATAACATTCGCTTCTGGGTGCTCTGACTGTGGACTCTAGCTGTTACAGAGCGCTGTGTAACTCGCCCACCGTGTTTATCTTCTACCACAGCTGCGTAACACCCTGCACGTTTCAGCATTAAGTATTCATGAATGCTTGTTTTGCACACACGTCGCCTCTCCTTAATACACGTGTAATAAAGCGTGTAATCAAGTGTTTCTGCAGGAAAACAAGTGCTGGTTTAAAACTATATCAAAGCCAGATTAAGTCTGTATTAAATCCACCTTCTTACAGTGTTTACCTGTAGACTGAGACTGAGCGAAAGGGAGCTGACGTAGTTTGTGCAAACAGCCTCTGACTGTCTTTATCAGCCTAATCTCGCTCTTTATTACAGTAATCCCAATTAACAATAACACTCTGTAATAATAACTCAATGGTATATTGTTAATTGCATTAAAGTGATGGATGTTATGTTACTGCTACTGGATGCACGCACATGTCTGAGTGCTAAATTTGCAAACACACAGCATTACAGATTCCTAACTACACATCTCATAAGCTTGCTGTCCTGCTGTCTGTTCTGTTTTGATATTTAAAGTCTGTGTGTAGGTATACGGGGGGGTCTGCTGAACTTTAGACCCCGTTCTCAGTCCATGCTCACTCCTACAATACTTTATACCGTCATTATAAAACTTTTTTTCTTCTTTTGTCTCTTTGTTTTTAATGGATTTTAACAAGACTGTTGTGTAAATAGTTCTCTGGTATGGACAGTTCTTGTGTAAAGCCGTGCTTTTGCTGCTTATTGTGATTAAAAGTGTGCTATTTCTGTACCGGAACCTGTGATGGACTTTTGTCTGAGCTGAGAATTCACTCTATCCGGAGGACGTTCACAAGTAGGAACTGATTCCTTATTAGTGAAAAATACACTAATAACATTATTGCATGTAAAACTAATCACATTTATTTATTCAAATTGAATTTCCAATGTCAATCTTTAGATTAAAAACTAAACTGACCTGCCATATGATTATGTAAGAGAAGGTTTGATTACAGTAAGTAATCTTCAATAAATTGTTAATGATAGATGTGAGTGTGAGGGTGTTGTTGCAGCTCCACCACTAGAGGGCGGCATTAAGCCTCAGAACTAAAAGCAGTTTAACTGCCAGTAAATCTACCACCATTTAGCAAGTAAATGCCATCACACTGTAGCTCCCCTCCTCCCCCAGCCTACTCGTTTAACCCCACTGTTTTATTATTGTTGACTGAATTAATGCCTTGGAAACATGAAGCATTAAAGAAAAAGATTATTCCACCAAATACTGGAAGCAACTCCTGTACAGACTGCGTTCGTGTTTAAATAATACACTTAGTGGTTTAACTTCACTGTTTCTATGCAGTGTATTATTTTTCTCCTAGTTTGAGTACAACTTTTTCAAGTTGTAGTTTTGTAGTGAGACGTCTCCGCGCAGTTAGACATAAGTAGCGAAAAAACTACAACCCCCATGATGCATTGTGAGACACGCAGGCCGTTGCCTGGCAGCGCAACCGCCGGAGGAGGAAGAGTTAACGTTACCACCACAACTACCGCTCTGAGGTGCACTTCAGGCTCTTCTACAGCGTGTAATGACCACAAAAACGCCCCAGTAAACTAACATGACCTCATTTAGCCTCCTGTTCTACCGTGTACTACATTTTCTGAACTGATGAGAGTCACTTCTTTTCTTCGTTGTCTGAATTCTGGCCACCTTGGCTCGTTTTGTGTGGTTGCTAACTGGAGTTGATGTAAACAGAGTCAGTCAGAGGCGCCTGAGTCAGTCAGAGTCAGTCAGAGGCGCCTGTCTGCAGTCTGAACCATTTAGTGCGATGGGTTTGTAAAGATTTCGGCCTAAATTGTGGTTTTAAAACGCCTGCAAGGCGGAGGGATACATGCAGGGTGTTATAATGCAAAATAGTCCCCAAAGAAAACTTATTATTAAAGATTTTCCACTATTTTCCATCATCAACATTCATATAAACTCAGAAGGCTCGTGTAGGTTCACTGGTGATTCTGGATAGTAAATAAAATGGCTATATCTGTGTTGTAGTCATGGCGACCCCTGGTTCCTATCACCACCACTGTAAAGACATCTGAACCATTTCACCCCAAACCACTCTGAACTGGTTCTGTATAGAACTATTTCGTGCTTAAGGTTCTTTGCATGGTGAAATCCCTGCTGTAAAAAATCATGGGAACCGTTTAAAAGGTTCTGCTGGTTCCTGGTGGTGTCCAATAGTCAGTATTGATATATTTTGTCTTTCCTGATGAGTTCACATCATGGTGACTCCAATAGTTTAACAGATGTCCTGGTTCCAGATGCATTTGATGGTTTCCTAATGTGACCTAAAGGTGTCCTACAGAAAACTATGGGTCTATAATGGTAACCATTAAGCCAGTTCCCATTAGGGAGCAAAACCATCAGGCTTTAATCCATATGGTTCTTTAGGCTGATGCAGAATGTGTTGTATGTGGTTCTATATAGAAGCTTTTTGAAAATGGTTCTATATAGCACCTAAAATGGTTCCTCTACTCTTACAAACTTGACATAAGAACTCTTTTAGGTACTACATAGAACCATTTTCAAAAAGGTTCTTTACAGAACCATATACAACACATTCTTCATCAGTCTGAAGAACCGCTTCACCGTGCAAAGAACCTTAAGCATAAGGTGGATCTGTATAGAACTATAGAACCATTCTCTTTACTAAAGGATCCATGAAGAACCATCTTTTTAAGAGAGTGGCTGATAAAATGCTGTTGACATCCTGTATAAATAAAAGTAATGTGTGGCCACGAAAAGTAAGGTGTGGGAACAAGATCCTAATGAGATAGGGAATGAGATAATTAAGCCTGGACCACATCTTAATGTATCATGATCGTTCCCATGCCTTACTAAGTTGTGGCCACGACTTAATTATCTTATTCCCACGCCTTACTAAGTCAAAGCCAGGCATTATTCTTATTTATACAGGATGCCTTTGAATACAGCTCAGTTAAGGTGGACTTTAAGGTGGATTTAAGGTGGTGCGCGTGACTGCTGCGCTCCGTCAGTGTCGCCAATGAAAACCGGTCGTGCGAAAAGATTGTATTTTTTTCCCACCTATAATCCGGCAAATCCCACCCCTGTGTTACGATTGGCTTGTAGAATCCCAAATTCTGCGCTATGATTGGCTAGTACGCTCACGCTTCCTGCGCCACGATTGGCTTGTAAAATTGTTTACATATTTGGCCTACTAGCCAATCCCAGCGCAGCGGGGCGGGACTTTCCCCGAATCCGGGTGGGAAAAAAACACCAGACCGCGGAAGCTGCTGAGTTAGTCGTGTTAAACGTGGCGCAGCTCAGCGGGAGACCGACCGTGTGAATCCGGCGGAGAGCCGAGGACGTGGACACACACCGGACAGCCCCTCCGGAGAGCGACACCCCGGACTGAACAGCCCTGATGCAGCCACAATGCTGAGGTCCCTCCGCCTGTGTTAGCGCCGGTGCAGCTCCGCTCCGTTTCAGCAGCGCCGCTCAGGGAGAGTGACCAGTGACTATGGCTGAAAACTGCGAGATGGACGAGGTGAGTCCAGCTCATATAAAGGAGACACGGTCAGAAAGTCAATACGGAGAGGTGACCGATGATAAAAGGTCGGCATAGTCGTGCTGAGGGGACCTGTGAGCTGATTAATGCTTGGAGGCTCATGTAATGTGTATACATAGACACATTTACATTATATTTATATGTTACATCTGTATACTACATATATTAATGTATATTTATATACATATGTCTTACTCTGTGTGCAGTGTGTGATGCCTGTGTAGCCCTGCATAAGTCTATCTGTGAGCTATGCTATGTATACAGCATACATATATAGCCTGTATGTGAATCTGTATGTATTTGTGAGCCTGTATTCATACATACATGCTCACATATACATTAGAATGGCATCTTATACCTTCACTGAGTGGTTTATTTTGGCTTATACGTGCCCAAAGGGGCATTGCTGTCCATGTCCAGGCTGCTGGGAGTACCTGTAGATTCAGTGCCCGCTGGTGTGGTCAGGGATGAGCACTGTACGCTGCTTTTCTGCCCTGATCTTTAGTCTAAGTCATGAGTTTCCATATACTTTGCCTTCAGCAGCACTTCTGGGCAGAAGAAAACAGTCTGGTGTGGGTCTGAGCGTCACCTGACAGCAGCCGGTCATTAGTGTGGTCAGTGAATTGGGAAGTTAGGACAGTGTCCGCATCTTTTCATGAGCACTTTGTTGTATGTGGTTGATTAGGCAGTATTTGCATGTAAGAAGTGACCGTGCTGTAGGAGGGAACTGCAGGCCTTCCACAGCCTCCCCAACAGCTTATGACCAGTCCTCTGTCCAAAAAGGGCCACACAGGTCCACACTGAGCCAAACATGCTTTTTAATGACTAACATCAGCTCCAGTTCACACCCGAAAGAGGTCAAGGTGTAATGTGTTATTTAAAACGCTGAGTCTCCAGTTTATTAGGTCCAGTTACCCTTTACCTGCACGCATAGATAGGATAGGGTAGTTTTACCCTCCTGCTCTTATCGTACTGGTGAAGTTACAGTTACTGTTGCTGTATAATTTACGGTCAGTATCTGTGCAAATACAAAGTGCTTTTGTATGGCAGGTGTTTCTGATAAAATGGCCATCTGTGTCATATTCAGTACTGTGCATGAAGTTATTCATTTTCAGCCTCGGAAATCTGCAGACACACCCCCACAGTTCAGTAGAAGCTGGTTGATCATTTTCTGAAGTAATCAAACACATTCAGTGGTGTTGAGGTCTGGACTCTGGGGTGGTCAGTCCATTGTTCAGCTTCTTTGTTTGATGTGTCCGTCTCCTTTTCTCAGTGAGGTTCTTCTCGACAGCTACACATCCTTTCAGACCCACAGCGCTGAGTCGTCTTCTCACAGTGGAAGGATGGACAGAAACACCTGTGGATGTTTTCAGATCTGAAGCAGCTTGATTTTCTCCTCTCTCTCAAAGATGAAAGCTTTAAGTGCTGTTTATCTGATGGGGGCAGTTTTGGTGTCGACCAGGTCTTCCAGGTGGTTGTTAGGAGCCCCATTTCTCTGTAGCTTTCTCGTTTCTACCATTCAGTAGTGTTAGACACCTGAGAAAATGATCATTTAAAAGCTATTTATCTGTCAAGTAAGCGTTTATTTGCCCAGAAAAACACTAATATTACAATAAATGCACATAATATAAATACAATAAGTGGGAATGAAATATCATGTCACAATATTTATAGATGTTTTCATTGATACACGATACGTGGCCTGATATTTTGACACAGTCACAATGCACAAGCAGTGCCACATCTGAAAACAGCCATTAGAAATTCTGGGTACAATGACATTAATTCAGTATTTCACATATTGCTCTGCAATAAAACTGGAATAATTATGCTCTTTTTGAAACGAAACATGCAGTTGTTCAGTGTTGTAAGTGCAAATGATGTCAACAATATGTTTAGAAAGCGCATTGTTAATCATTGTTAATCATGATAACACAATTTGTCACGATAAAATTTCATCATATTGGCTACCTCTAATTTAGCTTATGTCAGAATATTTTAACCCTTTCCAAACCTCTTCTCACAGCAGCCCACTGTTATTTGTAATTATCAGCCAACACCTGGTTCGGCTAATCAGTGCTTCATTGTGTTACATCAAGTGTGCTGCTAATGGAAGCCAGTAAATCAGTGCAAGTCTTTGTTACTTTTTACTCTATTTATATTTATTTGCATTTATTGTAATGATATATGGTGGTTTTACTAACCAGAACACACTTACGGCAAAAATAAATGTGCTTAGGTGCCTAAGACTTACGAATCTTTTTCACAGTGAGCTGACTTATGAGGAGTCTGGCCGCTTCCTATTTCCCCCGTTATATCGAAAGGAGGATCAAACAGTCCTGTACGACTGACGCAGTAAACACGCAGCATTTAATCACAGTAAAACACTTTTATAGGTGTTGACCAGCTCGCTCACCTATGAGGATGAATTACAGTTCTCTTCTGTGTTTTTGGTTGTGTATATATATACACACTTCCAATGAAACGTGTTCCATCAACATTACTATAAAAAAACAAGCGTAAACCAGGCAGAAAGTGTGTTACGGCTGCTGTGAAAGGAGGTTAAGGCCTGATAATCGTCGGCCTGAGATCACCTGGCGAAGGGCTTTAGACTGCAGGGTGCTGAGAGGCGTCTGGGCCGGCAGAGCGTACTGTGTTGATTTATTGATGAAAGTGAGAGGAGATGACACACATGAGCATCCGCACGCCTGAGCTCCGTCAACACAGCCGAACGTGTGTTTGTTTCTGTGTGTGTGTGTGTGTGTGTGTGTGTGTGGATCCTCCAGCTCCATACCTCAGATCTGCTTACACGTCCTGACCTTGTGCTTTTTCCACTGCAGGATAGCATGTGGGTGAGCCTGTGTGTGTGTGAGTGCGTGTATGTGTGTGTGTGTGTGTGTGTGTGTGTGTGTGTGAGCAAGTCGGCTGTGTTTGTTTTCGTCTGTTGCTGAGAGAGAGGGGGGGGGTATTTTACTGAATTCTGTCTGAATGAGAGCTTTTAAACTCGCTGCTGCATTACAGGGGTCAGTGACCCCGTCCAGACCAGAGTGCTCGTAAAAAAGAGTGTGCAAGAGTGCGTGTGTTTGGAGGAGCGTGTGATCAGCGCTGTAATGAGAGTAATCCACTTTAGTTAATACCAGAGAGAACACTGCCCCACTCTCACACAGCGGGGCAATAGAGCTGCGACGGTGTAGTTGAGGCATTTGTGGTTGTAGAATTTGAACATTCATTCCTTCATTCATTCATTTCCTCCCAAACGAATTCTGATTCATTCACCGATTGAGGGTTTTTAGCATATTTCAGGTCACGTTCCAATGAAAGGCCCCGGTTCAGTACTTTTTTTATCATGCATCGCCAACTTCAACTCACCACTCATCCTCAGCTAGCAGGCCTCAGTGAGCTAATCAGCCACGTAAACTTTGCAGTGCAGAGCGTTTTTTGAACGTAACACACACAACATTTTAATAAGTGTGAATTACTGCTTTGACTTTGCCTTAAAACTGTGGTGTAGGCCTTTTTTTGTTGTCGTTAGCCGTGTAGCCTTTAGCTTGCCAACTAGCATGCTAGCAAAGCATAGTGATGATGGTGTATCAACAGTCATGTGTAACAAATGAAGCCCAGCAAATTGATGGCTGTTGTTTATGAAATGTTAAACACTTTAATTGTGATTTGCTGCTTATAAACCGCCCATTTTTTGTTTCATAAAGGAAATTCTGCGCGAGTTTCTCAGTTCTGCTAATTGTGCTCACTATAAGCTCATCAGACTCCACACAGTCTCTTTTTTTCAGTTCTCAGTTGTGAAGTTCCTCATTACCTTCATTAACATAGACACACAAGTTTCATGTTACAACCTCAGTTGGTCCTCAGTTTCATTTCTTGAGTCATCAGATCTCAAGACAGTCTGGAGAGCCGAGTCTCGCTAAACGAATTCAAGCCATAAGTATACTTCAAACGAAAACAGCGCATGGAAGTAAAACCTCTTCTTAGCCGTAATGGCGTGGTGGTTTGAGTGTGTACGGTGCAGTGTGCGTTACTTGCTAAACAGATTTAATCAGAGTCATGGCTATAGAGCTGGGTGGCTGGCTAAGCTAGCTTTCTACAATCATTAGCTGGAAAAACAATGCTGCCTAACCACAGATTAGCATGTTAGCTAATGTGAACTGCTTCAGATTAAGCCCTGTCCCTGCAGTTTATGCCATCATAGCACCTAAATCTTTCATATTTATATTGACCGTAGAAGCTTTAGATCCTTTAGAGAGTAAATTGGGTTGGGGGTCTTTTTCGGTGCCTTTCAGATGATGATTTTCCAAACCTTTCTCTTCTTTTCCTTTCACTGTTGTCTGTTGAGCAACATGCACTGCTTTCAGAAATCGTTTTGTGTTTTGTTACAGAAATATTATCAATATCTTATATTAAAATCACCTCCTTGTTTCTACACTCACTGTCCATTTTATCAGCTCCACTGACCGTATAGGAGTAGTTCTAATTACAGACTGTAGTCCTTCAAATGCACAAACCCACCGCGTTTGAAAAGGCGTCGTCTGAACGCCCCTTTACAAAACTCCTTACAAAACACTGTCCGTTACATCGCTGACCCGGCCTGACGTCTCACGTTGGAGCTCCAGGACTGACGTCAGAAAGCGCTACTTTAACAAGCTCTTCACCTGTTTTGTACTGTAAAGGGTCCACATGAGGAGGGGGCAATGTATTGTCTGCTGAAGTGCATTGTGGGTAATGTGTTTTTTATTATTAATGTGACCAGCATTAATTAATCACGAGCACTTGGGCTCTTTAGAGTGCAGTAATGTGGGGAAGTGAAGGAGGGGCCTGTTGAGAAACTGCTTCCTGTGGAAAGGAGGGCTTGCTATGCTGTTGTTAATTCCAGTGTTAATGATAATCTGCATAATATCTGATGTCTGACTGGTTGATCAGCATTCCAGCGTGTGCTTATTATTCAGAAATGCCAGCTGTCGTCTGTCACAGAGGACCAGGAGAGCAGAGCGATCTGTCTGTCTGTCTCTCTGTCTGTCTGTACCTGCCTATCTGTCTACAGTTCGCTGCCAAAGTTTTGGTCAAATTCCATCTTATCTGATCTTCTAAGTGTAAGTTAGTGAACACATCATCTACAGAGAACACAGTCTGCACATTTTGATGCACAGTTGATGTTTATTTGCTGAATTTACACATTAGAAACAGAGTAAAGCGTAAAAAGTTAAGGTACATTTTAAACATTTTATGCTGTCTTTATTTTCCAAAGTCATTATAGTCTGTTCACACGGCGGCCATATTTGAATGGGGAGAGACCAGAATACTCGAAAGTGAAGCTCAAATCACCGTTTAAAAAGCAGATTTGAAATCACTGGTAAAATCTAACAAAAGCCTCATAAATAGTTTGTCGTGTTTGGCTCAGTAACAAAAAAAAACAGGTAGTTCTGGCCACTGCGCTTGCACAGATCTCCACAACTAGGGGGGGGGGCCTTCCAGCTTAATCAGCAAGCTGATTGGCTCTTTTTACTGAAGGGCGGGACCTCCTCCTCAAGCAGACGCCATGTAGAGCATTATGAGCTTTTCCATTCATACCTTAAACGGTGACGTCTCCTCAGTTAGAACGTCTCTGGTTAAACGCAGTGAATAAATGGAAACGGTGCACTAAAAGTTGAGGAAAAAAGGTTGAGAATACAACTATATCTGTCTGTCTCTCTGTCTGTCTGTCTGTCTGTCTGTCTGTTCATCCTACTTACTGTCTTTCTTTCTCTCCTCCCCTTAAGGTGGAATTCTTGTCTATTATTTTCCCCACTAGGTGTAACCACACACACACGCACACACACACACCCTCATATATGTATACCCACCCTGTCGCTATTGAAACCAAAGCCAGTTTAGCAGCTCCTCTGTCTAGTCTGTGTTGATGGGCTGTGATTTTGTGGCTGTGCTGCTGTGATGTTTTAGTAGTTAAAGGTGTTTTTGGCTTTTCTTTCCTTTCTGACTGTTTCTCAGCTTCTGCACCACCTCAGGCCTCTGATTACAGGACACAAGTAGTGTGTGTGTGTGTGTGTGTGTGTGTGTGTGTGTGTGTGTTAGGTCAGTTGTGTCGGTCTGCAGGTGTTCTCAGGTACACTGTTGTACTGGTGAGAGTGCAAAATGAGTGTGAGGGTGTGTGTGTGTGTGTGTGTGTGTGTGTGTGTGTGTGTGTGTGTTTGTTTGTTTTAGTACATTTTTAGGGCAAAAATGTTCTGACGATAGAGGTCCTCATATACAGTTCTTTCAGAGACCCCCTCACCCTTTCGTTGTTTTAATTTTCTGTGTTAAGTGTGTCTCTCTTTACCTTTATTACAGCTTCCATTAAAAGATGCTGTTTATCTGATGGGTACAGTTTTGGTGGTCTGCTAGGTTTGGTGGTATATATACAGTACCACATGTCCTGACTTGTATCTCGTGCTAGTTCTGTGTTAAAGGCGAAAGCAGCACTAAATCTGGATGTGAGTGTGTGTGTGTGTGTGTGTGTGTGTGTGTGTGTGTGTGTGTGTGTGTAATGGTGCTGGTTAAAGAGCAGTAATAAAACAGAAGTGTTTAGAGCCGTGTTAGTCAGGCTGTGATGATAGAGGCTGCAGGGCGCAGCATTGATTCAGCAGTTAAAGCAGCTCCAGCACCCCTCCCTTACATAACTGCAGAGCTATAATTAGCTCCGGAGCTCTAAACACACACACACACATGCACACTGCTGCCTTTCACACAGCCAACAGGGTCATTTTCTCTGGGGGTCAGTTTCCCAGCTGGGTTGCCAGATTGCTTTAATCATTTCCAGACAAGTAGTTGTTCTTAACTTGACTCATTGTGTCCAGAACATCGAAAACGGTTCACACGTGTGTGCGTTTGTGTGTGTGTGTGCATTTGTGTGTGTGTGTGTGTGTGTGTGTGTATAACACATCCTGACCAAGTGTCTTAATTAGGTGAAGAGCTTTAATCCACCTAGGAATAGCATTGTCTAACGTGGCGCTCCAAAACCCCCCATAGGTGTTTAACTGCCTTGAGATCTGGTGACTTCAAAGGCTGTAACATATGATTTACACTGCAGCCCTACCTTAATTTCCCACTCTGTGTTGTTGTAGATGTACTGGACTGCATTGATGTTCTCAGTCACCTGAGAAACAGTTGCCCTTCTTTACATTGCACTGATGCACGAGCACTCGCTCATGGGATTTTCACTGATTTTAGTGATTTACTGGCCCATTTTTCCACCACCCAGCCAAAAGGAGCCCAGTTTGGTGAGAAAGTCCCAATCTGGCAACCCAGCTCCCCTGTTACACTCTGTCTGCAGTGAGGTTATAAATAGCAGCTGTGTTTTCTTCCTCTTCCACAAAGTGTGAATCAATACAGAGTGTGTTTCTCGTGAAACAGTCCCATAAAGCGCTTTAGCTGTGTGTGTTTGTGCACATCAGCTCTGAGAGTACGGTGAACGTACGGGTGACAAAGTTACAGGTGAAGCACGTACAGGTGTGCTGGTGAAGCAGTACGAGTGAAAAAGCACAGATGAAGCAGTAACAGGTAAAGGAGGTATGGGTAAAGGGGAAGGTGTAGTAGTGAGTGAAGAAGTGCAAATAAGTGAGTGTAGGCAAATAAGTCTGAGTGAAGGAGTGCGGGTGAGGGGAAGTGGAAAAGTGTCCTGTGGTCTGACGAATCAACATTTGAATTTTTTTGGAAATCATGGACGCTGTGTCCTCTGGGCTGAAGACCACTCAGCTTGTTATCAGTGCACAGTTCTAAAGCCAGTATTCATGATGGTATAGGGGGGCATTAGTGCACATGGCATGGGTGAACTACACATCTGTGAATGCTGAATGATATGTACATGTTTTGGCAACATACACTGCCATCCAGACGACGTCTTTATCAGGGAAGGCCTTGATTATTTCAGCACTACAATGCCAAACCACATTCTGCATGTATTACAGCAGCATTGCTCCGTATTAAAAGAGTCTGTGTGCTACAATCTGTGTAAAGTCTGTGTATTTGCTGTACATTCTGCACTGTTGTATTTTGGGGCCTGAAGAACCTCATTCTGTTCCAATGTATATTATTATTTTTATTAATAACATTTATCTATATATTTATTTATTCATTTTTCCATTTCATTTATTAATTATTCATTTTTTGTTTGTTTCTGCAGGACTGCTTTGAAGATGCCTACGATCGAATCCCAGTGTAAGTGACCTTTCCTTTCATATTGCAGGTGAAGGTAGGTGTGTGTGTGTGTGTGTTTGTGTGAGTGAGTGTGAAGGGTGATTAGATATAAAAGTGCAGAGAGAGAGAGATAAAAGTGAGAACATTGATAAGACTGATAAGGGGCCTATAGCATCTGTCTCTATGGTCCCGTGGTTGCTGTGATGTTTATTTGTTGCAGATAAAGGAAGTGTGTGTGTGTGTGTGTGTGTGTGTGTGTGACTGTTTAACACCGCTTTTCTCATCAAGGGTGTGTTTCAAAAGGCAGGACTTCTCAGTTAGTCAGATTATCAGTCTTAGAAGCTGGTTGGTCATTTTCTGAAGTAATCAAACACATTCAGTGGTGTTGAGGTCTGGACTCTGGAGTGGTCAGTCCACTGTTCAGCTTCTTTGTTTGATGTGTCCGTCTCCTTTTCTCAGTGAGGTTCTTCTTGATCAGCTACACATCCTTTCAGACCCACAGCGCTGAGTCATCTTCTCACAGTGGAAGGATGGACAGAAACACCTGTGGATGTTTTCAGATCTGAAGCAGCTTGATTTTCTCCTCTCTCTCAAAGATGAAAGCTTTAAGTGCTGATTATCTGATGGGGGCAGTTTTGGGTGTCGACCAGGTCTTCCAGGTGGTTGTTAGGCGGAACATTTTAGTCTTTTAACAGTTTTTTGACCTCCAGTTTTGGAAACTCCTGTTTTTTCACTTAGACTTTCTAATTTCTTATGCAAGTCGATTATTTTATATCTAAATATCTCCTGAAAATGAATAGCTTGTACTTAATGACTGTTTTGACTGGACATAAATGACGATTTCTGTTCTATTTCTACTGTATTTCTATTGCTGAAAGCTTGAACATCAGCTGATACTAAATCTGAGCATTGGATCAGTGGCATCTCTATTTCAGTAAACTGGATAACTTTGGGCTTAGATTATCTGCCTCACTGTAAAGCCCTGCTTTACGCAACACCCCTGTGACCTGATCTGGATCAGGTGTGTTAGATTAGGGCTGTAACTGGACTCCGCAGGGCAGGACGTCTCCAGTAACACTGCTGGACGTGCCTGGTCTCGTCTAATTCTGCCTGATTCAGTTATCCAAATTCAATCAGAAGCGAAAGGTACCTGAAGAAAAAGTGAAGCCAAGCTGACTGGTTTCCAAGGCAACTGCTAACAAAAAGCTACCCAAATCCAGAGAGACTGTCTGACTGGATAAAGATTAAATGGTGCACACTTGAAAGCAGACTGTATTACTGACATTTAGGCCCACATTTCTTTCCTTTCTTCTCTTTTTTAATCATGTGTATTGTTACCCCCCCTCAAATAACCAGAGATGTGTGTTGTTGAGTTGTTTGCTTAAGGCTTAAGGACAATTCCACCAATTTTTAAGAAAATTTGCATAATTAAGTGGTTAAGATGTAAACAGAGCCATTTAGAGTGGTTGAAACCACTGAGTCAGAATTATTCACAGTGGTGGTGATAGGAACCAGACATCCACCTCTAAAAGCGCTGAAGGTGTAAGTGTGTGTGATTGTGTTTGTATGTTGTAAGTGTGTTTTAAGTGTGTTTGTGTGTTTGTGTGTGTGTGTGTGTGTGTGTGTGTGTGCAGGGCCTCTAAGATGGATCTCCAGACGTCCATTGAGGAGTGCAGCATGGCTCTGAACCTCGTACTCAACAATAAGTTCTCGGAAGCTCTGGACCTGCTCAGACCATGGTACACAAGTGTGTGTGTGTGTGTGTGTGTGTGTGTGTGTGTGTGTGTGTGATTGTATGCTTATATACATTTTCAGTACAAAAAGTATTGGGTTGCAATGTAAATGAGAGATACAGTCCTCAAATGATGTATATGGGGCATATTACATAAATACACCAGTGAGCCTGACAATAAAACCACCTCCTTGTTTCTACACTGTCCATTTTATGCACTGACCATATAGTTTCACTCTATAGTTCTACATTTACAGACTGTAGTCCATCTGTTTCTCTGCACCCTGTTCTTCAATGGTCAGGACCCCCACAGAGCGTGTATTATTTGGGTGGTGCATCACTGCCGTAACACTGACGTGGTGGTGGTGTGTTAGTGTGTGTTGTGCTGGTCTGAGTGGATCAGACACAGCAGTGCTGCTGGAGTTTTTAAACACTGTGTCCGCTCACTGTCCACTCTAGACACTCCTACCTTGGTAGATGTAAAGTCAGAGATGATAGCTCATCTGTGTGTATTGTGTATATGTGTATATGTGTGTGCATTTCCAAAAAAGTTGGGACGCTGTGCAGATGTAAATAAAAATAGAATGCAATAAGTGCAAATCATGTAAACCATATTTTTTAAAGGAAAATGCTTCAAGGACAACATATAAAATGCTGAAACTGAGAAATTTGATTGTTTTTTGAAAAATATATGCTCATTTTGAATTTGATGCCAACAACATGTTCCAAAAAAGGTGGGACGGGGGCATGTTTACCACTGAGTTTCATCAGTGTTTGGGAACTGAGGAGATACTGCTGTAGTTTTGAAAGTGAAATGTTTCCCATTCTTCTTAGATATAGGATTTCAGCTGCTCAACTGGGGCTCATTAGTTGTATTTTTCATTTCAAAATTTGATTCGTCGGACCACAGGACACTTCTCCACTTCCCCTGAGTCCATTTTAAATGAGCTCAGGCCCAGAGAAGGTGGCAGTGTTTCTGGATCCTGTTTATATTTGGTTTCTTCTTTGGGTTTTAGAGTTTTAACTTGCATTTGTGGATGCAGCAACAAACTGTTTTCACAGACAGTGTTTTTCAGAAGTGTTTCTGAGCCCATGCAGTGATTTCCACTACAGAATCATGTCTGTTTTTAATGCAGTGCTGCCTGAGGGCCCAAAGATCACGGCCAGCAAATACTGGTTTTAGGCCTTGTCCCTTACACACAGAGATTTCTCCAGATTCTCTGAATCTTTTAATGTTATTATGTACTGTAGTTGATGAAAAGCAAAAGTTCTTTGCTGTTTTATGTTGAGAAACGTTATTCTTGAATTGTTGCACTATTTGATCGTGCAGTATTTCACAGAGTGGTGAACCCTCCTCATCTTTACTTCTGAAAGACTCCGCCTCTCTGAGATGTTCTTTTATACCCAATCATGTTACTGACCTGTTGTCAATCAACCACCAGGTGTTGTTTTTTTTTAGCATCACACAACCTTATTAGCCCTTTGTTTCCCCCGTCCCAACTTTTTTGGAACATGTTGTTGGCATCAAATTCAAAATATGCATATACTTTTCATTAAACAATAAAATTTCTCAGTTTTAACATTTAACATGTTGTCTTTGTACTATTTTGATTACTATTATATTACTATTATGAAATATAGGATTTACATATCATTGCATTTTTTTTTTATTTACATTTTGTACAGCATCCCAGCTTTTTTGGAAATGAGGTTGTGTATGTGTGTGTGCGTTTGTGTGTGTCTGTGTGCGTGTGTGTGTGCGTGTGTGTGTGTGTGTGTGTGTGTGTGTGTGTCTGTGTGTGGGAGACACATCTATGACTCTGATTCATGACGCTGTGTGAAATGTTGCAGGTCTAAGGGCAGCATGTATCACGCTTTGGGATACAGCAGCATTCTGGTGATGCAGGCAGCCATGACCTTCGAGCACAAAGACATCCAGGCTGCCATGGCAACCATCAAAGAGGCCCTGCACACCTGCCAGAGGTATTATGGGATAGCTGTGTCACGGACGTCATGGCGACGGCTCTGACAGACAGACCGGAGGGCCTTTATTTACTGTGTGGTGCAGCTGCTCTGACGCCACAGTGACTTGCACAGAGAGTGTGTCTGTGCGTACGTGTGTGTGTGAGTGTGTATATGAGTGTCTGTGTGAGTGTGTGAGAGTGTGTGTGTGTGTGTGTGTGTGTACGTGTGTGTGAGTGTGTATGTGTGTGTGAGTGTGTATGTGTGTGTGTGTGTGTGTGTGTGTGTGCGTGTGTGTGTGTGTGTGTGTGTGTGTGTTCATAAACAGACCTCTTAATCTGGGCTGTTCTCTAAAATACATTTAAAGCCTTATTCTGCCCTTTATGAGTTCAGGGCGTTTAAGAGATTAAAGACCTAAAAATATGAACTTGTATTTAGTCTCATTCAGAACTTTGTAATACCAGTACTGATACCCGGACTCTCATACTGCACGACTACTTTTTCCAGCATCTTCATTAAAATACAGAAGGTTCTCTGTGGTATTAAAGTCATCTAGTCAGGGCTTTAGGCGGGTGGAGTTGTGATACCTGCCCTGTTTGTAGTTGTTATGATTAATCAATTAAAATCATTTACTTCATTTAACGAAACGGTTTTAAATGCAAATTCTTGGTGATTTAATAGTGATTATTTGATAATTTGCATGTTTGTAATGTATATTTTATTTGAGCAGCCATATTCATATGTTTATATGTTTACATAATGTTGAGTAATTAGTTCTTAAAGCCTTCTTTGTTTATCTTTTTCCCTGTTTTGGATTTTGCAGGTTCAGGAAGAGGAACTCGATGGTGGAATCTCTGTCCAGCCTGGTCTCTAAACAGTCCTGTGACAGCCTGAAAGCAGGTGAGTGTGTGTGTGTGTTGTGTTATTGCCCTTAAGGTGGTCGTCTCTCCTGATTCTCACTATATTTTCATGTATTTTAAACAAACTGTTTTTCTGAAGTTACAGTTACTATTACAGCAAAGTACTTACAGTAATAATTAATTTATTATTTATTTATGGTGTGTTATACTCTGTGGTGTGTGTGTGTGTGTGTGTGTGTGTGTGTGTGTGTGTGTGTGTGTGTTACAGAGGAGATGCATGCGGAGATCTGCTATGCTGAGTGCCTCCTACAGAAAGCCACTCTAACATTCGTACAGGTGTGTATCTCTCTCTCTATATATATCTCTCTCTCTGTCTCCCTGTCTGTCTCTCTCTCTCTCTATCTGTCTCTCTCTCTCTGTTTCTCTCTTTCTCCCCTCTTTATTTCTCTCTTTTGCTTTTTCATCTTTCTCTTTCTCTCTATTAATCTCACTCCTCTTTATCTCTCTCTTTCTTTCTTGCTTCTCTCACTCTCCTCATCACTCTCTCTCTGTCTCTCTCTTTCTCTCTTTCTTCCTCTCTTTCTCTCTCTATCTCGCCCTATCTTCTCTCTCTCTCTCTCTGTCTCTTTCTCTCTTTCTTCCTCTCTCTCTCTCTCTATCTCGCCCTCTCTTCTCTCTCTCTCCTCTTCATCTCTCTTCCATTCTTTCTTTCTTTCTTTCTTTCTTTCTTTCTTTCTTTCTTTCTCACTCTGTTATGACTCTCTCTCTCTCTCTCAGTATTATTATATCTTTCTCGTTACAGGATGAAAACATGATCAGCTTCATTAAAGGTGGCATTAAAATACGCACAAGTTACCAGATTTACAAGTGAGTCTATCTTCATCAAATACAGTAATTACAGTAAAATTACTGAATACATCTTTATATAATGAGCCTAGTGTGTCTTCATCACACACCACTAATTATATATTATAAATTATATAAAAATACATACTTTTTGTTGCCCATTTTTAATTTGTTTTTATAGATAAAAGAAAACATCTTTTAATTAATTTATACAAACTAAACCTCATTTTCTTATTTATCTATGTAATATTTGTTTGTGTTTTATTCATATATTGGGTTCCCTAAAGAATCTCTCTGTGAATTTTTCCTTTTTTCCCCACAAAAACGATAAAAATAAACACGTTGACTTCTCATTTACTAAGCAGGTCTTTTAAAGATCTATTGATGAGAAGGTTAATTAAGGACCCCGAAGTGGTTTTTCTGTGACGTTCCTCTAAAGATCTCTTTCTGCCATTTTTAGAACAGTGTAGAACTGAACGTCCAAGCCAGTAACCACAGGAACCTTTATGTTTAACCGCGTACGCTTCTCTGTGTGTCTGTATGCAGGGAGTGCCAGCATGTGTTAAATATGTCTCAGGGAGTGGGCGGAGAAACTGACACCTTCAGACAGTTTGAGGGCGGAGTCAAGCTGGGCATTGGCTCCTTCAACCTGGTGAGTCTAAGAGTCTAACATTTAGAGTGTTATTCACTGTAGAACAGACCACAATACCTACATTTAGAGTCGGTTATTCATTCAGCCTAATGAGAAACTGCAGAACAGACTCAGTTTATATCACAATACCTATATTTAGAGTCAGTTATTCATTCAACCTAATGAGAAACTGTAGAACAGACTCAGTTTATATCACAATACCTACATTTAGAGTCAGTTATTCATTCAGCCTAATGAGAAACTGTAGAACAGACTCAGTTTATATCACAATACCTACATTTAGAGTCGGTTATTCATTCAGCCTAATGAGAAACTGTAGAACAGACTCAGTTTATATCACAATACCTACATTTAGAGTCAGTTATTCGTTCAACCATTTTGTCATTAGGTTGAATATATTTTTTTAACCAGTCTGTGAAGCTTGCCCAACCTCACAACAGCAGCTACGAACAAGCGAGTTTGTGGGCGGAGCCTGGATAGGTCAGTCACAGTTTTGTAGAAATCAAGATGGTGAAAAGTCTGTTACCAGCAGGTGTTTTGAAAGCATAATATTTTAGAAAATTCCCAAAAACTCAAGATAAAAATGTAGTACAAGTTGTGTTTTATTTTGTCATCTTCTCAGTGAAGATTAAGTTTCCTGTAAATATTTAGGAAGTTGCATTATCAGTTGTGTGTGACCGTTGTGATCAGTGTCGGTCAGTTTGGAATATGCTGTGTGACTCTGCTGTGCTGGAATGTTTTTGTCTCAGATGCTCTCTCTGCTGCCTGCCAGGATTCTCCGACTGCTGGAATTCATCGGCTTCTCAGGGAACAGAGTGAGCATACACAAAACACACAAAACACAAACAAACATGAATCACACACAATTCACAAAACATAGTAACTGTGTCCCAACATGGGTACTGGAGGCCCATTACCCTCAGCAGTGTAGTCACTGCTTCCAACAAGGGCTGCGATGCAGTATTGGGAATCTGCTGAAAATACATATTCAGAATCCAGAAATTTAGAATTTGTATTTAGTCCACGTTCGATTTTGAAACAACAGCATGTAGAGTGTTACTGAGCTCTGCTAAAGCCTGAGTAGACGGATAAATCAATGTGATCAGTTATTAATCTGTGTTACTGAGCTCTGCTAAAGCCTGAGTAGACTGATAATTCAATCTGATGATCAGTTATTAATCTGTGTTACTGAGCTCTGCTAAAGCCTGAGTAGACTGATCAATCAATGTGATGATCAATTATTAATCTCAGTGTTACTGAGCTCTGCTAAAGCCTGAGTAGACTGATAAATCAGTGTGAGGGTTCTCCAGGTCCATGGTTGGGAAATACTAGCGAAGTGCACTAGAGCTCCAGTTCAGCTGCAGTTGGTTTTAAATCATCAGTGTTACCTGTCAGTGTTGTCAGTTTAGCTGACGCTGCGTGTTCTTCTCTGCTGTAGGAGTTTGGTCTGGCCCAGCTGAGAGAGGGAGCAGCGAGTCACAGTCTGAGAGCCATTCTCTCTGCGTTAACCCTGCTCTTCTACCACACATACGTCTGCCTCATCCTGGGTAAATCCTCATTTACCGTACGCTTTCACACAGTGTAAACACATATTCAGCAGTGAGTAACGATAGAGTCCGATAGCGTAGACTAAAATGAGAACTCAGTTTCATTGTTTTCTTTAATATCACTCATATTAAAGGTGTTTGGCGTAGTGTATATAGTTAGTTAAAGTTTCTACAGGCACCAATCACACCGCAGCCCATACAGCCCATATGGAAGAGGAGCTGGCCTGTTTTGAATTCAGCATTTTTTGTGATGTCATAAAAATCTACCTATATAAAGAAGTCAGTCACACTTTATTTGATATATATATATTAGATGGTCCCCTATAGATGCTCGACAGATACTTAAACCATTAACAAATCTTCTGGTGATGTTCACTTGACTATCAACAACATTGTGGTCAGGGTTAGGGTTAGGAGTAGGTGTAGGTTTTGCCTTGAGATTAGGGTTAGGTTTAGGGTTAGGGATAGATTTAATAAACTCTGACACTGAACTTGAACTTCAGTTGCGTTTAATGGATATTTAGTTGAATGTTACTTGAAGATATACTGAGCATTTGCCAAGTATCGACAGTGGACCATCCAAATACAGTGTTTCCAATTGAAAATTCTGGAAGTTTTTCTGAAAATCTGGAATTTTTTCATTGAAACCTGCAAATAAACCGTGGAAAGCTCTAAAATTGTGTAAAACTGAATACAAAGAAAAGCTATCGGAAGTATAATTAAGATGTGATATTCAGGATCTCTGGTCAGTATTTAAATTTAAACTAATTAGGGGTTTGGCCCTGTTAACACCTGTGAACAAAAAGGTCAGATTTGTTTAGTCCTATTCTCTTCCATTGAAGCTCATGTTCAAACTCTCATGGATTTGATCTGCTCATCAGAGACTTTTACAAAACCTCTGGAGTTCATTTAGCCCCGTCTATTTCACACTGAAATTACAGGGAGCGTTTAAACTGAACTTATGAATGAGGCGCGATGCAGGACAGCCAATCAGAAACTTGTTTATGGGTGATAAAGAGAGAAACTCTGCTCTGCTGTGTTGTGTTCACGCTTGAACATGTGCACATGTGTATAATAGTGGATATGCTGTAATAGTGGGTGTTTTTCAGGTACGGGGGAAGGAAACCTAGTCGAAGCAGAAGCTCTGTTAGAGCCTTACCTGGACAGATTTCCCAAGGTGAGCACACACACACGCGCGATTCATCAACAGAACATGATCAACCTTTCGTATCAGACTGCATACATAAAAACACATTTATTGTCCAGTTGAGTGGTTTTAAAAAATGCACTCATGTGCCTTAAACTTTAACACAGCATTTGTATATCATCTTCAAACTGTCTGTCACCTCCAAAACAGTAACTTTACAGGAGACGGAAAAAACCTCCTTGACTCTGAATGAACGTTATTGTACAAAGATTATATTCCAAGTCATTTTGAGCCTTTTCCATTGGTCTGTTCATGTAATTGTGATCAGTTATTTTATTTTCTGTTAATCAAACAGCCCTTTATCACAATGTTACAGAACTGAAGCAAACCAAAAACAACCCCCTTTCCCTCCCCATCCCACCCGTCCATCCATCCATCCATCCATCCATCTTTCTTTACAGTATATTTGCTAACAAGAAATTAAATAATATTTTAATGAAAAGAATGAGATAAAATAAGCAAATAAAAATAAAAGAAAGATGCTGGCCTATACAGTGTACATCATATGATTTGCTCACATCTTTTCATCACATCAAAACAGTCCCGTCTCCATGTCTCAAGAGTCGATGCTTTAGCTTTATCGATTCTAGCTGTGGTCAGTTTTAACATCACTGTGTCATGTAGTTAAAATATCCAGTGTCGGATACGAAGATTATGGGAGGATCCACCTCTGTGCAGTGATGATGGTCAGTTCATCATGAAATTTTGGCACAGTGTAAAGGGCAGCTGGCATTTTTAGTTCTGTGAAAATATGAAAAATGCCAAAATAGAAATGCAAGGTTTTGTTCTGATAACAGAAATATGTGAGTAATAAAAATGTTTTAAGCCAAATTCAAAATCTAAGCTTTAAAAGGAAAAAGAACCAAAAATAAATGGTTTTACTCTTTCAGTTTGAAAAAATGAGTCTTGGAGCTTTTGTAAAAACACAGGTCAGTGTCAGGACCATTTTGTTGGTGTTAGAACTGTTTTTCTCTGGCTTTACTACAAAGATAGACAGGTCATCACATGTCAGCCATTCTCCCTGGTAAAGAGCTGCTGTTTTGTCGTCCGCAGGGCTCCATCATCCTCTTCTATTCAGCCAGGATAGCTGTGCTGCGCGGCCACTTTGAGAAGGTAAAGCGGGAGCAGCAGCTGAGAGTGTTTCACTGTGTCTGAACTCAAAATGGATCTTTTCTGACCTTCGTTTTTCCCTGAAATGAGGCTTTTTGTAGTCAAAGCAGCCTGGATTCCATCATCTGCTGTGAAACATCTTACTGTTAATGTCAACAAAATTCTTTCACTCTCTTTATCTTCACGATCTGTTTTTCCACTCCTCCCTCAGGCTCAGGTGAAGTTTGTGGAATGTATTAACGCTCAGCAGCAGTGGAAGCAGATCCATCATCTGTGTTACTGGGAGCTGATGTGGTGTCACTCGTTCCAGCAGCAGTGGAGGGAAGCTTACCGCTACGCTGACCTGCTCTGCAAGGAGAGCCGCTGGTCTAAGGTAACACACACACACACACATACACACACACACACATGCTGTTGTCTATCTGCTGTAGCACTGTTGTGCTGCCAGGCCTGAACGCACACTATGTTGCAATGCATGCTGGGGCCTGTAGTGCATCTCAGGGTGAAACGGACTAATAAGAACATACAGTTAAATAATTCTGCGGGCCGAATAGAACTGTGTCACAGCCTGACTCGGCCCGAGGGCCTTGTGTTTGACACGTGGGGTTTAGGATGACTTTCTGATGGGCCCAAACAGACGTCCTCATGGGTCAGCTTTGGCCTGCAGGCCACACTTTGGGCAGCCCTGAGCTAGACAACTGGTTAACATTTAAATGGTTAAGATGTAAACAAAGTCATCCAGAATGGTTTGATGTCAAATACTTAATTGTAGAGAAAGTTATAGATTCAGATTTCTTTACTATCCACATGTATTTACTATCCAAAACAACCAATGAACACTCATTGGTTTTTATATGTAATGTTGAAAATAGTAACAGTGGAAATCTACAATAAATAAAAAAGCAAATGCAGAAAAATATGAGCGATAAGGAGGGTCAAATAAAGGCAGGACTCTCCCTGCACTTCCTGAAATGCCCCAGATACTGAAGAATCGAGCATCGTTAGAAGCTGCAGATGAGATGTGGATGATGTTATAGACGTTGTGTCAAATTGAAAAGAAATCAGAGAGAACATTAGGAAGAAGGAAGAGGACCAACTTGCCTCACACATTCAGTGTAAGCTAATTCACTCTGTGCTGCAGGCGATCTACGTCTATCAGAAAGCTGCCATCCTCAGCATGATGAGCGAGGAGGAGATGAAGAAGACCGGCGAGAACGTGGTGGACTTATTCAGGTGAGCCTCAGTGTGTGTGTGTGTGTGTTCACCCATGGCTGTATGTATGGATGTATATTACCCGCACGTAAAGTCACGTGCAAAAGTTTGGCCGCCCTGGTCAAATTACATGTTGTGTTGATTTTCTAAGTGCAAATAAGTGAAAACATCCTCGACAAGAAACACATTTCTACACATTTTAATGCATAATTACTGTTATTTATACTGTTATATATGCTGCATTTAACATGTTGGGGTGAAAAATAATAAACATAACGTGGTCTATGCAGAAGTTGTGCTACATATTTTTTTTCAGCAAATAAATAGAAATTGTGCACTAAATGTTTGCGAAATGTCATATTAAAGTTCCTTGTAGAGCAGGGAGTTCGCAGTCCCAGTCCAGGTGACCCAATGACATGTTAAGTCACCAGGGCTGCATCCAAACCCACATAGTACTGTACTATACATGATATATTTATGAATGGGCTTCTAATCACGGCGTACTGATTTTTACATACTCTTTAAAGATGGTAGTATGCAGTTCTTCAGACTGGGACTAGGAACCCCTGCTGTAGAGGATGTGTGAATAAAATGTGATTAAGTATTTGCAATCAGGTGATTATTAATAAATGTGACCGTTCTGGTGCTGCCGGCTCAAAAAACGTGCATACAAAATAATCATTTGAAATTTAAAGGTTCAAAAGCAGCATTTAACTAATAATGTGTGTGTGTGTGTGTGTGTGTGTGTGTGTGTGTGTGTGTGTGTGTGTGTGTAGGCAGGTCGAGGGTCTGAAGCAGCGTTTGGCTGGTAAGTCCATCCCTACAGAGAAGTTTGCAGTCAGGAAGTCTCGCCGTTACTCGGCAGCGAAACCTGTTAAGCTCATCATTCCTGCGCTGGTGAGTTGCCTCACTCACACATACTCTCACAAAGCTTCTCCTCAAACACAGAAAACTCACAGCGACGCCTGTAGAACCAACAGGAAGTGCCCTATTTTAACACTGAGTCGTCTGTTGTAACAGGAAATGATGTATGTGTGGAACGGGTTCACTATCGTGGGAAAGCGGGCGGATGCCACCGAGAGTTTACTCATCACCATCGAGAAAGCAGAGGAGGAGCTCCGCGCTGACCCCAGTGAGTTCAGACTGCCAGAGGTCGCCCTGCTTTTATTTAACTTCCACGCAAAACAGCCATTCAGTGTGAGATATTTAATATTCAGGAGTCGCCTGTGAGGAAATTTTTCTAAGTCGCTCTGGATAAGAGCGTCTGCTAAATGCTGTAAATGTAAATGAAATTAGATGTAAGATATTCCAAACTCAGCGCTGTGGGTCTGAAAGGATGTGTAGCTGTCAAGAAGCCTCACTGAGTCCGTTCACATGCACCTAATAATCCGATAACTGCAGAAAATCAGATTTTGTCAGTAATCTGTTCAACGCATTTACATGCACTTGAGTAATCAGATAATGGGGAAATTCTGGGTCTACATGAGTCAGATAGTAATCTGATTTCTGCTTTGCAATCGGCCAATAAACTCACAGAAGAAGACGAGACGGAAACGTAATGTAAAACTCAAACTTTATACTGCAGCTTTTTTTTTAAAACATCGCGCCAGTTTACCTGAAAATATGAACATACAACATCTACAACAAGTACCACCGTCTGTTTTTGCACATGCTCAGACTGAGAAATCCGAAAGAAATCAGAGTAAGAGTTTACATGCACTGAGAAATCTGATTACTGAGCCAAAATCCAGCCTCTTTATGAGATTTCTTAATCAGATTTCTAGACTTTACTCCAATCTAAGAAATCAGAGCGTGCTGATTACATGACCATTTGAATAATCAGATACCTGCAGAAATCCGATTATGATCGAATTATTGACTGAGAAACTCACTCACTGAGAAAAGGAGACGGACACATCAAACAAAGAAGCTTAACAATGGACTGACCACCCCAGAGTCCAGACCTCAACACCACTGAATGTTTGATTACTTCAGAAAATGATCAACCAGCTTCTAAGACTGAACTTTGGAGGTGTGTCTGCAGAATCTTTGAGGAACTGAAAGTGAGTCTCCTGAAAATAATGGAGGCTGGAATGAAGGTGAAGAGAGACTCTTTGCCTAAAATAAATAACTTGTTCTTAATGGCTGATTTGACTGGAAATTAAATAAATAAAGGGGGGCTCTGACTTTTGCACAGCACTGTTTGTGCAAAATACTGCAAGTATACTAAATACATAAGAAATATCTAGACTCTAAACTGAAAATGACTGTGTGTGTGTGTGTGTGTGTGTGTGTGTGTGTGTGTGTGTGTGTGTGTGGGGTCAGACCCATCGGAGTTCCACCCAGATGACCAGTGTCTGGTGCAGATGCTGAAGGGTTTGTGTCTGAAGCACCTGGGCAGGTTACTGCAGGCCGAGCTGTGCTTCACACAGGTCCTCTCGAGGTGAGAAATACATGATAGCTGTAATTAAAGAGCTCCACATCATGAAAACGACAGTTTTTTATTCGTTTTTTTAATAAGAGCTGTAATATGCGAGCAGTGTTAAAGTTTTAAATCGTACCGTTCACTCCACAGTGCAGAAATGGAAACTGAGCTGAAAAACAGCTCATTTTGAATTCACTACCGTTGTGATGTCATAGTTTAGCCCCGCCCACTCATGCTGTTAGAAAGGTGTTCAGGCATGCTTTCTGAATGAGGCACAAGATAGAGCAGCCAATGAGAACAGAGGTCATTTACATATAACAGTCTTTAATTAAACTTTTAATCTCTTGAAATGAAACAATTTTGATTTATAAAAATTATAACTTACTGTAAAGTTTTTGGTACAGAAAACAAAACAAACATGCTAAGTGACCCTCAAGTGGGGACATAAAATACAAGAAAGATATATGGGAAAATGTGTATGTATTTGTGTGTGTGTGTGTGTGTGTGTGTGTGTGTGTGTTTGCAGTGAGAAGCGTATCCGTTATGATCACTACTTGATCCCTTTCACCCTCTATGAGCTGGGCTTACTGTACAAACAGCAGGGAGACGTCGCCAAGGCAACGCGGTACATAGAGGACGCCAAGTGAGTCAACACACACACACACACGCGCACACACACACACACAGTGCATGAAGCCTTAAAACAATGCAGAGACACAAACACACACAATATACGTTTGATAATCCAATTGATAAAAATAACAAACCTACAATTCTAGCGCTCCGTGTGCAGAAATACAGCCGACTCAGTGAATTATTTATTATGTTTTATAGGTTGAACTGCAATGATTACTTTTAGTTTGTTTGTTTGTTTGTTTGTTGCAGGTTGAGCTAAAAAAATAACTGAATAGAGTCTCAGTTTATCTGTTTGTTTGTTTGTTTATTTGTTTGTTTGTTGCAGGTTGAACTATAAGGACCACTCTACGGAGTCTCAGTTTGTTTGTTTGTTTGTTTATTTGTTTGTTTGTTTGTTTGTTGCAGGTTGAACTATAAGGACTACTCCATGGAGTCTCGACTTCATTTCCGGATCCACGCGGCTCTAAACAGCCTGAAAGGTTCCCCGGTAAATTCGCCATAGCAACGGCCCAGACGCACAACATGAGGAGCGGACTACCGTCGGATGGATCACTAACATGACCAACTCGAACATTTAGCTCACACAGCAGCACGAGTCGCCGTGGAAACCTGACAAACAACCTTTACAGTACTGTAGCAGCAGATAATCGCAGGAACAGAAGCAGAGGTAACCGTACGACACTTAGAGCAACATTACAAACCAAAGCCAGCCTCCTCTCTGTCCATCCGCACTCAGAGGAGTCAGGTTCAGAGGTAGAGGTCCGTGGACGCTCCTCCATTCTCTCACACACTCGTACCTCAGCTCGGACAGGAATCAGAGGCTGCTTTAGTTGACGTGTGTCCTGTTTGTTCTGTAAACGCTGATTTGGTTCTGGTAGTGCAGTTTAGCTGCTGTGAGAATTCTCCACTTACAACACCAACACGGCTGCTTCTCATGAATGTCTTACTCTTTTACTTTAGACCAAATATCCGTGTTTGTGTGTGTGAGTGTGTGTCATGCGTGATGTATGTGCCTCTGTGAGTTTATACGTGTGTGTTTGTTACCATGTGTGTCTTTATGTACTCTTCGGTCTCTTTTTGCATGCCTTTTAGAGCATCATTATTATTATTATTGTTATTATTATTGTTGTTGTTATTGTTTTTCTGCAGCTTTTATACTTCATATAGTCGCTTATATTGGGAGAACAGTGCAATAGCTGAAAGTCAAGAGATTAGTACATCTACCGTCTGTCTGCTTTTCATTAAAGTCGTTGCTGTAGTGAGAGTAAATTTGCTTCTGTTGATGCAGCTTTAAGCAAAAATCGAGAACAAGATAAATATCTGAAAGCAATAATGATTAGGGCCGGGTATCGCTCAATAACTTTTCAATACTAATATCTTTAATTCAGTACCGATTCCTGAGCTGTACTGTTTCTGATGCCCTTTTTTAAAAATATACCTCAGAAATTGCGCATCGTTCTGGAGTCCATGTCCGTATTAGGAACTCAAGCAGGTTTTCTTTATGAGGAAAAACGTTTCGGCCGGTGTTCATTTTCCCTTTACTGTCACTCGACCCTCTGAATTATGAGGTCGTTTGGCTTTAAAAAATGGTAATTCATGGGATCCAGTGACTTGCAGGTGAAAAAAGTACGTACGGCAGAATAAATCAGCCTCTTTGCTCAGCGCAGGGCGCAACAGCTGAAAACTCCATTTATTTTTCCCATAAAGAAAAACAGCACAGCTCCGGTGTTCCTTATATGGGCGTAACACCAACTACAGCATGACAACAGGACAACAGAGGACTATTACAAACTGAAAGTGGGTGTGGCTTAACCTAGAAATGAGTGTGCAGTGCTGGAAGTGGGAATATTACTGAATACAAATCAAGAAGCACTGATGTCAATAACAGACATACACTGTTATAACACTATTATAACAATCATTGTCACTATTCTGTATTAGTGAAGTAATTCATTTGGTACTGTAACATATAAAAGTATTGAATTTTGATACCCAGCCCTAATAATGATTAGACAGTAATATCTATAAATGAGTTTAGTGTAAAGATACATTTTTAATTTTAATTAATTAGAATTAATAAATTAAACTTAGCCTACATTAGCCTACATATTATCAACTGTATTATTAATGTTTTTATTGATTTATTTACTATGCAGTGAGATAACGTGTGTGTGATATTGATACACAATTGATGAAATAAAGGAATATCAGAATATTATACACTAATTGGGAATCTCAAAACATCTGCATGAACAAAGTCACACAGATGAATCTCACTTTGATGTTATTGAATTTTTACTTAAAAAATAAAATCAATCATCACAGCACAGGTGGAACAGCACAGCACAGTCCAAAACAGGAAATACTCTTTAACGCGTCCATATCTGAAATCTCAAATGTTCTTTAGTGCAGGTGTTCTCCAATCAGACTCACCGACTCGAAAATGAGTTTTTATCACTTAAATATAATATATTAAATTATGCCTGTAATAAAATGAGAGTTTCAACAAAACACTAGAAAATCCAAATAAAAGTATGAAAATATTGTGAAATCAAAAAATTATATGAGGTATATGTAGATTAGGTGTAACTTTAGGTGTAACTAGACCAAATTTATAACAAATCATGAGATTCTGCAGTATTTTTCAGTAAAATAATGAATTTAGTTATTGGACATGAAAGAGTTAACGCTCATACATAAATATGACACTGCGGGATTCAAATGCATTACGGTTTCTAGGCTATTTAAGGTTTTTTTTATAGAATTTAATTTCTTGATATTAATATTTAGCTTGTTCTGTATATATAGGATGACGAGAGGCTCCTGCTACACTGCGTACTTAGCACAACCTGTCATTTAATTACTGCATTAAAGAAGATCTTAAGCCATAAGCTGCAGGCTGCTAGTTGCCTTCTCTTTGTTACGACTGTAACTCAGTGTACTGTACAGCTAGAAAACTGACGCGATGAGAAAAAATACGGTAACATTTTGCTTGGATTCTGCTACATAACAGTGACATAACCATGTCGTAAACATGTGACAGCCATGAGTGTAACATAACAGTGTATAACAGAATATTACAGTGTCTTGTAACCATCACTGCTAAGGAATCATATCGTTTGATACTGTGACAGCGTGTGTACTAGTGTACTAAATGGCTGTCTTGACATCAAAAGTTATGACAGCTGTCAAGACAATTACTGGCAATAGTGATATGACCCTGTTGTAACACTTCACTTGAAGGGTGTCTATAATGCATTCATAGCATCTTACATAAACACGTAACATGTTCATGAACGTTTAATTAGACATTCATAAAGTGTACGTTTTACACAATATTAATATGGACTGCTGTGTCATTTTACTGAGAGACATTTTTCAAAAATAAAAGTCCTCATTATTTATTATTATTATTACATATTATTCTAAGTGAAATGTCCATTTCTGGACAGCCAAAACAAAAATGACCTGCGCTTTGACACTGTGGCACGTATCGCCTATACTTTCAACTTCTTTTTAAATATTTTTAAAATTTTATTATGAAAACGTCTCTCAGTAAAATGACACAGCAGTCCATGTTAATATCATTATATCGATTAAAACATTCATGAACATGTTATGAAGTGTTTATGTAAAATGAAAAACACCCTTCAAGTAATATTACTGGACATCATCTGTTATATTACTGGACATCATCTGCAATAACATGTTTATAGCATGGTTATGTCAGTGTTATGTAGCAGAGTTTAAGTGTTACCACAAATACGCATAAAGATGTACTGTAGGTAGTATTTTTAATCAATTATAAAAGACCAATTGCACAATATAAATAAAACAATCATAAGATCAGAACATTCTTTATAAACATACCACAGTATCCATGGTATGATCAAGCATAAACCTGTGTAGGCCAAAAGATGTCAGTCTGTGTGTGTGTGTGTGTGTGTGTGTGTGTGTGTGTGTGTGTGTGTGTTTGTGTGAACATGAACATTGTGTTTGTTTCATCACTTAAGTGCATTCATGACACTCCAGGATATTCATGAGCTCTGCTTGTAGGATCATTCTGAGCAGGGCTGGAATATCTCTGCTCATAAATATACAGAAGGAACTTAGTTTTTAAAAAATAAACTGTGATTTTCAGTCTTCAGTCCACTTTAACTTGACCTCAGAGTCGACTGCTAAGGTGAATAGGAACAGTAGTTTTCCAGAAGAAGCTGTAAGTTAGAATGAATGCTGTCCACTGGCTGTAACTTTACAGTGATGTTAAGACCATAGTCCTCAGGCTGGGACACGGACAGCTTTTGGGTCAAAAATGGACTTTAATTCCTGTTCTGATATGATGGGTTGTTAGCTGTATTCCCAGCATTGGGCCAGTAACTAACGACTGATAAGCAGAAGCCATCTAACATCTCTGTGACCTCTGTAGTGTATGATTGATTAGCACAGACGACTGTTGCGACGTAAATGAACTAGAAACCCTTTTAGCTCGGGATGCACCAAAATTTCAGTCACTGAAAACATTTGGCTGAAAATGGTTGAGGGGGGGCCCCGCTTTTGTTTTTTTAAAGAAAGAGAAAGAAGACTGAAACTGCTGTTTGTTTACCTCGCTGTCCTGCACTGGTCAGCGGCGACACATTCAGTTTGAGCATTGACAGTGAAACACAAAGTCTATAAGGCTACGTCCACGTTACCAGGCTGACGTGGCACAAATCTGATTTTTTGCCCTAATGTGACTCAGATCTGATGTTTTCAGAGCTGTGTGGACACAAATCTGATCTTTTCAAATCTGACCTGAGCCACTTTCATATGTGGTCCTAGATCGGATACGTATCCGATTTGTGGCCATGCGACCTTAATGTGATGCTCAGATCGGAATCCATGTGCTTTCTTTCCACTGTGCGTGCACCATCATTCAGCGTTACCATGGCAACAGCGCCAAACAGAAGTTAAAGCTTGTAAACGGTGGAAAAGCAGCTCATCTCACCTTTTTCTCCTTCGTCTCGCTCTAATAATGAAGCTGAGAGCTGATCAGAGTTAATTATCTTCTCAGCGAAGCTCGTTCTGCTCGTTAGTTTGTGTTGACGTTACTGGGTAGGATGCTGGTTTGTTCACATTAATGACAGATTTGAGCCACTCACCTAAATGAGTTTGAACCGTCATGTCAGAGAGATCGGATTTGAGCAAAAAATCAGATTTGAGCAATGAGGCTTGTAATGTGAACGTAGCCTGTGTTCATTAACTTGCAGACTTTTTAGCATTAACTGATTGAAAGATATTCTTTAATGTAAATCTCATAAATCACACCGAGTTACTCGATATCGTTTGGTAACAAACCTGTTCACCTCTGGGTTTGAAATTTGTTACTGTAAACACATACGTTGGTTGGATCCTGCTGGTGTGGGTTCATGACTGTTTCTTCACTTAAGAGACTCATGTGCCAATAGCGCCCCCTGCTGGAGAAACTTTAGACATCTGTTCGCTTAAAAATGAGCTTTTTTCTGTCATCATAGCAGAAAAGCTCTGGAGTTTCAGCTTTAGATGCCTTTGGAAAACCATAAAGAATCATATTTTCATAATTTTACTTTAATAGTTAATATTGTTTAGCAAATTGCTTAAAATTAAATTAGTACTCCAATTCTCTCAGTTCTCTTTCTCAACATGGTTATTATTGGCTTTGATGCATTGTCAGCATTACTACACCAATTCAAGAGCATAAATCAACCAGAAAATGATATAAAAAAGCTTTTGCACGACTCTGTCCTGAAGTTCGGGTTTGGTCAAGAATTTTGGTGCATCACTGCCTTTCGCTCAATGTTTTTGACTGAGCATTGAGATTTACTGTCTGTGATAGTCGACCACTGCACTCCAGATGCGGCAGACAGAGACTGGGTTGAAAATTCTGGGTTATTCCTTTAAAAATACCTGCTGTCCCTTTACAAGGTGAAATTTTCTCACCTGTCAGTCGTTCCTTTGTCGTAATTCTCCTCAATCTGTGAGATCTTAGCCGTGCTGGACTGAGGAAGCATTTTGAACATGTTGTAATGCATATAAGAATGTTATATACGTGTCATACCGTGATATTATATGTTTCGAACTTCTGAAGGAAAATACAACGATCGAATCTTGTTTTATTTGCTTATATTTGGTGTTTTGAGCCGCCTATCAGAGTGTGTGTCCAGCAGGTGGCAGTAGTGAATAATTAGGGTTAGAGCCACTGGCTGCATTTGAAATTTCAATGTTTATTCTTGTACTTAATGCTGTTCTCCTGTAAGTCCTTATTAAACGAATCACACACAACAAAGAACTGATTTTTAAGGAATTCTGTTAGGACATTCCTCCTTAAGGTGAGGTGGATTGCAATAGACATAAAAGTGAAAAGGCAACAAATATCAATTTCCAAAAGATAAAGAAAAAACAAATTGTCTTGTCTGTTTTGCTCTTATTTTGCTTTTTTATTAATCTAATTTTGGTTGTGTTGCTATTTTAAATTGTTACCATTTGACTTTTTTAGCTCTCTGACGTTTGTACCTTGAGCTTACTGACAAAATATAACATCTAATATTTACAGGACATTGACAAACGTTAACCTCTCCAATATTTTTATAAACATTGCAGCAGTATTAAATTATAAATTGTGAATTCCATCTTCCACGTTTTTTTCATAGCTACTGTTGCTAGATTGGAGCTTTACAGTGCACTGCTAAGATCTCATTCAGCCTAATGAGAAACTGTAGAACAGTCTCAGTTTATATCACAATACCTACATTTAGAGTCAGTTATTCATTCAACCTAATGAGAAACTGTAGAACAGACTCAGTTTATATCACAATACCTACATTTAGAGTCGGTTATTCATTCAGCCTAATGAGAAACTGTAGAACAGACTCAGTTTATATCACAATACCTACATTTAGAGCCAGTTATTCATTCAGCCAATATAAAATACAGTTTCTTATCAGGTTGAATGGGGATGTTTTATCCCATTGTTCCAGTGTTCTGTAAAGCTTGTTACAGCATAACAAATGAAGGCATTTTAAGAGCTTTTATTATGGCTAAAACCATTTTGTTTTTCACGCTATTCGTTCAAATGCAGCCAGTGAGTTTCACCAGTTTATCAGAAGTTCAGTTCAGTTCAGAGGGCAGGAGTGGGACAGTTTTCTGTCCTCTAAATAATTGAGTGTGCGATTTCATTTTTCTTGTAAGTACATTAAAGAAGGTAATTTTGTTTGTGTGGGGGGGTTTGGGGGTGCATGTATTGGCCAGTAATCTGGGCAGCTTTAACGTCAGAGGTTTTGAGTTTCATGAAGTTTTGCAGGTGCTGAGGCCGCTGCTGTACTTTCATTTACCACCAGGTGGCAGTAGGTGGGAGAGGTGTGTAAGGTTATGTCTCTCTCTCTCTCTCTCTCGTTCGTTCATTCTTTTTTGCAGTTTTTGTTTTTCATGTTGTTCTCAGTGCCTGTTGTCTTTATTGTTGGCTTTAAAACAGAACATTTCCTCCACCCAGCTGTTCAGACTGTATTCTGTACTTTATTTATGTTCATTTTCATCAATAAAACAATGACAGGCCAGTCGCCTTGTTATTTCTGCCAAGCTCATTGTTGGAAATACAGATTTGCTGGTGCTTCTGGAAAAGCCCTCTGAGGACCTCCTGACTGGAGGAATTCAGACGCTGTGTCAGTCTGTGCAGAACTGAAGGCCTGGATCTAATAGTCTCGGTTCGCCACCACTGTGCCTAAAATATTTCATTGTGTTTTTTTACCCTGATCTGTAATACATATATATTAATTACTGCTGTAATTTTTCTGCATTTGAACAGGAAACCTGTTTTGAAACATGCTTACAATAGAAACTGCTGGGATGGACTTAGCAACTGCCCATTGCCTTTTATTGTAAGTGTCTTTAGAGTCAGCAGATTTTCTGTTATTTTGCTAAGTGCAGGGAAATGCATGAACATTACTCTCTGTGGTAACTGACTGTACACTCATATGCAAAGGTTTGGGCACCCCTGATTCTAAATAACATTAAGTACCATCTCAAATCACTAAAGTAAGACCAGATGTGACAAGCAAAAAGGGCCTGACAAATACCATAACTGTAACCATGTATAGTAACCATTATAACCTGATGAGCAACTCTTTGTGCCTATTTTTGCCATTAATTACTTACAATTGCGTAAAAATTCTGAACGAGATTGAATAAGGTAACCATTCTTAAATAAAATAATCTTGAACTTACAGTAGTGTGTAATATTATACTGCTAAAAATGTACAAACCCAATTCCAAAAAAGTTGTGACACTATATAAAAAGCTAATGAAAACAGAACACAGTGATTAGTAAATTCTGTTTCACCTGTATTAAATTGAAAAACGGTACAAAAACACAATATTTGTATTTTTTTGCTCATGAAAGTATGATTTTTGTAAATATACACTCATTCCAAATTTGATGCCTGCAACACATTCTAAAGTAGTTTGGACAGGAGCTGGTTTACCACTGTGTTACATCACCTTTTCTTTAAACAGCACTAAATAATCATTTGGGGACTGGAGACACAAACTGATCCGTTCTGTTATACAAGTCTGAAGCTGTGTGACTGTACAGGGCATTGTTGTCATATTTTGAGCTTAATAATGTGACACATTTTAAAAGAAGAAAGTTCTGGACTGCAGGAAGGCCAGTGTAGCACCCACACTCTCCTATTATGCAGTCACGCTGTTATAACATGTAGAATGTTTCTTGGTGTTGTCATGTTGAAATAAGCATGGACGTCCCTGAAAAAGACGGCGTCTAAAAGGCAGCATATGTTGCTCCAAAATATGCTGTGTTAATGGTTCTTTCACAGATGTGCAGGTTACCCACTTATACCCCCCCCCCACACCATGACAGACCCTGACTTTTGAACTTTGTGCTGTTAACAGTCTGGATGGTGCGTCTCTTCTTTGGCCCGAGAAACACAACATCCATTATTTCCATAAACAATCTTAAAGGTTGACTCGTCAAATCACAATACACGTTTTCACTGTGTATCAGGCCAGTTCAGATGAGCTTGAGTCCCGAGAAGTCAGCAGCGTTTCTGGACATTGTTATCACATGACGTCTGCTGTGCTTATGTAACCCTGAAGGTTCATCAACATTCATCGCACATTAATACCAACAATATACTACTCACTACACAGCAGTAAATGCAACTGAAGCTTTGAAAATTCTCAATAACCATGTAAAAAAAATCCTCACAACCACAATATACTAAATGCATTTAAATGAGCCGTTAATCTTCCGTCAGGATTTAAGCTAAACTTTTTTATTTTGAAATATTTCTGCTTGTAAAAACCACAGCCAGATATGCAGAGAAGTGAGATAATGCTCCTTGTCTTTAGCCTGGTCACACCCACAGTCACTCTTTTTACCACTCCTACGAACCTAGTTTTCTGTCCCTCAACACGTACATAGCCAGTGTAGCGTTACAAACTGGCGAGCCAGTCAATGAGTGGAAATAAAATAGATAGCTTGATAAACCTGAGACCAGATCTAAAGCTCAAAGGTAGATTAGAGACCAATAATGGATATTGTTGACAGAAAAAATATTAAAGTGTAAAATTCACTTATTATTAATGGAATAAGTGCATGATGATTCAACTGAGCTCTTAAGGAAACATGGTTGCATCAACAGGAAAATTCATATAGACAGGCCTGTCATCGAGTATCATAGGACTGTGATAATTGAATGTGAGAGTGGACTTGCAGTAAAGAGCTTAGAACCCAAACTGCCATACAGCTTCAAAAGCCCCAGTCAGACTGACATTGTGTACTCTCAAGTGTTTATGCTTCAGCTATGACTGGTGGCGCCACCATGGGTTATCTTGAAGAACTGCAGAGCATAACCAGATTGAGTGGAAAAACCCTTAGATGAACACTTAAAAGAAGAGATTTCAAAGTGTGGGGAATCAGTATCCCAAAGCAAAGATAGGATGTTGTGTAAGCCTGTCTTGTGAAATCCAGACCATACTCTTCTTGAAGCTCGGCCAGTCTTAACCAGCAATGCTCCACAGCAATGCTCCACAACACAGGGGTCGGCAACATGCGACTCTTTTACTGTCCTGTTGTGGCTCCACAGCAGAATTAGATTTGTAGGTAAAAATGAAATAATCTTCCTTTGCAGTAAAATAAAGCTCTGCTGATCGTTCAACACAGTTTAACAATAAATTGTCTTAAATGCTGGAGTTAATGTAGAACTGCTAATTCACTTTTTAACACTGAAGATTGGCGCGTAGACTGCTGGTCACCTAGCAACACAGATAACAGTCTCGTCTAGCTAGTAGCTAACAAAACGACAAAGAGAACGATTTAAGATGAACATTCATGATTTGGAGACAAATTGACTTATTTGCATTTATAATCATTCCAGCTGGTTTCCTGATACGTTTAATCTGCAACAAAAAACTGTCAAACACTAAAAAGTAACAAAGCTGAAGTCAGCTTGTTTTTCGCCAGCTTGTTTTTCGCCAGCTTCTTATTTGAATTCTCCCGTTCCACCCTAAATGGTGCCACAGATACATTCTGGTGCCTCGGGCTCGATTTAAGGTGCAAAAGGAAAATTCAAACAAGAAGCTGGCAAATGAGAAGCGACTTCAGCCTCGTAAAAAATTTAACGTTTTGCAAGTTTCCTGCCGGAGATGCGAGAAAAGCGGCTATAGCTGATCTAAAGCTTAAAGCAGAGCGAAGTAAGTCTGTGTTTTCATTTATATTATATTTTTTATCCTATACTAGTACATCAGCACATACTGAGATCATATTTACAGCCAATATGGTACAATGGATATAAGATGTTGTGGCTCCCAAGGTGGTTTGATTTTTTTGCTGAAAGGACAATATGGCTCTTCTTAACATTTGGGTTGCGACCCCTGGTCAAACACAATGGAGGCAGTAGAAGAAAACACAGGTGAGGCCACAAGAACTTTAACCACTGGTGTGAAACCATTCTCCATGATTTCACTGACTGATGTAAACCCCCCCAGAAGTTCAGCAGGTTGTGGTTGAACATATAGTATGGAGTGAGGAAGACATGCCTTCCATGCATGCATCCCTCAGACTAAGGTTTTTCTCTGGAAGAGTCCTTCATCCTGGCAATGAAGTAGATTACCATGCTTGGCGTAACAGTGTTGAGTCTAGAAAAATCATTGATGGCCTCTTGCCCCTGCTGCAGATCTCATTAAATCCTTGCCTATATTGAACAGCTAGCTTTTATTGCTGTGAAGGATGGTGATGAACTGTTTGCTAAATTCCTGAATACTCTACCAGAGGCCGGACAGAAGCCATCCCAGTTCTTACACCGTGTTCAGGTAGTTCTGACCTCAGCTATGAAAAGAGGTGCCATTTCTTTCAACAAAGCTGATCGACACTTGTTGAGACAGTTCTGCAGAGCCTGTTGAGATAATGCAAAAGAAAAAACCCACCTCCATTCTTAGAACTCTTATTTCTGCTATGAACAGGAGAAGATAAACGGACTGCAGAAGGGTGCTGCATGAAAAAGCATCTTGGCACTGCTAAGTCATGTACCACTTCTTATCTGCTGTGTGCTTCTGCACAGGAAGTTGAATCAACGATCAGTAAACAGTCAAACAGTTGAAAGAGACAAGTCACAGAAATCCAAAGATCAGCTTGAACAATTAAAGGCAAAGAATAAAGAGAAGATGATCCTTTGTCAGAAAAGTCAGTTCTTTGAACTACAAAAACAAGTTCCTGGATTGCTGAGCCAGCCAGTAGTAGAATGAGTAGAAATCAGTCTGTACAGACTAGAGATTCTCTTTGACTCAAAAGCCTAGCAACAAACCTGAGCTATGGTATTGCTTTTTATTGTGGTGAGGACGGCCATATTGACTCCAAGTGCAACAGTGCCCCAAAACCTTCCTTGTAACCTCCAAAAAAAAGAAGAGGAAACCACTTTCAGAGGAATCTCGTGTTGGTTCATTCCATCCTGTTTCTTTAAACTAGGCCCAGCCTCGGCTGTGGACAAATGGGGGCTGATGCACGTATAAATTGTCCTTTCACTGACAAGTGTAGGGTTGACTACAAGCACATCAGGTCCACAGAGCATTTGCTCACATTACCGAAAGGTCTGGTTGGAGCAAAGTGAGCAGCTGAAGTCTATACTGTAGGAAGAAAATGCAACTGTCTCCTAGACACAAGTCACAACGGTGCCACAGTCATACTACAAACAGAATCTCACACCTGGACATCAGTGCTCTCAACAACATACTTGCATCCAACAGTCAGCTCGTTCCTTATCGTGGCTACATTGAAGTGAACACCACCTTTCCTCAGACCCTTCTAGGAACACAGATTGAGCTGTCTACGCTTACTTTGGTTGTTCCAGGTAACTGTGGCAGTTCACAGTCAGCAGTTTTGATAGGCACAAACACTTGACTTAGCCAATAAGAATCACACCAAAGCATAGGCTGCATATCATTCAGTCACATTTTCCAGTCTAATATTGGTGATATCCTCAATTAAACTTATAGTTGTTGAGTGTACATTTGTTCATGAGTTGTTGTTAAGTACATTAATTTC